CCTGAGAAAATATTAACAAGATTTAAATAGAAAGAGAGATGAGGATGAGAAGAAAGAGAAAAACCTTAAAATAGTATTTAAGAAATGGTCTCAAGCCAAAGGGCAGTTCAAGGTCTTTGGTCTTGTAATATTATGTAAGATGAAGATGAAGATGAGGAGGATGAGGATGAGAAGTTGTTGATGAGAATGAGACGCTCAAGTTACGAGATTTTTTCTCTCTCTGTTCTTATCTACATCTTTTTTTCTACTTTCTTCTTGTTGAAGAAAAAAAAAATCTGAGTTATCCTTGACCACAGCGAAATAGCCAAAGCAAGAAAATAAATACTGGACTTTTCCTTTTCCTTTTTTAATTGGGACATCGAAATGATGATGATGATAATAGTAAATAAGCCATAAGGTCATTAAATGAATGGTCAATGAATTGGTCATCCATCTTATATTTTGTCATTTAGGTAACTTTTCATTTTCCTGTCCAAGTGACTAAGGACTTTTTTGCTTGAGGAAAACAAAAAAAAAACACTGGACCAACTGACCAATGCTTTTTTGAATTAGCTAAAAAGTTGCTTGACCTACTCTCCCTCTCTCCCTCTCTCCTCTCTCCCTCTCTCTCTCTCTCCTGGTAACTTGACCTAATCAACTCTCAAACAGAGGAAGAGGAGGTTAGGTAAGATGATGATGGAGTAAAGACAAAGTCCAGTGAGTGGAAAAACTAAGTGATGATAAATGTAGATAATTACAAATGACCAGTGGCGAGAAGTTTTTTTTTCATCTCTCATTCAAATCTACAACTTATTCAACTTATTTGTTTATTTGTTGTTGTTGTTGTTTTTTTGTGGTTAACAAGATGAAAAAGGATGATAAGATAAAGATGAAGATGGAGATGAGGATGAGAAAGTTATGGTTATCATCTTCCTATTTCCGGTTATCTTCATCTTCATTTTTATCCTCATCTTTAGGCTAATTTATTATTAGCTCAATACTTAATTTAACCAAGAAAAACTTATTGGCTTTTATGAGTTACCTTGAAATCAATGATTCTGGTCACTTTTGGTTAATTGTTGGTAAACACAATTAACTAATTAAGTATATTAACTTGGTTGAGTTTGTAATTCAATATATTAAATAAAATTTAATGGTTTTAATAATTAATCAATTTTTGTTTCTCAATCATTTCAATCATGATGGAAAACTTTAATTAGATTGATTTTCTGATTATATTGATCATATTAACCATATTAAAGTGTTGACTTTAATTGTTGTTGGCATAATTTTCATTAAATGTCAACAATCAAAAAGTTGATTTAATCAGATTTAATTTAGTTAATATATATATTAAACTGATTAACGTCCAGTTTGTTGATTCAATGTAAATATTTATCAAAGCTTAATTGTCAACAATTAAAAGTTCAGTTTTGGGTCTGATCAATTTTTATTTAGACCAACAATCAAGTTGATCATCATTGTACAATTAACAAGTTAATTGTTACCAATGGACTGATAATATTGTCTCTCTCTCTCTCTTTAATTGTAATCAATCAACAATTACATAACGTTTAAATTAGACTGATTTAGGTTTCATGTTTTCAAATGGCGTTTACACAATTAAGTTAATTGTTGATACAATTAACGCCTACTTTATGTAAGTTAATCAACTGTTAGGATGATAATGATAACTTTTAACATCTTGATTAGTGATTAACATTGGACTGTATTAATTAGCCGATAATTAAAAAAGGCCAATTAATTATATTGTTAAATTTTTTATTTCTTTGGGTTGTTATGATTTATCAAGGAAATCAAATTAACCAAGTTAACAATTAGTTTTAATTGTTTCCTCATGCATCAAAAGATAACGCAATAGGTGAAATCACAATTAATCAATTGGAATCAAAATTAATTAGATAACAGTTAATTGTGGTAACATTTAACATTCATTTCACAATTCATGATCAATTTGAATCCATTTACATTAATCATAATTAGTTAATTGACCATTTCAAGGTATTGAATGATTTTATTACAATCACAATTAAAAAGCAACTTTTTTTTTCATTCTCATTTTGTTGATCGTCCATCTTTAAGGTCAGTCTATGAACCAAATTCATTAACTCAATGAGCGAAAACTATTGTAGACCAATCAATTGACCGTTGGTCAAGTATTGACATCAACTGACCACTGAACTGATAATTGATTCTCATGTTTAAACAAGAAAATGAGCCACACCCTTTTCCATCTTATAATCGCCAGTAAGTTGACCTCGATTCAAACAAATGTACCATTTTCTATGTAATAAATTTCCCAGGTCATCAAGTTCTGACCTGTATCATTATAAATTCATCGGGTAACAAGTTATAACTTTTTTGCTTAGAATGTCCAGTTAAATGGTCAATTACTCTCTCTCTTTTTTTTTATCATCGGGATATTTTTGGATTCATTGGTAACCCGAAAAACAAGAGCGGCTAACTAGAGGTTAAGGCCATTTTTAACCGTCGTTTTGAAAATTTATTCCAATCGGTAAACATTAATGTGAATGGGAATATGAAAGGTCAGTATTTAAATCACGATCTTCGAAAACTGGACCAAAGAAAATGTTTTATTCTCTTCTGAAAAAAGATATATGAATTATGGAAATTCTAGAAATTCGATAATAATTTAGTTTGGCTCTTAATCGATGAAAATTTTTCTATTGATCAACTGGACTTTTTAGCTGCGTCGATTAGTATATTAGTGATCTTTGATTGTAGAATTTTAAATTGATGTTCCATCACTCGAATTTGCTCCCTTAGAATTTCATTCTCTGTTTCAAGTCGTTTATCTTCCGACATCATTTTGTCGAGTTTATCCTTTTTCGTTGATTTGATACTTCGACGATGATAAGAGTTACGAAAGAATTGATGACGATTGTCATCATTAACTGATCGTTTACGTTGTAACCTTGAAGAGGAAGATGAAGATGATGAAGATGATGAGGTGGTGGAAGATGCTATTGATGATCCAGATGATAGATCACCATCATCAATGGTAAATAGATAGTCTCCTTTATCAACGAGAGATGAAGATGAAGATGATGATGATGATGATGTGGAGCAAGATGATGAACCGGAAGATACACTTCTAAATGGACGATAATAATAATAACCCGAACTTGGTGTTGGTTGATCGTTAATTGATTCAGTTAATAAATTAGTTGGCAAGTGATTAATTTGATTATCATAATCAATTGTTACCATTGTTGTTGTTGGTGGTGGTGATTCATTAAATACAATGGATGATGATGGTTCAATTAATCCTGGTGGTTGGGTTAATGTGGTTGATGGATTATATTGATTAACATGATTAACATGATGATGATACGAGTTAATTGATGAAAATGAATTTGATCGAGGTCGTGGTGATGATGACAACGATGATGATGATGATGATGATGATGGGGAATTGGCGTTAATTGTTGTCAAGCAATTTATTGATTGTGACCATAGTGTTGGTGTCCGGGTGGTTAACACATCGTAAGTGTTTACGTAATCACTGTTAATTGTTGGTTCTGTTGTTGGTTCAAGTGTTGGTCTGTAATCTGATGATGATGATGATGAGTGAAGATGATGTTGAATGTAATCAGGTTGTTGATGATAATTAACGGTTTCAATTAAATTGAATGGATAAGTTGTTTCCTTAATACAATAATCAAGTTGATCATTCTGTTGATCTGATAATTGATTAGTTAATTGTAAACTATTTTCATTAATTATTGGTGCAATATCATAATCACCAATATAAGAACCACTGGTTAAATTGTTATAATCAAAGGTTAATCCACTTGTTAAATCATCATAATTAACTAAATCACTTACCAATTGGCTAATGTTATTGGTGTTTAGGTTTGTATCATTATCCATTTTAATTGTTGATTTAATTTTACCATCAACAATTAGAGTAACAACTTTTTTTTTGTTAATCACTTGTTTGTAATATATTATAATCTGTTAATTAATTGTAACAATTTAAATCACTTTACCTGGTTGAGAATCAAATCAAATCAACAATAAACTAAAATTCAACTTGAGTTTAATATCTTAACTACAATTAGGTTGTGATTTTATAACCCTGATTAAGATTAGAATCATGATTAACTTAATCATCACTATTAATTGGATTTGAACAACAATCAAATGATTGATATGATGGATACAAATAGTAGTTAATTAGTTGAAACAAATTACTTCATCTTATCAATTTATTGATTAAAACGGTTAATCACAAGAACCTTAATCAACTCAATTAGCTTGATTGTTTATTATTTGGTGATTAATACAATCTGATCAACATGATTAAGTTATAATTATAAATCGGTACAATTTAACAAATGTATCAATCTATTATTAATAATTATTAAACTTTAATTGTTTAGTAATTAGTTTTTGCTTTTTCTGTTAATTGTTTCATTTTAGAAACTATTTTTGATTAAATTTTTAGATTATCAAATGATCATAACTATCAAGATTTAATTGTTCCAATTGTTTAATTTCACCTTGATTAAGGATTAACTTAATTAGTTATTATGATTGAATCGACAATTATAATTGTTAATTAACTTTCTTTATCTTTTTAGCATTAGAATGAGAAAAGATTGAGTTAATTGTTCTTGTAAATATATATATTGATTATCTAATTTTTTGCCATTGTAAGTCCCTTGATTAACTTTAAAAGGTTAATTGTTCAATTGATCTAACTAACAATCAACAAGAAAACTTTTGTCTTTTGTTTATTTTCATTAATTTCTTGATAATAAGATTAACTTTGTTAATTACAATGGATTGAAATGATCGAACAACTAATTGTTTAATGGATTACATGTAAAATTTATTAATTTTAATCAACAAATTAAATTTCATTTCAATTAATTGGAATAAATTTAATTCGGTTATGAGCGCCATCTCTCAGTATCGAAAAGAACTAAACTTTGTTTACTTTTTTATTTCTTTTACTTTTATTGTTCATTGAGATGAAAATTAATTGTTTTTCTTGCTGTTCGAACAGTTAATTGTTAGTTGATTAGATTTTACTGGTTTGATTTATGTTCTAAATTGATTAATGATTAACCGTGATTGTCGATGATTCAATTGTGAAGGATTAAGATTGGTAACTTAATGTGTATCGGTCAAAGCTTAATCTCTGTTGTTACTTTTTTTTTATTTGGATCTACAAGATTATCAAATAGTTTTTGTTGTTTCTTTGGATTATCCCTTATCCCCAAGATTTATACCCATTTGCTTATCCAGGGCTGTCATCAGGATGATCAACTGAACCTTTGGATATCATGAAATGAACCATTTATAAACTTTGGCCAACGGAATTGACTTGATCAATCCAATGGTGATTGATTGTCAACCTTTTCATTTGGTGAAATTAAATCATCACCAGAGTTTTTATTTTTATTTTTTGTACCATAGTAACTGTAAAGTTAATTATGACCATTGATTGAACAATATTGGTTTTATTTGGTGTGAGAATCAAAGAGCGGATGACTTATTGGAAGATAATTTGATCATTAGTATTGACAAAACTCTATGGGTTATTACTGATGATTTAAGAAGAAAAGAAGGAAAGAAAAAAAATGGAAAAAAATATCGTTATGGTCATTCATAATTTTACATATTCTTCTGTCTCCCGTGTATCATCATTATCATCTCCTTTTCCTCTTCCATCATCTTCTCCACCATCCTCATCATTGTGATCTTCATCTCTCTCCCTCTCACTTAGATTATGTCTTTTTACATATTTCTCTCTCTCTCTCTCTCTCTCTCTCTACCATGACTTGACTTTAAATGATTAGGTCAAGTTACATATAAATATCCATACATGTGTATGTAAGAGTAGGTCAACCAACCCAAAAATATGCATCATGGGTAAGGGTCACTCCAAAGTCCGTTTTTCTGTGTGTAAAAAACGAGAGAGAAAATGTTTGACATAAGATCGATGACCATCCATAGATTCATCATTAAACCTTATGGCTTCCGAGTTTATACAAAGCTCTCATCCTTCATCATCGTTTTCATCATCCTCTTCTCTCTCTCTCTCTCTCTCTCTCAGGTCCCATAATCATTTTCGTGCCCATCATTATCCTTATTATCATTTTCATCATCATCATTGTCCCAATTAAAGGAAAGGTCCAGAGGAATTATTTTTTGTTTCTATGTGGTCAAGGATTCTAAAAGCAACAAGGAGAGTCAAGGATAAGGAAAAGACCAAAAGTCCAATAGAGAGATAGAGAAAAAGAAAGAGCTTTTAAAGAGTAACTTGAGTATCTTACATATTCTTACATAATATTATCCGTTGTAAAGAGAGAGAGAGAGAGAGAGAGACCAAAGACCTTGAACTGCCCTTTGGCTTAAGACCATTTTCTTTGTAATAGACTGACTATTTTAAGGCTTTTCTCTTCTTCTTTTCCATCTTCATCTTTCTATTTGCATCTTAAGATTATTTTCTCAGGACTTTCTTCTCTCTCTTTTCCTCTTTCTCTCATCATCATAATCTTTTCCCCCCAAGTCCATCTCTTCTCTTTCCAAAGTTGTATGTGTTTTTTTTTCTCTGTAAAAAACGATATTGAATTTACCGTTTTTTTCTTCTTCTTCTTCTCTTTTCTTCTCTTTCTTTAGATTTCTTTAGTTTTCTTGAGTGGTTATTTGAAAGGAATCATCTCCCTCGATCATCATCATCATCATCGTCCACAGGTAAAGGTAAAAAATTTTCTTCTTTTTTTCTCCAAAATCTAACATTTGTTATCATTATTATTATTACGAGAAAGAAATAAACTAATATAAAATATTTTCCCTTTTCTTTTACCTTTTAGATGTGAAAAGTTTCCCGTTTATGGTCAAATCACATTCACACATAACGGGACTTAAACGAAGGTCATCTCAAGATATTCAAATTGTTTTGTAATGTTTTTTTCTCATCATCATCATCCACATCTTCCTCTCTCTCTCTCTCTCTCTCTCTCTCTCTCTCTCTCTCTCTCAACAGAGAAAGAGAAAATCATTTACCATCAATTGAAAGTCCCAATCCTGTGGTCCAATCGTTTAGTTAATTGTGTCCAATTTTTGTTGTGATTAACTAATGATTCAAAAAAATCTCAACAGATTTCCTAGTAAACATTTATTATTATATCATTTCAATGGTAATTCCTGATAATCAACTGATCAAAATAATCAATTAATCTGGTCAAGGATTGTCATTCATTTGATTTGCTTGTAAAAGTTAATTTTTTTTTTCATAATCATCTTATTTAGAGTTAATTGTTTGTAGGCGTTAAACCAACAATTTGATAATCATTATTAACGCCATTTGAAAACAGATCATCTCGTTATTATTTTAGGTTAATCCTTAATTGTTATACAATTAGTTGTTCAACATTGATTGTTTCATTCCTAATCCAATACAAGGCCATCACTTTTTTTTGTTTAATTTAATCAATACGGGCTCATACATATTAGTTAATTGTTGATTAATTGAATTGAAAATGGTTACTTTTTGATTACCACTATCATCATTCATGATCAAACTAAATCAAAATTAATCACAATCAATTTTACAAACTCGAAAATGACAACGACACAATCAATTGATTAGTCAATTGTTATAACAAAAAAAAACTAGTGAATTAATTGAATTAAACAAAAATCTAATAGTAACTCAATGATTAACAATCAGTGGCTGATTGTGCTTAGGGCAACAATTATCATCTAGAATGATTTAAATTATGATCGATCAGTTGTCAAATTTAAATAAAGTATATTAGTTACAATTGAATTTAAATTGTTCAAATGAAGACAATAAGTTCAATTATGATTATGGTTATGATGATGATGTTGATGATTAGTTTAAATACATCCTTATAAGTCAATCAATAACCGAGAAACTGACCAGTTGAATTTAATCATCAACCTTAATCACTAATTTACAGGAGAAGAGAAAAAAGTTTCAACTAATTTGTTGATTAAAAAAGATTCCGTTTCATGGTAAACAAGTTTTCAGATTTATATATTTGATCCTCAATGAATAATGATGATAATCATCCCCTTATCATCATTATCATCTTCATGGTTTAATGGGTAAGCCAATTTTTTTTTCATCTTCTTCATCTTCATTACTTTGGACTATGTAAAGGTCATTTTATGTCAATCAAAATGGTCATTGAATGTCCGCAATTAAAATACCTTTCACAGGTAATAACCAAAAAGGTAACATTTGATTTGTAATATAATCACAGTTTGTTATTTAATGAGAAATTATTTAATTGCTGTTGTATCAATTTCTTAAGCATTTTGTTTTCCCTTTTCTTTCAGATTCTCAACAATCAATGAAGCCTAATCATTAGCAAATCATGTTGTTGTTGTTGTTTCTGTTGTTCCCATGGGCATTTATTGAACTGGGCACAGGAAAAATTAATGTAATAATCAATGTTAATCAGAGTGGACGGTGAGTTAGTGAGTAAGCAAGTGAGAGAGAGAGAGAGAGACTTGATTGTTGGATATTATTATAAAATACACTTTGTACCTGTAACTAGTTAACCTCGATAAATTATGAGACTGGACTGGACTCTCTGAAAATTTATCGATCAAGTAACAATTAAAATCTTCAAAAAAAACAGAATCAAGATGAAGAGGCCAGTGAGAAGATGGAGAGTGAGAGAGAAAGTATCATCATGGTGAAGATGAAAGTAGCCCTAGTGAAATACATAAGCAAAAAGGACTCAGGGCTCGGAGGCACACACACACTGAGAGTGGGGAGTGGTCAGTGTAAGTTGATAAAATTATTATTTTGATGATGATGATGAGGAAGAGAGAAAGAGAGAGAGAGAGAGAGAGAAAATATTTAAAGAGTAACTGAGTAGCAATGATGTAAAAGGGATGGTCAGTGGTGGAAAAGTATTACCGAGTAAAAGTGGACTTGATCTCTTGGCCTCTCCTTTCCTACTTTCTTTCCACTCTCTCATTTTTCCAGGTAAATTTGTGTTCTTATTACTCTGAATTTTATAACTTTAAGACAAATATTATTGTAATTAATAATAGCACAGGTATGATGATGATGAAGATGAAGATGAAGATGATGTCCGCCAATGATGTTAAAGCGTAATCAGGAATCTCTATGTAAGCTTGTCCATCGGCTATTCACCTAATAAACTAATCGCCTTGAGGATAAATTGTTAACAGACAAAAAAAAACTTAATTTCCAGTTTACAATTTACCTGGAAAAGTAAAACATTTACAACGATTTTGATGGTTAATTTTCATTTGACTTTTACATGAAATCGTTTACAAATTATGGTACAATTTGTTTGAGCAAATGGTTTAATTGTTGTGACAACTTTTAATTTATAATAATAATAATTGAACATATCATTAATTGTTTGAGAAATAATTTTCAGTAATTGAATGAATGGTGAATTAGAAAAAAAAATTTTTCGATATTTTCGTTTCTTGGTTAATCATTTCTCATGGTTTTCCGTTTGAATGATATTATTCAAGAAAAAATAATCATTTTCTATTTCCTTTTCCTTTGACTATGTTTATAAGAGGTAATTGTTAATTGTTTCCTTTGGTGTTGATTTAATTGTTGAGTTTAAATGTTTGTGTGAGTTGTGAGATGTGAAATGTGAGGTAATAATAATGATAGAGATTCAAAATTTAACTTCAATTGTTTGTAAAGCTTTGATTATATCACGAAGCTCATTAATTGGTTTCTCTTTATCAGTAATTAAACTGTTCATTAGTCGATTGGCTGAGCCGAAAGCTTCAAACGCTTTTGCCGTTTCATGGGCTTTCCTGATAATATCTGTTGGTATTCCCGCTAATTTGGCCGCGTTGAAACCATAACTTTTAGGACATGGACCATCGGTCAGTTGGTATAGGAATGTAATCGATTCGTCCGATGGATCTTCCTCATTCTCGTTCTCGACCATGCAAGCCTAAAGAGAGAGTGAAAAGAGGATGAAATTAAAGAAAAAGTAAATATTATATCAAGATTAATTTTCTTTCCTTTGTCGATGTAAACTGATATGGTTTGGAAGAAAAAAAAATGAAAGAAAAAATGATAATTAAGTTAATTACCATGTGACCAAGTTTAACTCTCTCATTGGAGTGAAATTGTTCAACCAATGAATGGTAATGAGTTGAGAAAAGGGTTCGACATTGGATATTTTTAATTAGTTCGTTGATTACTGATGAGGCGATTGCGGTTCCATCATAGGTTGAGGTTCCCCTGCCAAGTTCATCCAATAGGACAAGTGAATTTTTCGAGGCGTTTTTAAGGATTAACGAGGTTTCACTTAATTCAACGTAAAATGTTGACTGACCCTCGGCTATTCTATCATAGGCTCCTAATCGGGTGAAAATGGAGTCCAAAAGTGATAAAGAACAAGATTCAGCGGGTACATAGCAGCCCATTTGAGCCATAATTGCAATTAATCCGGTTTGTCTCATTAGGGTTGATTTACCTCCCATATTGGGTCCAGTGAGAAGGAGGAGCTGATCGCCCAGGTCAATATCATTAGGAACAAAGTTGGACTTGTATTTAAGGAGAGAGGGATGGCGACCTTGTGAGATAGAAATGAAAGGTTTCACCTGAGGATCGGTAACAATTACTGGCCGACAAATGGTTGACCCTCGTTTGACCATATTGGTACAACATTTAGTTAAACTGATCAAACAATCAACCAAAGCGATACACTTGACCACTGCAATCCAATCAGAATAATATTTACTAAATGATTCAAAGATTCGTCTCATAATATCTTTAAGAATGGCCTCTTTCCGCTCCTCAGCGGTGGTTAGTTCACTGAGAAGGGTTGTTATCTTTTTAGTGTAGAAACGACGGAAACCTTTACGACTTCCCTTCCATTCGTATTCTGGACCTAATCGTTTTGAAACCGATTCAGGAATTTCCAACATGTATCGGGTTTTACCCGAATTAGCAAAGTTAACTTTGGTTCCAAGTTTAGCAGATACATCACGTCGGGCTTGTTCCATGAGTTCAATTGCATCTTTAACATCACGACAGGCGAGATCATAATCTTCGTCGACTTTTGCTCGAGGAACTATTTTACCCTCTTTTTTGGCCTGATTATGGTCAAAGGCTTCATCAAAGTGGGTTAGGATACCAGTGATATCGGCAAAGTAGCCTCCATCTGAGGGATAAGTGGCACATTTGAGTAACAATTTGGACTTGAATTTATCACGGACATTGTGTAAAAGTTGACGGACTTGAAGGGTCGCTTTAAAGCCTTCCAGAGCGGAAAGAAAGTCGAGAATTTTTCGTTTCGAGTAGATGGCATTATCAAAGAGAACTGCTCGAGAATCAGGATGTTCACGACTACGACGGGCACAACCTTGAGTATGGATTTTGGATAAAAGTCTTTCCAAATCGGGTAATTTTGAGATAAGTTCCGAAATTTCGTTGAGAGTAAATTGTAGGTCAGACTTTTTGAGATCATCAATAGCATCTAATCGATCATTGATTAAATTAACATTACAAAGAGGAGCACATAACCATGAACGAAGTAATCGTTTACCGAATTTGGATCCACAAAAGTCCATTGTTTCAAAAAGAGTTCCCTCTTTTCCACCTGAACTATTCTCAAAAATTTCCAAATTTTTCAGCGAAACTGAATCAATGACCATCGTTGATCTGAAATTGAGATCATTTTTATTTCCACAGGGTGGATTATACTCTTCATAAACTTTTAATGACAAAAGCTCTTCATCGATAAGGCAATTCTGAAGGTATGAAACAACAGCTCCAAGTGAACGAAGGCACAATTTATATTCATCGAGAGGTTTCTGGTGTAAGGCATCAGTTGGATCGGTCATTTTAACAATTACTTCGGGAAGATCATTGGAATAATATTTTTCTTGTAAGATTTTAAGCGTTTTCTCTGGTTCCAGGAATTCCTTCAATGATTTTAACATGACCTTTGTTACCGAAGGTAAACAATTGTTAAGTATTTGCGATAATCGAGGTGATATTTTGTTCCTTTCAAGAATAATTTCCGCTGGAGGGAAACAGGTAAACAATGTTCGTAGTTTTGAACAATAACGATCATCGGTAAACTGTGAGAGATAAAATTTACCAATAGAAGTTTCAATGAAACAAACACCGAATTTAGGTTCATCGTTAGATTGTTCACTTGGTTCACCGATAGCGAGAAGATAAGTTGAGTGGGGAGATGAAGGTTCAGCGTCGAGAAATGATGATGTTCGAGTTCCAACGGTTGTAATGCGACAAAGTTCACGAGCAACGACGGCATCTTTTTTCTTTTGATTTTTACAACGTTCATCTCGTTGTTCCGGTGTTTCCGTTTGTTCAACTCGAGCAATTTTATAACCTTTTTGAAGTAAAACATCACTAAATCGACGATACGATTTCTCGGGGAATCCGGCATGAGCATATTCACCTCGCATAAAGAGTAGATTCAGTTCGGAAACGGCAATCACAGCATCCATGTGGAAAAGTTCGTAAAATTTGCCCATTTTAAAAAAGAAAATGGTATCATAATGGTTCGACTTGAATTCCCACCATTGAGCGTGAGCGGGTGTTTGCTTTTTGATAAATAATTCCGGAATATAGAGAGTAGTTGGATCGTATTCAGGATCATCGGGTCGTCGGCGTTTTTTGTCCATTATTTTACTTGGTGAAAGAAAATCAAATTTAAGGTGAGGCCATTCACGGGCAACATCATTTTCCAAAACACCAACAGCTTCATCGGTACTTTTAGCGGCCGTAAATGAGGATAAACGAGCAACCGTTTTATCAGATAAATTTGATTTATTGTTAACTGATCGAGACGGAGTTCCACCTTTACTAGGAGCCGATTTTTTGGCTCTTTTTGGTTTACTTTCGATAATTTCATCATCTTCTTCTAAATCTTCTTCAAAATCAGAGCCTGAGGCGATCGCTGATTCTTCAGAGATGATCGCTTCTTCCTCTTCACTTGAAGCTTCTTGCTTTCCATCTCCGGTTTATATTCATCATCACTGTCTTCATCTACAATTCTAACTCGTCTTCTCTTGGCTGATGTATGATTCCTGGTATTTACCCGTTTTCGTGATGGTGTTTTCACCTCAGGACTAATCTCTTCACTGGCTGATGAAGAAGCGATCGGACTTTCCAGTAAACGTTTCGGAGTAATTTTATCACTTCGGCTTTTGTTACCACCATTTTTAGTTTGCTCCATCTCTTTATCTTCCTCCTCCTCATCTTTGTGAGTCCTAATTGGGGTGACATTTTTATTATTTACATTCTCTTTGGTTTTATTATTTTGCTCAATCGTTTCAGTTTTAGATTCACCCGATTGCTTGTTAACTGCCGGAGATTTGGTTAACCAGCGTAAAAGTGTAGGTTGAGAAGACATCTCAAGGTAAACCAATAGAAAAGAATAGAATAAAATAGAAAATCAACCCGTCCGAATAATCTAAATTAAAAGGCGAAATGAAAGATAATCATTACAATTAGATAACATAGTTTTCTTATTTAAATGAAAAGACAGTTAATAGTCAATCAATTAATGAGAATATAAAATTTTCTCAACCAACATGTGAGAATCATTTGTAGAAACGAACAACAAATTCTTACCTTTTCTTTGATCACAATTCAAATATTAATACAAATTAAATATTCTTGATATATGGTAACTGTAGAGTAACAATTAGTTTATTAGAGAAACAATTGTTTAATTAATAAGCTATAATTTTAATTTGCACAAACCAAAAGATTAACTCATTTTCTTGAAAGATGAAAACAAAAACATTCACTTTTCCTTGGCGCCTTCAAACTGATTCCATCTGGTGGTTAATCTAATTAATTGTGATTCGAACAAAAAAATTTAAACTTCTAATCTAATTGTTAATTGTAAAAGAGTTAAAATTAATTTCCTAATTGTGAACAGAATTAACATTCACAATCAATTTTCCAATTGTGTTAAAGTGACCAAATGGTTTTCCGTTTAAAGAGAAAACAAAAAATTTTCTCTAATTAGAATTTGAGAAAATGATTAAATCTAATGATCCATTTCTGAACTAGAAAAGTTTTCTATGTAGTAATTAGACAGTTAAGAGAATTTATTTATTCTTTTTCTTGATTAGAATTGAAAAAAAATTCTTTTTCGATTATTAAAAATGAGAAATTCTTGTAGTTCAAATTTGGCGCTTCTCTTTAACCGAATGAGCTGATTGGCTTAGATTAGAATTTGAATACAAAGCTTTTCTTTGGTTCCTTAATTTTCTGGTTAACTTAAATTGTAATTAATTTACTTTAAGAATAATTTATTTTATTTAATTAATGGTTAATTAACTGTGGAACTTACCAGACTCTTGATTGTTTTTCAATTGTTGGATTGACTATTAGCCAATTGGAAACCTTTACATTGAAACATTTTGTCAACATTTCGGTTTTGTATTGGATTATAAAAATTTGTTTTTTTTCAATCTCACTCTTAATAAGATTATCATTGTTTTTCTTGCTTCTTTTCCTGTTCTTGTTTGATTATTAATTTTATTGGCAATTAATAATTCCCAAAGAGTAATAATTGTCTTTCGTAATTTGTATTCTCTCTGTCTCCTGTTTCAAGAAAAGGTAAGTCTTGTTTTTGTTATTCAATGGTTTTCTTTGATTTCTAAGTGTTGGATTTTGCCGGGAATCTTGATTAAGATGATGGTGTAGGTTTTGCTTTTTTACTAATTTTTTTCAATTTGATGATTTAATAGTGACAATATTTCTGGATTAATCTTCAATCGCTATGGATGATGGTTGGAATTCTAGTGCTAGTGGAGCTGATGCTTGGTCAGGCTCTGCCACGACTGTAGATTATGGTAACAATATTGGAAGATGTAAGTTTATCTCTATCCTTTTAATTCTCATTTCAGTTATTCTTAATTTATTTCTTATCTCTCTGTCTATTGATTTTCTTTAGCCTATTCAAATAATACTACTTTAACTGGTGGTGATCCTTCATCTACACCATCAACATCGGGAGCATTTTCTAGTAGTGGTGGAGGTGGTGAAAGAGGAAGTGGTGGTGGTGGTGGAGGAGGAGGAGGAGGATATTCTCGCAACTTAAATCCTAAAGCTCAGCTTAGTGTTGATAGAATGCCTTATGAAACATCAGTTGAAACTATTCGAAATATTTTCGGGCGATATGGCAGAATAGCTCGTGTTATATGTGACTATAAAATAACAGAGGAACGATTGCATGTTTGGTTAGACTATGAAGATGAAAGAGTTTGTGAGGTGTGACTTGATTACTTTTCCATTTATTAATGTCATTTTCTTTACACAATACTAATGATAAACCTTATTTTCTTGTTTGGTTATCAGTCAGCTTTAAGAGAGAATGGTCGAAAAATGGAAAAGTCCACCATTGTTGTCATGAAATCTTCCTCTGGGGGTGGTGAAGATGGCTTCCGTTCTCGTGGACCAAAGAAAGATGCCTGGGGTAATAATACTTGGAACAAGGATCGAAACAGTGGCGGAGGAGCTGCGGCTGCCAACACTTCTACTGCATCGGTTGAAGGTGCTGATTGGAGTTCAGCCGATTGGTCTAGTGGAGGTGATGCAAACACTTCCAGTAATGATAACTATGGTGATGGAGAAGATCGTAGGTCATCTAGAGGCCGTGGTAGAGGTGGAAGAGATCGTGGTGGTCGAGGAGGTGGTAGAGGGTTAGTTGATTGTTTCTTATTTTTTACTTTTTTTCTGGTAACAAACATGATGAGGAAAATGCTATTTGATTATTTTTGGACTGGGACTCGTTTCCCAATGACAATTCAAAGCAAGGGGCCATCTGAACTACTTGAAATTTCTGATGAAAAAACTTTAAATTGTTCAACATAATTAATTTTGTTTCTTGTTTCTTGTTGATTTCACAGTCGTGGTGGTGGAGGTCGTTATCAACCTTATGACAAAAATGATTCGTCATTTGAGAAAACTGAACTTCCTCCATGGGAAGATATTCTTGCTGGTAAATCATCATCAACACCCGCTGCATCTTCAGCATCAGCATCTGATCAATGGAACACTGATGATCAGTGGGGATCAGGAGGAGGAAGTAAAGAACCAAGTCATCAGAATACTGCACCACCGGCTGACCAAGCTGCTCTAGATTGGGACTAAAATGCCTTTTTTTTTATTTAAACCACACTACCTAAATCATTATCATCTCTTTGATTACCAGTGATTTCGTTAAAAACTTATCCATCAACATTTAAATTTTACATTGTAATCATTTTCTTTCCTCTTCTCATCATCGACAATTTTGATTCTTGCATTATTTGTATACAGTTTTCCTTAAAAATAACATGACAATTTGTCTGATTGAAACAAAAATCGTCTTCTCACTTGATTGAATGTTTACAATCAGCATAAATTGTTTCAAATGCAATCTGGTCCAATGGATGTTTCAAACTATCAACAACAACAAATAACCTTGACCCTTGTCCATCTTTATGAAAAATCAGTGCCATTTATGTAAAAGGATTGAAACAAAATCAACAAAAATCGAAACTTTTTCCTCGCCAATCCTTTATGCACCATTAACTCATTCAATTAATTGTTTCATCAAATTTTAGGTTAACCTGTTTACTGATTGACAAGCAGCTTTGATCATCATGATAATCAACGAAATCAACAACAAAAGCGGAAAAATACACAACATGGAATTACAAACTCTCTCTCTCATTCTCCTTTTCCTCAATCTTTATTTTCATAAAATATTAAGGATAAAGTTGAGGATATTGTGTCCAGTTATTTATTTGAAATAATCTATACCAGGTCAAGGCCAGGATTGTATTGACCTAGCAAGAGATGATGATGTAGATACTGTTGCAATTGTTGGTACTCGTTTTGATTCATTTTCCGGTTCTACAAAAAAAGACAATATAATTTTGCATCTCTTTAAGAAGAAGGTGTTGCTCTACCTTGAAGATATTGACCAATCGAAAACTGGACCAAAGTCAATTTAATGACTAAAAAGTGTAATTATTTCGCAATCCACTTTACATCTCTCTCTCTCTCTCTCTCTCTCTCTCACCGTTATGATTAAAATGATATCCGCCTTGTCTGGTCGAGACTATTGTTCAAATTATCGTTTTCCTGTCGAATGGAACTGAACCAATTGATGAATTGCTGTTTAGCTGCATTATTATTATGATGATGATGATGGAAGAGTTAAATTATCAGCAATCAACATACAAATGGAAGGAGGGAGAAGACCATTCAAAAAGAAAGAAACAAAAGATGGAGAGAGAAAAAAGTAGACGATGAAGAAGATAAGATGATGAGGAGGAGGAATGAAGAAAATGAGGAGAAAGAAGAAGATATTTGTTGACGATTCGGAGAAATTGTTATTTTCTTTTTATCAAATTTTATCGAAATTGTGACGAGTTTTTCGAGGAGAAAAAAGGGGAAAATTAACAACAATATAATCGAATGACAATCAACAGGAGATGAAGAAAAATTAACGCCAATTATGGCCTCAACATCGGAAGATACAAACAACCATCAAGAGAGAGAGAGAGAGAGATTTCAATCAACTGAATGATGAGGAGAAAAAACTTTCCCTCACTTTCAGAAAAAGTGACATTTTTGATTCGTTTAAGTTAATTGTTGGTCTTTCCAACGCAATCTAATTATACGACTTGATTGTAATTACGATTATTGTTGTTTCATTTTCAACTTCTTTCTTTCTCTCTCTCTCTCTCTTACTTTTTTCTCTAATCAAAATAGAAGTTAAAAGAAATGTAAGACTTGATTAACTTCCGCGTGATTTATTAATTCTTACAATTTAAATTGTTCACTAATTATGACAAACATAATCGTAAACACTATTATCATCATTAGATTTTGTTTTTCTCATTTCATCTACTATATATCAGATCTTTCAATCCTTTTATCATCATGTTGATCATCATCATGAAGATAATTATCTTAATCTTTTATTTTTTATTAATTCACCAAAAAACAAATCAAAGTAAATTTACTTTCTCAATATGAAACAAGTTTCACTTTCAACAATCAATTAATCTAAACTTTCAAATTAAATTGAAATACTCATTTAAAAACTAGTTTAATTGATTGTAAAAATATTCAACAATTTACATTAGCTAATAACAATTAAAAATCTTCTCGACAAATTAACAGTAATCATTAATTTTGATTAAATTGTTACACAATGAAAACCTTTTGTTTACATTTAGTAACATCAACAGTTAGATAATCATAAACATTTCACAATTAAATCATTTTTAATTGTTTTCCTCAATTCTAATTATAAACTAATCACAACAACAATTTAAACCTTTTTCCATTGAACAAAAAAAAATCGTTACCGTAACAATTTATACCCAATTAACAGTAAACCCTTTTGATTGTTTGGTCTTAATTGATTATTTTCACTTCTAATTACTCCAGTTAATTAGCTAATTTTCAGGATGATCATCAATGAATTAAGTTTAATTCTTGGCTCCTCAACATTGAGAATTGCTCTTCACATTCATATATCATATGAGGACAATTAAATTCACCATTAATTGAGTAATAATATCAATCGAAATGATTAGTATTAGTTAATCAAATTTTGACGATCAAAGTGAAAATATATTTAATTACCTTTAGGTGGTAAATACAATTCTCATTCACTCTCTCTATTAGTAATGACCCAGTAACAATTGACCCTGTGACGTTTAAATTGTTTTCTCCTCACAATTTAGGTCACAATTAATATAATGATAATTTAAAGGTATATAAAGTAAACACTATTATTTGTAACAATTTAATAATTAATTTAGAATCAAATTTTTCACAAAATTCAATCACAACTAAGTTTTCTTCTTAATTGTTAACATTATTTTCACTTGATTAACAATTTACTCTTTTGCTGATAAAGGTTTTTCTCAAAGTGATTTTGATTCAAATTTGATTTGAATTGATGATTTGACCCATCGCCAAATTTACGAGCAAATTAACTGGACAATTAAGTGAACCGATTGATAATTGTTGGCTATTGAAGAAGATCTCGATGAAGATCTGGCAGTTGATGGAAACGAAACTGATGGAATTGCTGTCGATGAGGTTTGATGATTCGTTCGATCTGTTGGATTTATTAGTTGACCTGGAGATTGAAGATCTCGAACTTGGTGGAGAAAGAGTTCTAATAGATAAAATCGGAGATGAATTGAAGCTCAAGCAATAATTTCGGTGACTCCAAATTAACTGCTTCATTCATTGATGAAAAAGAAATGTTTTCTCTTTCAATCTCTGTTTCGAAAAGATCATCCGGTTGTTATATCATACTCGAAGCTTCCGACATGCTGACATTTGTTGTTGTCCACCTTGTAGACACTTTGATACAATTTTAGGCCAACTAAGTTCATCTTCATCTTTATTACAATTGTTGTTCACATTAAAATCAGAAACAATATGATTAATTGTCGATCTGACCAACGGCTGATCGGTAGTCGAACAAATGATCGATTTCGGAAGATCGATTTTGTTTTCGGTCTTTCTATTTCTCTTTCTACTTTTCCAAAATCGATTAATTGTTTTATCTCAGAATTAACGAAATCAAAGTTGTAACAATCAATAGGGAAATCTTTTAATGAGTAAAAATTAAAAGTAATCAACAATGGAAAATCATTGCACCAATAACTAGACAATAATAGACTAATGATTTTGATCAAATTTACTGATTAATCTCTTGGACTAGTTGATAAACTAAAATACAATTACAATACTTTTAACCCGTAATTAAGAAATGAGTTGATTTTTCTATTGACCGGTTAATTATAAGACACTTCAAATTGAATCTAGATCTAATAATAAGTCTCAATCAATTAATTCAAATTGAACAATAGATTGAAAGATTTTCTTAACAATTAGTAAATAATTAGATAAATAGATAAGGGTAAATGTACACAAGATGAAGGTAATTAGCAATTGTTATATAAATTGTTCCAATTGACTATTGATCCAAAGTTTATGTGAATATAATTATCAATTGGTTTGAATCAAATTTGACTGGATTTTAATTGCACAATCACGTAGCGGGTTCTCACTTGCTTTGATACAAATCAATCCTTTTGAACCTTCAGCTCGACTATCGATATGAGTAGTTTCCGGTAGGTAAGTTGTTGTACCAATGTAAGTACAGGGTGAATAGTTGAATCCACATTCGGGAAATAAACTTGTCGCATAAACAATTAAACAATATAAATGTGAACAAGCGGGAGTCCCAAAGCAACCCGGTTGTTCAATATAAGAATAAGGTAAATTGACCAGATATTTAGTATGACCGGTGGCATTGAATGACCCAAACCGTAAGTTCAAGGCTTGAAGTTCAGTTAACAAGGGAATCTCAAAATTAAAGGTACACTGAACCATGTCAACGGCTTTAGCTAATCCTGGATGAATTTGTTTCTCCATAAAGTTTGAGGAAAAGTAATAGGGTGGACCAGAAGGATCTAAGCCTGGAAAGACAGAGGCAGAATAAAACAGAATTAAATTGTTATAATTGTTGATTGTTTAACTTTTTTTTTCCTATGGAAAATAATTAACTCACCTACTAGATGACCAAGGGTAATATTGTATGTTTCCTTTAACCAGGAAGCAATAAAGTATAACATGTTACCTCCGGCAGAAAACCCAACGACTCTTATATCATCGGGATTGATACATGGAGCTTGTTGGTTAACAATTAATCTTTGAGCAATTAAATTAGCTGTAACTCGACCGACAACTTGAACATTTGCCTGCATGACGAAAAAGTTTGCAGCCGGAAAAGGAAAGCCAAAAGCTACCACTGGATCAGCTGGATATCTCCAATCGACCAGAATAACATGATCAAAAGTTTTGAGTAAAACAACAGCGGGAACAAGATAAAGTTGATCAGTTGATTGTGATAAATATCCATGGATTAGAAAGGCAACTTTAGATCCACAGGTGATTCGAGATAAATCTTGAGTCAATCGATTGGGCGATGAACGTGATAAAAGGTAAAACTGTATTCCCATGGTATCGGGTGGTTCTGGACAAACAGAGTAAAAAGGTAAACTAATGTAACGAGATAAATCCCATGGTGGGAAACATCCGATATCAGGGTAACAAATATCCGCCAGACAAGGTATGAATACCCTTGGGTTGATTACCTGGTCAAGAGAAAGTGGCTGATTGTCGACCACTTGGACTAATAAGAGAACCTGGAAAATAAATAATTTAGAAAGACAATTAGTTATTGAAAAGGAAAACCTGAGATTCATATTGATCTACAGATTGGTGATTACTGTTGAAAAGTGAAAATTTAATCAATTAGATTGTTGGACTAATATTATTATTATTAATTTATCTCATCGTGAACGTTGTAAGCAAATGAATCTTCATTATGTTTCTAAGGTTTTTCTGAGTTTTTAGGTTAACTAATTGTGACAATTGGGAAATAACTACGGGTGTAAATGAATAAACATTAATGGTAATTGAATTCATAGAGATACAATTAAGGTCAATTCGGCAATTCCGGATTTCTTTCTGTCTTTCCTCATTAATATCTAAAAGGGTAAATTATCGGCGTCTCCTCGTTTTCACAATGACCTCTCGTTAATCTTTTAAGTAAATAGTAAATCTCTAGTTTAATCCTTTTGTCTAAAAAATTGTCTCTCAATCTTACCTTTGTAAATTTGCACCATTTCAGGTTGAAATTGTTAAAGGATCCATCGTAGTTGATAGATTTGGCTCAGTTCTGAATGAAGTTTGGTCATTTCTGACTTGGTTTGGTATTAGAAGTAAACTTAATTTACCTTTAGATTAATTAACAATCAATTTACCTTAAATTTTGGATCCGAAATTGCGATTGATCAAACAAAAGATTTTGACTATTAGAATCGTGTTAAATTCATTCGATTCCGTTGTTGAACTCGAATTTTTCACAAAATTGAATCACAACTAAGTTTTCTTCTTAATTGTTAATATTATTTTCACTTGATTAACAATTTACTCTTTTGCTCAGAATTTTGCTCAGGTTTTGTTGAATTTATCGAATCGCCGTCGATTTTAGGTAGATAGCGTCAATTTACCTGGAAGACATTCGACCTGATGTCTTAGTTTTTTCTTTCGAATATTTTTTTTTCTCTCTAAATCAGTAATCCTTTTAGGCCTTTTCTCTTGATGATTATCCTTTTTTGCTTAAGTTAGAATAAAAGAAAAAATCATAAGTAACATTTACTGATTAGTCTCTTGAGATTATCAAGTAAATTACTTTAATCAATTAATTGAAATGAATCGATTTTACCCTTTAACCTTAATAGAATCTCTTTTGAAAAGTTTGCTTATAAAATAATTTTATCGATTCTCAATTGGCTTGAACGTTGATTTAAAGGTAGAAAATGAATAATAATAATAATCTTTTTGAAATAAAAATGAAGGTTAATTTAGTCAAGAAAAACTAATCAACAATTAACTCGCACTTTTCCAGTGCGGAAGTTGCGAAAGAAAGTTAATTCAAAAAGGAGAACCTCCAAATCGTTAATGATTAGAATCATGTAGAAACTAAATTAACTTTAATTGTTGTTAAATAGAATTTGGATTATTGATGATGATTCTTGGATTCGATTCGATAATAGAATCAAGTAAATTGTCTTCGAATATTGTAAAGTAATTAAAGAATAAAACAATCGAAGGGGAAAAAAATCGGATCGACATTTTTGCATAGAAAAACAGTTAACAATAAAAAAGAAAGAAAAATTATTCGATAAACAATTAGAACTGTTATATCATATTTACTAATGTTCTAATCGAGTGTCAACTTTTTAATTATCCGTTTAAATTTCGCGATTTTTTAAGGTGGAGGCCATTTGATTGTAGAACTTTTTCTTTTCTTTTCTTTTCTTTTTCTCTTTCAACAACGAACCAGCAATTGAGAAAGTGAATTAACATCGTCAACAACGAAAGTGGAAAAAAAAACAACAACAACGAAAACGAATTGAGCCAAAAGACAGAAACACTTTTATCAGAATTGTTTACTTTTTGAGCTCATTTTTTTGGCGTTTTCAAGTTTGGGGTTTACAGCAATTCGTTAACTACTACTGTCTGTTGTCATAATGGTTGATTTAATTGTAACTGGTTTCCATTTCTTCAAGTCAATACACATACAGTTGGAAACACGCGCACGAGTTGGAAAGCACTTATATTATTTATATTTATAAGTTTCAGAATGTTGGTCAAGCTGAAAAGCTTAAAAGTCAGCAAACCATCAAGCGAAAGATATTAAAAGGAGTAATCAAGATAATCTATTGAGAAGAAAAAAACATTTTGAAACAATTAACAAAGAATAAGATGTTAACCATTGACAATTAGTGGGATTGAATGTTTTCCAATGGAAAATTAGATTAGAGTTTGTCAACTTTTCGTTGTTACGATTATTTGTTGTTCGTTTACTTGGAATCGTGATTTGTTCATACGATTAATTGAATTCCCCTTCGGTAAACCGTGAAATTTATAATGAAAATAAAATCATGATACGAATGCTGATTGATCGTCAAAAAATATCGACCTTTCATCTTATATATAAGGTGTATTTATACAGGTACACACATACGTTTACACACTACTTAGTTTTACTAATCATGATGATTAACAAATTGTTAACTGTTTTTTAACGGTAATCTGTCGATGTTTATTGATTAACTTTCTACTATCAACAATTTGCAAATCAATTCTCACAATTTTTTTCTTCTTTTTTACTGACAGATACATCATCATCATCATCTTCATTACAAAACTAATGATACATTAGCAATTAAACTTTGTCAACGATTAACAATTAACATCAATGAGCATCGATAATTGTTATGGACTCTCTCTCTCTCTCTCTCTCTCTCTCTCTCTTATTGGTACAGTGATTTCTGATTGATGGTGATGACGAAAAAAGATTCATGGTAAAAAATTGAATGAAAAATTGATGAATTTAAGATTGATTCATTACGAGAATAATGAAAGAAAAATTGTCAAATAAAACAAATCAACGGCGATTAACGTTAATTGGAAACTTTTTACACGCTCATATAATACACTAATTGTGGGGATAATAATCAACTAATCATAATCATCATCATTTTGGAAATAATTTTACCTAAAGAAAAAAGTTTCACACAATCGTCATTCAATAAACAATAAGGACAAACTTTAACATGAAATTATAATACCAATAACAATCAGTTAATTTCTGTTAAATTATCAATCAAAGTGCTATTATTATTTTCGTTGTTGTTTATGATTAAGAATTAAAAAGATATCATCATCATCACCATCATCATCATCATCGTCATAAATATAACAACGAGGAAACAAATTAGGATTTGGTTGGGAACAAGGAAAACAAATCAAATTGTTATATCGATTTTTTTTAATTATCACTTAAATCTGATTGGTTTGTATTGGGTAATCTGTTAATTGTCAATAACGATTAACTCAGAAATGTCATCGCACTTGATTCAATATCTAATTTACCTTGGAAAATGTTACAATTACATTTCTAGGAAGCAAATAAACAACAATCAACCTTAATTGTTTGTGTCTTCCCCAACATCGTCAATCATTTTTAACCCTTTCTCTTGATTACAATAAACTTAAAAATGGGGAATTAACTTTTCCTAATCAACTTACCAACCAACAATTACTATTAAATTTTATTATTACTGTTCATTGACTTTGGAGAAAAATTTTATAACAATTAAATGTTATTATTAAATAATAATACTTCATACGAATACACAATTAAATCAAAGAGAGAGAGAGAAAAGTTAATTGTTTTAATATGAAACAATACGTCAATGGCAACGTAATAGTAGTAGGTTGACCTTGTCCAAATTAAATCACTAAATTTAATCACAATCAATCAAAAAAGAAACTGAAAGTTAACTAATTTACCCGAAGAAAAAAAAACCCGAAAAAATTTCCGAGGAAAAATTAACGAACCTCAAAGGTAAAACTCTCATAGTAATTAACTAATTCTGATTGATAATAATAAGGTTTTAATGATTACAATTTAGTAGCTGAATAATAAAATTACAGGAAAATTACCTAATCAATTAAATTGAATAATTAACAATTAAAAGTTTCTGCAAAACAATAAGCTTTACAATCAATTTGGATAAACAAACAAATAATGTGAAAACAAAACAACAACAATAACAACAATTTACTGATTGTAATCAAAGAGATTCATTTAAACCAAATTAAATTATGATTCTGGTAACAAATTGATTAGTTAAATGTAATAGTGATTAAGATAATTAACAAGTCAATATCTTCTTATTCTGGGAAATCCCGTTGTCACAATAATTAACATTTTCTCAGGTAAATACAAACTTATAATCTAATTTGCCTGAGGGCTAATTTTTTAATTCCTAAATCTTGTTAGTTAATTTTTTTCTTGATTAGTGATTAAGTTACTAAATTTATAAAAAGAATTTTTTTTTCCAACGAATTAAATAGTTAAACATCAATGAGAATAATTAATTTTACTCGTTTCTCGTTTTTTCTAGTTGATTGTTGATGGAATAAGAAAAAAAGTTTCTTTCGAAAAGATAATTAAATTAAATAATTATGATTACGATTTTCCTGGTTTTTGATTGTTGATATTTTTAGAAAAGAAAAATTTTCTTCCATTTAATTATCATTAAAAAATCGTATTTACAAGTTACTATTGAAACTTTTATGTTCCCAGTGTTTGTGTTACATGGGATTTGATTTGTTGCACGATTACAATTTGTTGATTGTTGATTGTTGATTTAATTGCGATTGTTGATCAACACAATTAACAAGAGTTTTTCCTTGAGAAGTTTTTCTTTTGTTTCACTCTCTCTCTTTTTATCCAACACTTGACAATATTTTTCGATTGATTTTCTTGTTAATTGTTGATGTTTGATTGTTCATTTTTTGTTTTTTTTACTATTTAAATATAATATTTTATGATTAGAATTAATTTTCATTCGAGATTGATTCTCACTGATTTGTCTTCTTCTTCCATTTGTTGATAACCAATTTGTTGTAAATTGAACAAAAATTAATTCGCATCTAAATATATGAATTTGTATTGTGATAATGTTTACCGAATTAAGAAAATGTGAGATAACAAATTTAACATTGCAAAGTAAAGTTGATTAATCTTCACGATTTTCGGAAACATTTTTAATACAGTTCATACAAAAATTGCTTAATTTTTTTTTCTTTAACATGGACAATTTGATTGTTAGCATCACAATTAGTATATAATATATATAAAGTTGATTGTAAATATTATGTGTGTGTGTGTGTGTGTGTGTGTGTTTGTGTGTATATGAAAGGAGTTTGTGAGTGGAGAAAGTAGAAGGAGAAAGAGAGAAAGAGAGAGAGAGAGAGAGATTTATGTGAGTATATTTTGTTGTTATAGTTGTTGTGTTGGTGTGTTAGTCAAGTGAATTAACGTATGAATCTGATACATGATCAGCGTATTTGGAGAAACGAGTTAAAATAGATTGAATTCCTTGGATGTGAAGTTTAAGTAGATTAACAATGTATTCAGGTGAAGATTCGGCGACTGAAGAAGCATCATTTTCACGGGATTGATTTGGTGCTGAAGAGGATGATGAACAGCATTCAGAATCTGAATCAGAAGCAGGTGAAGAAGATGAGGTTGATTCATCATCAGAATTTCGACTGAAACTGTTAAGTGAAGAGAAACCATCATCCGATGAGCCTGAACATTTACATGAGTGTAACTTTTTACTTAACCCGGTAAGATCACCTTCAGCTATCCTTAAGGAGCAAGATGATGATGAAGATGATGAGGCTATCTGATTAGAATTATTAACATTATTAGTTGTAGAAGAAGATGAAGGAGTTGTTAGAATTGAAGAAGGTGAAATTGTAGTAATGCTGTTGGTTATCATGTTGTTGGTGGTGGTGATAGTTGTTGGAGAATTACAATTAATGGCAGAAGATAAAATATTGGCAGAAGAAGAAGAAGAAGAAGAGTTTGAATTATCATCATCAAATCGAGCTATTGTTAATTCATCTTTTAAACGATTTAACAATTGGTGTAGAGTTTGAAGGTCAAAACAGTCGGACAGGTCAGGTGAAGAGGAAGAGGAAGTAGCTTTAGGTGATGAACACTTATTTAAATCAGTCAACATGGAGGGAACCAGAACAGTATCATTCATATCATCAACATCTCGGACAAATTTACAAATTGTATGTATAAAACTAGATCTACTTGATCCAAGGACCACAGAGGTTAAATCATTTAATCTTGATGATGACATTATGTTGGTTTGTGTATGTGTGTGTAGTTGTGTAAATAGTTGATGAGTGTTTGTTGGTGTGTGTGTGTGTATAAATCACAAAATTATCAATATATATAAAATTAAAAGGTGTGTTTGTGTATATAAATTGAAGAAAAAAAAACGCTAAATCGGTTGTTGTTAAACTAAATCACAAGAAGCAAATGACTGGAGAGAGAGGGAAACATTTTGTTTTTATAAACCGAATTTTTTTTTTCTCCCGCGCATGCGCAGTGAGTTTTTTCTTTTTTAAAAATGTTCTAAAGAGAATAAAAAAAACATTCTCTTCTCTTTTCTCTTCTTCTGTTTATATAATAATAATTTCATTGATTAATATCATTGACTGTCCCTTTCCCCAAAGGTTTGTATTAACTTGATGATAAATAATTTGTTTTAATTGTTTCAAGGAGATTACATTGAACAGAATTTGAATCTGTTTCTTTTTCTCTTCCAGTTATTAAATTAACTTTGGATTTTAATGATTACTTGTTTTTTGTTTTGTTTTGTTTCTTCATTTCCAATGTAAAATAATCGGAAAATATTTAACCTTCTCTCTCTCTCTCTCTCAGTGTTTTAATATTTTTCCTCTTTTTCTTTTACTTTCATGTGATTACCATGGATTGGATTACTTGTTGGATACTAATCGTTGACTAATTGTTGCCATTGATTGTCATGGTTATATTGTCCATGGTAAGGACATGATGTTGATTAACCTTTTCTCATGGATTTTCTGTTGATTGGGCTTCCTTTTTCAATCCTTGAATTTGTAAGCAAAAAGGTTACAAACATTGGGATTATCACACAAACACTTATCTATATAATCAAACAGGGTTGATTGTTGAAGGTAAATTGTGATTATTAAACTAGATTAATTAGTTTTCTTCTCTTCATTTTCCTTAGATATGGTTAATTTTGTCATTGGAAATTACACAGACATTGGATTTGCTTTTTTTTTCTCTCTCTCTCTCTCGTTTTTTTTTGCTTCTCTTGTCAACAATTTGGATTCAATTGGATTTACACCTTTAAATGATGATTAGTTAATGATTATTATGTTAATCACTGACCATGAACCACACAAAGTGACCTTAATTTTTTTTTCTCTTCAAAGTTATATTACTTGATTACATATAATAATATATATTTATTTATTTATTTATATATTATATATGTATGTGTATGTTTATAATCTGTTAATAATTATGATTAGTATATAATCAGTTAGTTAACTTTCAAATCAAGTCTATTAAAAGGTAACTCTTAAAAAGTAAAAAATTTTCTTCAATTAATCGTAATTAGAAGGTCACTTTAATCATGGTTTTTCCTGATTTAATTTTCAGTCTTCCATTAGTTTCCTTACTATCCCCTTTTCTGTTATTTTATATCATCAACATTTTCTTAATCATCATCGCAATCAACTTAATCATGATTAGTATTAGATTTTCGGTTTACCTTTTCGTTTTCGTTTTCGTTTTTTACTTATACAATCCAATCAATTAATTTATCTTTCTCTTTATTTTCAGATTTGAAACAATTAACACCCAGGATTAGTTTGCAAACAAAAAGAAAAGGTAATAACCTCAACACATACGAACCTCAATCAAAAGCCCCTTGTAAACTTGTTAACAAATTTGATTCCATTAATTAATAGTAATTTTGTAACAAAAGCAACAATTTACTATTAATTATGATCATTTTATCTGAAATCTTGAAGAGAGAGAAAAAAAACTTTCTCTTTTTTTTACAAATTCGAGAAAAGTTTTTTTCTTCTTCTTCTTCTTCAAGGTCAATTCCTGATTAGTTTCAATAAATCAATTGATTGTATTGTATGTTATCAATGGAACCTTCCAACGTGAAAGTAAAAGTAAATTAACTTAATTGCAATTAACTTTGCACTTGATCATCAGTCTCAATTTTCATCATTCTTGATCTTCATCATTATCATCATCAAACTCGTATTCAGGTCAAATGTGAACATTTAGAAAGGGAAAAAACAGATCAAAGTAAAAAGTGCTAACGGGAAGATGATGATAATGATGAGAGAAAGAAAAGAAAGAGAGATTTGAAGATTAAATTTTTCGTCTTATGATAAAGAGAGAGAGAGAGAAAAAAAAAATTAAGAAAAATCGAAAGTGAAAGTTAATAGAAATTTAGGTAAATCGTAAATTAGAACTTAAAAACTTAACTAAGGTCACGTTTCGAAAAAAATTTCTGGCCTGGTTATCGATTTCAGGTCTTTTCGATTGATCTTTCAAGTATAATTTAAGATGTAAGGTGTGCCGATATAAGGAAGAAGATGTTTAATCATCTTCTTTAATCATCCTTGCCCTCACTCTCTCTCCAACTAATCAAAATCATCTTCTCTTTGCTATTAATATCGTTTTCGTTAATTGTTGACACCTTGAACTTTGTCGCCAGGAAATGTTACATTTGAATTGATTTTCCTTTCCCTTAATTGTTTCCATTTAAATTTCTCACCAAATTACGATTGATTTAAATTTGTCCAAAGTAAATATTGTTAATTGTTCTCGTTTGTTGTTGACAATTAATCTCTACTGTTAAATCTGATTCTGGCCGTTTAATTGTTGTTCACGTGGTGAAATACAATTTGATTGTGCCAATGATTTGATCACGTGAATTTGATTGATCTTAAATTGTCTTGATTATCTTTTAATTGATAAATTGATGATGATTAAATATATACACTTTGGAATAAACCAAATCTATTATTATAATTAATATTATATTTAGTTTATTGATTTATTAACAGTTTAATCATAAACACTAATCACATACACACACACACATATAAAGATCTTAATTGTTGATAATTGTTTGTTAGACTTTTGCTTGGGCGACTTTAATCACGTTTCTCTACTGCAACAATTAAACTGATTTAGATTATTCAATTTTGTCAATTTTCCGTCAAACATTATTATCACTGTCACTTAATTGTTAACTATAAACACTAATTAGCTCAATCATCAATTTGTTGATTAAAGGAAAAGAACAAGAAAAAAGTTTTGATCAAACTTTCTTATTATTATAATAATTAAATTTTCCAATCAGTTAATTGTTGGAAAATATTATTGATTTAATTAATAAGGAAACTTGTTGAAACTTTAAATTAATTTGATTAATCAAAATTCAGATCATCTTCTTAATTGTTGAGATAGTCAATTGAGAAATTGAGTAAATCGAAACTTTTAAAAAAAAAGTTTAAACAATTAAAACATTTTCTACAACAATTAAGGCAGAAAAAAAGTTCAATTGATTAGTGAACCATTTAATTGTTACACATTTGTAGTTTTCATAATAAATTGTCAACAATTTAAGTTGATTGTTTGTAGACAAAAAAACCAAACCAAAACTTAATCATTGGAAAACTAATTCATTTATGACAATTAAATATTCAACTTTAATTGTGACTAAATTAACCAGATGCAAAGAAAGTAACATAATTAACTAGATTTAAATATTTACCATTATAACAATTAAGTTAATCCTTGAAAGTTAATCCATTTAAAGTTATTAACCAAGAGTTGAAACAATTAAAAAAAAAGTTATTAGTTAATTACAATTAAACAGGTTATAGTTAGACTATGATAGTGGCAATGAAAATTGAAAAGGACACTAATTAAGTTAATCATCTTAAATCACACCTCTTTTACTACCTAAATTGTTACAATTAAAGCACAAAAAAATTAAAGGTCAACAAACAATCAAAAATCCCAAAAATAATCAAAAAGTTTAATTGTTTGGGACAAAAATGACTAAACATCAACAATGCCATTGAAATGGTTAATTAATCATTAACAATTAGCCATAAGCACAATTAAATTAACTTTTGGCTGGTTGACAGTAAAGTGTTTGATACATAAATTGTGATTAACTTTAATTGTGCTAATTATCAGATGGATCAACTGATTATGAACATTTAATTACAATCAAAGAAAAAACAAAAAAAAATCTAATCCTTAATAACTAATCAAATGTCCTGAATCAAGGAGTTGATTAAATTAAATGAATGATTAACAAATTGTTTCACTTAATCATCAGCATAATTTGAATAATATAATTTAAGTTTTTGTTTTGCAATCAACTCATCTGATCAATATCAATATCAACTTTGATTGTTAATTGTTTAATTTAGTGAATCAAATTAAAATTACAAGTTAATAAAAAAACTTTTTATTCAATTTGATCAACTAAATTATTGAAAATTATGAGAAAAAAATAACAATTAATCAAATCTAGATGATCATTATAGTTTAATCATTTAAGATTGAGACTGAAAAAAGTTAATTATCATTTCTAATATTGATTAAGTAGGCTAATTATTTGCTCTGATTAACAATCAACTAATCAATTTTTTCCCCTTTAAAACTTTAAATCATTTAATCAGTTGTTATTTACGATTTATCAATTAATTTCCTGTTATTTCATACCAATATCAAGAAAATAGATTACATATATTAACCCTTTTAATTGTGAGGAAATGTTATTTCAAATTCTGAATAATTAGTTAATTGTTGTGGAAAAAAAATTTTCAAAAAAAAAATTCTTCTCAATAAAAACCACGAGATGGCGTTGATTGTCTATGGAGGGAAAGGGTTACCAATTTAATTTGATTCTTTTTTTAGTTAATCAGTTAAATCTTAATCACTTTCTCTTAATTTCTTTAAATTATCTTACCAATTAATTGGGATTTTCCAATTTGTTACCTTCTAATTGAAGTTTTTCAAGTTTATCTTTTCCACTTTACCTCCAAAATCTGATCAACGGGAAAACATTGTCTTCACATTTACATTTCAATACATTAATTGTGATTATCACCAATTCCTTAATTCAGTTTGGCTCAATCACCATAATCTAATTAAACTTTAACTCTCTCTCTCTCTCTCTCTCACTCAATTGAATCAGGTTCAATTGAGATTAACATTGCTGGTGGTTAAATAGTATCATTTCTGTCCGTCAAAATGTAAGTAAATGTTGTTCAATGTAAAGTCTAATTAATTGTAACCTTGATTAGCTCCTTGACTTTGTGTTTTTGGGTTTTTTTAAACACTTAAATTAAATTTTCCAATATATTTATGTATATTGGATACGACTGTACATGTACATTAATTAACTCACGTTGATTAGTGTGATTAGTTATATAATAATCCATGTTGATGATGATTGGTTTTGTTGTTGTTGTTTTTTCGTGTCTTGAAAGTAAACTAACACCAAACAATTAATCAATTTTTTTTATTGATTCTCATTACTATTAACTAACTAACTGATTATTTGTATATAAATAAATATATTATTTAGTATATGTCAAGTATTTAGGAAGAAAAATTTAAATTTAGTTTTTATTGTTGACGTTTTATTGCTATTAAATTTAGTTAGTTTCGTACTTACGATAAATCAAATCACAATTGCCAACAATTAACTTCTAACACCAACATATTGATGATGATATTTTGACAATTTGATTGCTTCTAATTGTGTTTGTTAACATTTTTGCTAAGCCCTTGAGCTAATAATGATACAGTTGATTGTTTAACTTTTTTATTTGAGAAAAAAAAATCTAATTGTTTGCATATTGGTAATCACAATTAACCATGAAATGAGAAAGGGTTACACTCGGAAATCAATTGATCAACAATATTATAATAGTTTAACTACTTGATGATAGTTAATCATCAATGATTATTAATCATTTATTATCATCAAGTCTTAATTATCTTGGTTCAATTGTTAATAATGCTAAGGCCGATTGGTGAAAATAATTTTCTGATTCATTGTAATTAGACAATTAATTTTGCAATGATTGTGATGTGATGATTATTGTTTAATTAATAACAATTAAGGAATAGTTTTTAATTCATCTCAACTCAATAACTAATAACAAATTAATTGTTTCTTTATTTTTCCCTCAACAATTTAATCATTTTCGGATATTTAACCTTCGGATTTTGTTGGACAATTAAACGATCGGATAATAGGCATTCGTTGCGAGTCCACATAAATTGTTCAGGTTTCTCTGTATTCGGATATAACCAAATTCACCCCAACTTGGACCAATGTTATTCCGCACCAACCAGTAGTCCTTATTTTCATCTCGACCATAGCCGACGATGGTCACCCCATGGAACAAATCTCGAGTTCCACATTCAAGGTCATTGAAAATTCCCGACGAATATAACCGGAAATTACCAGCACCATCCATCATGGTGGAAATTGGTCCAACCGTGGCCACAGCTCGTTTCAACGCTTTTTCCGTTGGTTCAACCCTTCGATAGCCCTTAATTGTTGCATTTACCATTGATAATCCATAATGGAAACACTCTCGTCGATAACCTGTAAATGGATAATCCTTTTCTCGAGGTAATCCCAGATTATTGATCAAATATCGATAACCATCCCTAACGGTACCATTTAGACAGCCCCGTAACTCATTTGAACCAAATGAACAATCAATTAATGCTGCAACACTTAGAGGAGTTAAACGTCCAGTTAAATTGAACATTTGACCCTCGATCGCATCGACCACCGCAAAAGCCCAACCACCGCGATTACAGGCCTTTACATGTCTCAAATCTGAAATCCAACCATGATTGCGCCAATCAACAGTCTCTGGCAAATCATCATCATCATCATCATCATCACGATTGTCATCAATTACTGAAGAATTGACAATCGACCCTGATTGTTGTGTTACTTTCAATCTGCTATTTAATTGTTGGCCTTCCGTCAATTGATTGAAATCGTTACTACAATTTGGTGTTTCCTCGTCTTCCTGTTTCAATGAAATGATAATCATTTTTTTTCTCTCACTTGATGATGTGTCAATAATTAATCAATTAGAAAAAAAATTGCTAAAAGATAACCTTCAATTGGGTACACACACACACACGATTCAATTGTTGGAATCAATTAATTGTAACTCTGTTACTTGAAGATCAATTTAACTCTTGTCTAGGTCAACTTTCAATGATTGGAATCGATAAAATCAAATGGATATACATAATATGTATATAATATTATTAATCCAAATAACTTGCGGGTAAATTTTATATCATCATCTTGATAATCTTTCTCAATCATCATGAAGGTAATCATAATTATCTTCATGATGATGATGATCATGAAAAGAGAAAGTGTAAAACCTGAAATGGATTTAATTTGGTTTCATCTTCATCTCTCATCTTATCAACAGTTGATACCAGATAATAATGGTTATCCTGATGAAAAAACAACGAAAACAACAACAACAATTTGTTAATCATGATATTTGGAAAGGTCAATTAATGAAGACAACTAATTGAATCAAGAAACCCGGAATTATCAAGTTAACCTTTTTAATATATCTCCTGTTTACTTAATGTTATTTGGTTAATCATCATAATCATCATCATACTGGTGGATACAGTTTAATTTGTTATTAAATTGTTGTTAATGTTAAAGGCCAACAATCAACTAAACTACCACCAACAGCAACAACAACAACAACAACAACACCTTTGACCTCGCAAGAGTGACAAGTTATATCACTTTTACAATAATAGCTTGAAGCTAATTGTTGGTGAAAGTGAATAATAATAATAATCATCATCATCATCAAATGAATGACAATTAGCTGGAGTTACAATCATTAGGTTGCCCACTTGAAGGTTTACCCTGAAAAAGTGAATTGAATCAGAGTATTTCTAATCACAGAATTGAACTCGTTGGGTTTACTCTATCTAAGGTCGGAAAATCTCAGGTCAAAAAAGTCCACAAACAAATTAACGCAATTAGAACCAAAAAATCACTCAATTATTACCATACAGCTCAATGGAAAGACTCAAATTGTTCTTGATTGTTTGTTTCTGTACAAATGGTTAATTGTTGAATAGTAAAAGTAAAGAAAAGAAAAAAAATTTAACCAAATCAACTGAATCAGGAGAAGCAATTAAAATGATCAATAGTAAAAATTACCATTATTTTAACTGTTTAATTGTCGACCTTTTTTTTTGTTGCTTCTATTTAATTAGATTTAATTATTTGTAACTGTTGTGTAACTTACCAAATCAGTGAATTGATTAACTGTTAATTGATAACTTTCTAATCCACGAGCTGCTTTATCATTGTGATACTTAATTGTTTCCAAATTGTTGAGAAACAATTGTCTCCTTTTTTCATCTTCATCATTGGAATAACTTTTTGAATATTTAATCTGGTTTGGTGGGAATTAATTAGAAATCACAATCAACAATTAACATTATTAATTCTTACCTTATAGTTAATCCATTGGCGATTAGAATCAATTTCAACTGATGAACATAAATTGTTGTAAATTGTTACGATTGTCAAACAATTAACTAGGAAATTCACATTTAAATGGAACATAGTTCTCTCATTGCTGTCAACTAATTAACTTCACTAATTAGCTCATCATTTTAATTAGAAAAAAAAATTGAAAAGGTTAATTGTAAGTGTTTCTTTTTTCCTTGAAATTTTTTTTCCAATGATTAACTGATTCTCGTTATGATCTTAATTGTGATTATCTTCTGCTGTCACCATGTTAATTTAACTGATTAATTAGTCACCGTTTTCCATGGTAGACAAAATCACCTAATCACATCGCTGATTACGAATAAACTTGAATTGTTGTTAAGATAATCAATTGGAGAGAGAGAAAGAGATTAATTAACAATCATGAAGATTGAATAATTTTTTTTCTTATTCATTCATTTTCTCAAGTTTTAGACTCTTAGATTGACTGATGGCCAACAACGTAATTAAATCAATCAAGTTACTAACAGACAATTTAAGTTTTCGAGTTAAATTTGATCGCTTCTTTTTTCATTAGCCTTATTTTGATTGTTGTTAGATTATTATATCAATTGTGTTTGATATTTGAGCGAAAATTAATTTCTTGTTGTTGAAGTTTTTTATTCTTCCTTTTTGTTGAAAGTTGACTTGATGTTTAAAATATTGACAAGGAGTTACAGAGAATCGTTCGAGAGAAGGGAGCGAATGAGAGAGAGAGAGAGAGAGAGAGAGAGAGAGAGAGAGAGAAGCGAAAACAATTTGTCGAGTTGAGCATTTATTTTGTTTCTGTCGATTGATTGGTTTGTCATCGAGTTTGATTTTCCCGTTCAACTGTAGGCCAATTTTTCCTGTTCTTAATTGTCCTTAATTGTTCTTGATTTGATTAAAAAAAGTATTGCGGATCGTCAATGTTTTGATTATAGCAGTTTTTAGTAGTTTATAAATCCCGGCATTTGTGGGGCTGATTTTTCAAGATTATCGGGTCCAGTATAACCAGCGTAACGGATACTGGTTCGAGCGGGTTTAGTTGAACTTTGGCACGATAAAGCGAATTTCAGGTCACGAACCATTTCATCGCACATTGATTTCTACAATTAGTTAAAGATAAAGAGAAAAATAGAAAGAAAGAGAAGAGCAAATTCGAAATTAGTTGAAAAATGTTGGAGATATAAAACATCGAAATAGATTTCAAAGTACTTCTTGTAGTCGAGTTCGTACCCGGTCTGGAGCAATTTTCCTCGCTCTCCACATGAATTCACAAACAGCCATAAGAATTGAGAAAGAAAGTCCACCGACCAGGACCACGAAAACACCACCAACATTACCAAGACTTAGTTCGGTAACACTTGATGAACCCTTTTTAGCGTCATCGGCACAAGCACCACCGCCGCGTTTTTGTTTCCACCAGCGGTCTTTAAGAGTATGAAGAACACCTCGTTCTTGAAGTTGTAAAATTCCCTGGGAAAGGAGCCGAGAGTAGGGTGAGTTACGTCGAGTGGCAATTCCATAACCTTTATTGTCCAATAGTCCACCGATTTGGGTTAAATTACATTCCCGTTCAATGGCATATTCAATGGAAGCCGATTCCATTAGGAAAGCATAGTTACCATTGAGAACTCGTTTTTTACCATTACCACCGGAAGAGGCAAACACATGAGGATGGCTGATCATGAATTCATACATCCTCGAGTAGACGGACAAATTTGAGTCCTTAAAGAAACCACAGGTCGAACCTGATTTAACGCAACCATATTCAATCTCGGTTTGCATTGATAAATCTTTAGCGTCTTCGATTGGATAGACAACTTTTTCAACGGTCAAAAAAGCGGCCAAATTAGCGGTGTACGAAGAGATCATGATCAGTGTGAAGAAGTACCAGATTCCAGCGATGGTGCGAGTAGACATTGACCTGGAGAGGAAAATATTGAGAAGAAAATTAGAATCATCAATGAAACAACAATTAGGAATTAAGATTTTCGAAAGCAAGTGATCTTTGTATGCGTACTTTGGGGCCAAGTCGGAACCTTGTTGCATAAGACTTCCGATTGTGAACCAGAAACTGTTCAAAAGACTGAAATCGTTTTCGAGAACTTGGTCATCTTGCCGACAAGGGTGTGGATTATCCCATTCGTAGGGTGATAATCGTCCAACGACAAAGAGTATCACCGAAACACCAACATAAGCACCAACCACATAGACCCAAACAACCATTGAAAAGGGTGATAGAAACGAGAACAGGGTGGTCACCTTTTTGGTTGGTTTTCTAAACAAAATTGATATACCAGTGTTCATGAAAGGAAGGGTGAAATCAACGGCTTCCTCTCGTTTCGATGTAATCGTAAGATCGGCAATGGCCAAATCGGCCTCACCTCGAATAAGCTCACCAATCATACCATTCCATTCACCGGTTGTCTCATTGAGTGTCCCATAAGCTTCATCTTTAACCTCTCGAAAAATGTACTTGAAGTGTAAAATTTTGGACAATTCATCAATCAGGTCGATTGCATAACCTTCATATCGTTCATTTTGTGACTTTTCCCGTGCCGAACCTTTCAACATGGCATAAGGTTCATTCAAGATTGTAGTGACAACGAAGGTCTTATTTTCAAGAGCGTGGGTTGAAAAGAAACGTCCTCCAGGCATCGCTAATGTTAATTCCTTTGCCTTCTTCAGGATTCCAGATACCAATCTATGTAAAAAAAACAGATAGTTTTCAGGTCATTTCGAGTCGAAAAAGAAAATAATGAATCGTCAACAATTAAACTCATCAAATTGTTTGTAACAATTTACCTTTTGTAATCCATCCTCAGAAACGGTCATCACGTCGAGAGTGAAACTTGACCTAAATCCAAGTTGATCGAAGGCAACTAATCCAGTTATCCCTCTGAATGTGATCTGACAAAATTGAGGGAGAATTAGTAAATCATTGAAATCGTCTTTGCAACAATTAACTCACCGGTCTCATGTAATTAAGTAATGAGCTTCCATGAAGCCAAGGTAAACCGTTTTCACAAGAGATTGGAGTTACATCAATTGATTGACTCTGGTCAAGATCTTGTAAAGCAGTGGCCATTAATTTAACCGCATCATAAATCAATGCTGTTTCCGTCTAATTAAATTAATTGATTTGATTAGATTCACGATAACAATTACTATTATTATTATTATCATTAGTTTCTTACTCTTATACTTTCAGGAGGATTAATTGTCCGTCTACCATAACGGGTTGAGATTGAGCTCCATTCATCAAGTAAAGTGATTAATTCAGTTGATGAAGTATCAATTAACCGGAATGATGAAATTTTCGTCTTACTAAATTTAAAATCTTCCAAATCAACTGTATGAAGATCCTGAGAGTGTAATAAATAGCAACAATTAATAAATAGTCAAACAATAACAATCAGAAACAATTAAGTTGAATGGAAAAGTTTTTCTCAATTACCAAAGATGTTACCAGATAATTATGATTCTCAGTTAAAAGGCCAACTTGTTGAGCCTGGAATTAAATTTAACAATAAGAATTACAGTTATTATTCACAATTAGAATTCAGTTAATTGTGATTAACTTACATGTTTAAGAGCTCGATTTATATTCTCAGTTTTTACATCGAGAACGATATTTGTCTCTCTGGTTTCTTTAATTTTCCAATATGTTTCTCTATAAGGTTTACCTGATCGAAATTTGTAAAATTTAACTGACCAATCATGAGCTTGAGCTTGTTTCAAAAATTCTTGCAGACGAACTAATCCTGATTGGATATAATTAATCAGAGAAAAAGAGACCAATTAAGTTAATTGAGAGAGAGAGAGAGAGAGAGAGAGAGAGATTTGTATTCATGTAAGAAACTTGAAGACCAATGGTCAGTGCTTACCATCATTATCTTCATAAGCGACACAAAAGTGTTTCCAGCCGAGATATTTGACCAGGTCAATGTAGGCTCGACCCAGAACGGCTGGTTTAGGATAAAGGTTAATTGAAAGCTCTTCCCGGTGGGATGAAATATCCCACCGAGTTTCAATGTGAGGTATTTCAAGAGCATCACAAATTGATTGAACGTGCATTGAGGTGACACCACTAAGAGGACCCAAGATGGCTGCCACTCCAGTGTGAAGAAGGCCACAAACTATATACATATAAATACAATTAGATTAAAACAATTATAACAATAACATGATGATTCTTAATTGTTATCCAATCGTTATTTACCTTTCTTATCAGCTCTGAAACTATCACCTGAACCGAAACGTTCAACCTGAGCCATCAAAGCCGATCGGGGCAATATCGTTGTATCAGAGTTAATCCTATCCACCGCGTATTTGAATACTAATTCCTGCTCTTCTTCACCTTCACTAAATAATCCACCTAAATTGTAACAATTAACAATAAACAAAATTAGTACAAAAATAATCATTAATTGAATCATAATAATCTGATGAAATCTCAGTCAATCAAATTTACTTTCTTGGCGTTTCTTATACACAATATGCTTTTTTTTTGGGTACTTTTTTTCATACCAATTAGTTAATTGCTTATCCACTTACCTATTCTAATTACACTGGGAAATGAAACAATTTGCTGGACTATTGATGAAATAACAATAATGTATAACAATAACATTTTAATTAGATAACAAGGTAACGGTAAATGGTTGAAGATTAACATTGTTGATATTTTGTTTGTCTGTATTTATATTGAAAGTTGTTAACTTGTTAACCAGAACTGAATTAAATTAATTTCTTTGGTAACTACACAACATTTAAAATTTGATTTGAGGCGAAAAAATTTACAAACAATAATAATAATTAACAATAAACAACAGAAAATGTGATAATTACATTTGAAGATGAGGATGAGGATGAAAAGATGAGGATGCTTAACTTTAGGTGAATCTTTAGCTTCACAAGAAAAATTATTTTCTTCTTGGAATATTATTTTTTTTTCTTCTCTTTCTTTTTCTCTTATTCTATCGATTGAGTTTCTCAACATTTTCAGGATGCGATCTGATTGTGCGTTCATGATACAGAATCAGGAACAACATTCACCATGAAGGAGGAAAAAAAGATGCTCAGCATTTGGTGATAAAGGTTTAGTATCATGACGATGGAAATCATGAAATTCATTGAGGCGATTCAGTTTCATCGGATCAATTTAAAAGGAATTCATGATAAACAGTTAAATTGATTCATAGTCGTAATTGTTTCAACTGATTAAATGATGAGAAAAATGATCGAAACTGTTAATCAAGTTTTTCTTCAATAATAATCAATGGATTTATTTGTCTTACCTTATAATTGTTAATTGTTCCGATTGGGAATTGAGTTAATCATTGTGATGAAATTGATTGAACATTGAATATTATCATTGGAATGATTAATATTTTATGAGAATTAATATTAATTGGAAAACTTTTTTTTTCGTTAGACACAATTAACGATTTTCTAATTATCAGAGGGATAAAATCATAGACTGTTTAATGAGATTGTTAATTGTTTGGATGAAATCAAAGTTTTTCCTCTGTCAGCAATTTAATGATCTTTTGGTTGATCATTTAAAAACAACAATTAACTAATTATCTGCATTTTTGATGATTGAAAGGAAATCGCGTAATTGATTGATTGTTAGGTGAACAACAATTTTGATTTCTAACAATATTCCGAGTAACAAAATCAGAGACAATATAATCTTCAATGAATTAAATCAATTTATTGGCTGTAAGATCCAAAAATTAAATCAATCAAGTTAGATATGAAATCATTGAGAAAACAGTGATTTAACCTAATTATCTAATTGTTAACGGAGGGAATTGAATATTAAAAAATTTCCAGCATTGGTAAGTTATGGGCATAAATTTCTAATATTAATTGTAAGTTAATCAGAAAGCTTTCAATCAAATGTGATCAAAGTTGATATGAGGAGACATCAAATGTTGGCAATATTATTTTCATCTAATTGTTGGACTGACCAGGTTAATTTTTTTCTCTCGAGTTGATTGTGATTTCCACGTGGGTAAAGCAAAGATATTCAAAAGGTTGAAAAAAATAAGAGGAAGAATAGAATAATATTGTGATATGAGAAAAGGTGAAATCAGCCAAAGGTTAACGGAAGTGAGTTGAAAGATTTACTCAAGACCAAGAAGCTCAACATCAAAGATCAAAGTTGCATTGGGTGGGATTATTCCGGGATGACCTTTGGATCCATAGGCGAAATCGGGTGAACAGGTAAGTTTAGCACGTTCACCAACGCTCATCTGGGCGACCCCTTGATCCCAGCCTTTGATTACTTCGCCTTTTCCAATGTGAAATTTAAATGGTTTTCCTCGGTCTCGAGAAGAATCAAATTTCTTACCATTGGTTAAAGTTCCAGTATAATGAACGACAACCGTTTGTCCACTTTTTGGATAATTGGTACAGTCACCAGCGGAAATTGTTTCTACTTCAACGCCCATGATGTTCAATTACAACTTAAATAACACAGTGAAAAAAAAGAAAAAAAAATTAAAATTAAAAAACCAAATTAAAGAGCAACTTGTTAATGAGAATCAAGCAACAAGATAGAAAACAAAGAGCAGTTACCAAAGCGAGTCGATCTGAGCCGATTCTTTAGCCATTCGAATGAGGATTCGAGCCGTTTGATCATTGGCTGGAATTGACTACAGCCAGTCGATTAAATCATAGCTTAGCTAACTTTCTCTCTTACTTTTTCTCTTTCTTTCTTTCCTCTGTCAAAAATTTTGCCTCATCTGTTGCAAAAGCTCAAGCCATAAAATTGAATTTAAATTCAGCGGCCCAACGATTTTTTCTGGCTAAGCGGTGTAGCCGCTCAAGCCAAGCTTTTCCTTAGGTTTTTCCGCATGGCGAGAGATGGCGATTTTAATTTCTCTTTATTTTTCTCTTTCTTAATACAAAAATTTTAGAGAGAGAGAGAGACAGAGAGAGAGAGAGAGAGGGTATTTGAATGACTACGCGGCGCACCGATAGCTTGTATTTAGAAAGAACCAGCAACTCCCCGGAATTTACCGAATTGTTACCAGGGAGACACTGTACTAATAGTACAAGCTCCATTCACGAGTTTCTACCGCTCGAAAGAAAGAGAGATAGAGAGAGAAATGAGGAAAGGAATGAAAAGAAATGATTGTTAATCAATAAATAAAATGGAGATAAAATTTAGGCCTTAAGTAAGTTAAGGACGAAAGTTGTTGCTTGATCTTTTGTTGTTTTTTTTTTACGCTGACGCTGATGATGATGCTTATACTTTAGTGTTTACTTGAGGATGAAGATTATTTGAACTTTTTATAACCATTGATTCAGTGAAATTGTTTAATTTTCCATCCTTCTAGTTGATTGACACCAATTTATTTGAGGGAGACTTTTTTTAAACGTTGGTTGTTTGACTATCATTCAACGTTATAATAATCATCATCAGAGGATAGATCACAATCGTATCTGATTGGTTTTTTTGATCGACCCATTCGAGTTGATGATATAAAATTGGATATATCAAAATCTTGTTCCTCTGATGGTGCTGGGGATGATCGTGGTAATGTTGATTTAGGTATCGGTTTAGGTGCAGGTTTACTTGGAGAAATAATTTCTGGTTCAGAATCAGATGATGCAAATTTTTTCTTCCTCTTAACTGGAGTCTTTTTAGTCTGTAAGAAAGGGAGAGAAAAAATTAAATATCATGTTGAATAAACTTTCGATTAAATTACAATTTACCTTCTTAGGTGTCATCTCAAAATCAGAATCATCAGAACATGAATCTTTTTTCTTCCGTTTAGCTGGAGTCGTTTTCTTTTCTCTAATTTTCTTAGGTTCCTTGGGAGATTTTGTTGTTGGCGTTTTCTTTTTAACACTAGATTCAGGTTCTGGAGATAAAGGTTGTGCTGGAGATGGTGACCTGAAATCGGGTGGATCATGAGATTTTCCATTGGTTGATAGATCAGGTGAATAAGATCTTTGAGTAGATGATTTAGGTTCAGGTGATGAAGGTGAAGGTGAAGGTGGACTAATTGAGTAAGATGATGATTGCTTATTATTGGATGAAGATGAGATGGGATTATTATCGGTTGATGGTTTTGAACCAAAGATATTGTCAAAAAGTTGTTCACTTGTCACATTACTTGGGGGTTTCGCAGGTTTTTCTGTAAGTGAATCAACGCTACTTCCTGAAGCATTTCTTGCTTTAGATTTTGCTTCCATTATGGATTCTCTTTCCCAAGAATAGGGTTTATCTGTTTTACTTTCATTTGAAACGATAGGAATAACATCATCGTCATCATCTTCTTCATCATCTGCTATTTTAGGTGGTGCTTTAGGTGGACTTGATCTTCTAGGTTTTCTGGTCTGTCGGGCTTGGGTAGAGTAAGAATCATAATCTTCATCTGAAAATTCATCTTCCGGGGGAGAGTCGTTTTCATCGTCATCTTCAGATCCTGAAGACCATGGATTCCTCTTTTTACCTTTTGCATTTGCAGGTCCTTTTTTCTTTCCTTTTGAACCAGAACCGTTCACCGATTTCCTTTTCTCCGTCGAGTCAGATGATTTACTAGCTTTCGCACTTGGTGCTCGAGGTTTTGTCGTTTTCGGAGTATCACTCGATTTAGGAGTTGGTGTGGTCGTTGATGGTTTTCGTCCAGCTTCAACCATTTCAGGCGTTAATCCTATTCGTTCAGCTAATGATTTGTTCAAATCAATACCAATGTCATCGTCAGAATCTTTGAATGGATCATCATCTTCGATACCTTCTTCATCTTTAATTGTTTTCTTTAATACTTTTCGCGCACTTTCTGTGAGACCATCTTTCTTTCGGTAAGCTTCAAAGTCTATTGTTGGTGCTATTCGTCTACCATCTACAGACGGCTTTGTGTCAGCACAAATAGCTGCTTTATTGCGAGCTTTTCCTTTACCTAGTTGTTGAGGTTTTGTTGGAGTTTTAAGCATAACTGCTTTTTCTGCATCTTCTCTCTCCTTCTCTTCTAATTTGTTAAGTTCAACCAAAAGATCATCTAAATCTCTCGTCCAAAGAGTTTCTGGAGTTGTCTTCTTCAATGTGTCCAGTTCAGCTTTCTTGACATCTCGTTGTTTCAATAGATCATCTACTTTCTCCTTCAACATAGATCTCATCGTCATGTCCAATAAATAATCAAAGTCAAATGATCCTGAGGGCTCATCTAATCCTCTTTCATCATCGTCTTGATCATCATCTTCTGCAAGATTATTTTTAGCCTTCCAAGCCTTAACTGGATCAGAATCGTATCCACGCTCAATCAAGGTTCGAACTAAATCTTTCTTTTTAACATTTTCCAATTTCAATCGGCCATCATTCTTTTCCAAAATGAAACGAGCTTGATTCATTAATTTAAGAACCTCTGCTTCCAACATTCCTTCCAAATAAGCCTTTCGTTTACGATAATAATCAAGTCTTACTTCAAAAAATTCTTTTAAAATCTCTTCTGGTGTCTCATATTTACGAATACATCCATTGTGGTCAAACAAAACCATCGAAGTTGTTGAAAAGGTTGTTTGTAATTTAAATACTTTATGAATTCCTTGTTCCTCGGCTCGAGCTAAATTTTCAGGGGTTAATGAGACGATAAATTTAACAGTAACATCAGTGTGATACTCTTTATAATCGGTGATAAACGGTGGTGTCTTTTCGGTACCACGAAGCATTGGTTCAAGAACATTTTCCTTATAAGTTTGAGTCCATGTACGAACGGGAAGCTCAGTGATTTCAATTCTGCAACCATCTAAGGCTGAAACCTCTCCACTGACAACATAACGTTGAGTGTCAACTTTATCAATTGATCCACGGAAACCTTTAAACCAAGGTTTCAAAGGTATAAGTTCATCATTGTTTATAAGTCGCTTCAAATTTTCAATCAAATCACGGGGATTGAAATTAGGAATTTTGGTTGACCAACCGGTACCAATACCCTCAGCACCATTAACTAGAACCATTGGTAAAATGGGTACATAATATTCAGGTTCAACTTTACTGTTATCGTCATAAAGATAGTTGAGTAAAGGGTCATCAGGTAAAGGAAATACTTTACGAGCCAATGGACTTAATCGAGTGAAAATGTAACGAGGACTGGCAGCATCTTTACCACCCAAAAGACGAGTACCAAATTGACCGAGAGGCATGAGAAGGTTAATGTTGTTACTTCCAACAAAATTTTGAGCTAAAGTGATGATTGTCGCCATAAGTGAGGCTTCACCATGGTGATAACAAGAAACCTCACCAACGGTACCAGCCAATTGAGCTACTTTGATTTCCTTTTTCAGGTTACGGAAGAAACATGAGTAAAGTACTTTTCTTTGTCCCGGTTTGAGGCCATCCATCATTGACGGAATTGAACGTTCATTATCAAGATTACTGAAGAGAACTAATTCTTTGTTTACAAAATCTTTGTACGTCACATGTTTAGTCGCTTTTCCATATAGATACACCTCAGGTAGACCTAATTCCCGGCGTCTTTTACGATCTTCCATTGAATTGGTTAACCAATCTTTACGTTGGTCAACCATTTTTTTACTAAATGCCAATAAAACCGAATGATCATCTTCTGGACCTTGATACTTGAAAAGAATACGATGTCGCTCAATATCAGAGAAATATTCTTTCGCTTCATTACCCGTTGATGTACCCAAACCCTTGTAGTATTTGATACTCCAACTTTTCCAATTGGCGGTTTCCTTTTTCCACTCTTCCAATTCGGGTAAAGAGTAAAAGGATTTCACCATGTTACCTTTTCGAGCTCGAACAATTGGAGTAATAAACTCTTCTAGATAAGGTAATTTAACCAAATGTGGCCAATTGTGGTGAATAAAGTTGATTAATAATCCTTTAATATGAGAACCATCTTGATCCTGATCAGTCATAATCATTAGTTTACCATAACGTAAAGTTTTCAGTTCAGATTCTGATTCATATTTTTTACGATAATCAAGACCAGTGATTTTAATCAAATTTTGAATCTCAGCATTATTAAGGATTTGCTTGTGATTGGCCTCACGTACATTGAGAAGTTTACCTCGTAACGGAATACACCATATTTATCTCGACCAATCACACTGAATCCAGAGTTGACAAGACTTTTGGCTGAATCTCCTTCGGTAAGGATAAGAGTACAATCAATTGATCGGGAACCACCGGCATCATTGGCATCCTCTAATTTGGGAATACCAAGAAGTCGTGATTGTTTCTTTGCTGAACATTGGCTTCCTTTAGCTTTCTCAGCTTTGGCCATAGCGACAACAAGAATAGCTTCAACAATTCCTATTTTCATGGCAGCATTGAAAAATTTATCACTTGGTGAGCATTTGGATCCAAACTTTTTCATCTGAAGAGTCATATTTTCCTTGGTTTGAGAATCAAAAGATGGATTCTCAATGAGACAATTAACAAATACCCATAGATGTGATTTAATCATATGAGGTTTAACGTCAACTTTGGCTTTGTTTTTCTTTTTAATTGATTCAGCTAATTTAGGAATAATTTGATCGATAACATGATCAACATGTCGACCTCCCTTGGTTGTTGCAATACTATTCACAAAGCTAACTTGTTGAAAACCTCGATCACTTAGAGTAACAGCAATTTGCCAACGTTCATTACTATCCTCATAGGCCATTTTTAATGGGCTACCATTTTCATCATTTTTATCTTTTATGTAAAGATCAACATAATCTTTGAAACCTTTAATAGGTAATCTTTTACCATTAAGGTAAACTTTAACACCTTTAGATGAACCGGCAACATCCCAAACACGGCGGGAAAAAAGTGCCACAATATCTTCATCAAGACGATCCATACGGAATTTGGCTAAATCTGGATAAAATGTAACTCTTGTATAATCTTCACCGGTCGCTGGAACAATTTTAGCATCAACAGGTTTGGACATATTATTGGTCCAAGTTTGTTTGAAGGCCAATTTATATTCTTTACTTGAAGTTTCAACCATAAATTTAGTACTGAAAATGTTACACAATTTGGCACCATAACCATTTCGTCCACCGGTTACTTTTCTCTCATTATCATCATAATTGGAAGATGTCAGTAAATGGCCGAAAATCATGGTTGGAACAAACATTTTCTCATCTTTATGTTCCACAACGGGAATACCTTTACCATTATTGTAAATGACAATTTTATTCTCTTCCCTAAAAGTTGGTAAAATGAATAGAAAATAGAATAAAATTAATCAATAGCCAATATAATAGAATAATAATAACGAAGGAGTAAAATTTAATTAGTTTGACAGTTCAAAGTTTGTCAACAACTTACGGCTTTATATCGACCCTTAGAACATCCATTCCAGGATCTCGTTGTTTATTGTCTGCAGCATTAACCAAAATTTCATCGAAAATTTTGTATAATCCAGGTACAAAGGTGATTTTCTTGAAAACCATGCCACTCTCTTCTCCCTCATAGACCCACATCTCTTGCTCCTGTGGCTCAGCTGAGCCAATATAAGTATCAGGTCGTAGTAAGACATGTTCAAGCGGTGTCTTTTTCTGATAAATTTTCTCCACGGTTAACCGGGAGTCACCACCAGATCTGTCACCCATAATTCAATATAATAAAAGTATGAGAATAGAAAAAAAAAGCCAGAACAACAAACTGGTAAAGATAAAAAAAAATCTCCAGTTAAGATCACGTGTGGAGTGTTTGATGAGTAATTGATGAAAAGTCTCTCTCTCTGTAATTAGATGATAAATAAATTAACATACACAATTAGTAAACAAAGTAAAGAGAAAGAGATAAAAAGAGATTGTCAATACATAGAAAGAGAGAAGAAGAAGAGAAAATGAAGAAGAAGGAGAAGAAGAAGAAGAAGAAGAAGCCGAGAAGAAAAAAAGAAAGAGAAAAAGAAAGAGAAATGAGAGAAGAAAAAAATTAATAAGAACTGACAACTTAAAGAATCAAAGTGAACAATTTACTCACATAGAATTAATTCATCTAAAAACTAGATGATTTCTAACCAAATTGATTGATTCATTTGTATTGGAGAAAAGTGTTAAATTATGAAAGAAAATGTTGACAATTAAATTAATTATAAACTAGAAGAAAATAACTCAACATAAAAGTAAAAGAAGTGGAAAGAAGCAAACAAAGAATCCATTTAAATTAAAGAGAATCAGATTTTCTCTTTCTTTTTTTGTTCTTCGATGTATCGATTAATTGATAAGAAAAAAGCGCTAAGAGAATTGAAAGAAAACAAGTTTAAATTTTTTTCTTCTTCTCATTTTCATCATTTAATTATAATTCTAATTTTGATCAATTAAATTTGACACTTTGTTTTTGTTTTCTATCAGATTAAATTCTTGCCAGTTAATCAACTGATTTCTATCTTTTATCTACAATCACTAACCTTGAATTATTTTCTATTATTTGTAACCAGTGTAAAGAACCTTTGATTTCAATGATTGTTAAAAACATTACCCTTTAAACCTTTAATTGTGATTATCTTTTTATTTAATTACAATGTTTTGGTTAATTGTTCTCTTTTCATACAAAAATGATTACGTACTCAGTAGTCAATCGTTTCACCTTTTAATTACCGATGTGAGTTGATTATTTTTATGCAGAAAGGGTTGACTTTTTTTTGCTTAAGCCTTTCCAATGAGGGAAGCGAATGTTGGTCAACTCAATTGGATACTTAAGGTGCTACCGAGAACAAGATGGCCGATAGTTAATTTAATGGTGCTGATTATTATTCATTTCACTCTGGTCATGGGAGGAATGAAAAAAACCTTTTGTAAATTGCAAGTGGAAATTTCTCATCAGCAAGACTAATAAATCAGTCCATCATCACGTTTGTTGATCTTACTTATTGGCAAATCAGCATCAACTTAATCCTTTTCATCAACCTCGACAACTATACATTACTTTTAGTAATAAATCAAACACTCGAGTATTTGGCTACCAAATTATTCTCATCTTCCCTGTGGTCATATGGATCCACTTTCAGTCCAACAAATGACACAAGAATCGGTTGCTCAGGCACAACAGTTATTAGCCTATTTGCTGGAAGTTGTGGCAACAGTTTCATGAATTAATTGCATGAATTATCCATAATTGAGGATTTTAAGTGATGATCTGACGTCTTTACCTTTTTCCAATATTCACCGATATGGAACTTGGGTCCATCCACCATTACCCGAAAATCTAAACACTTTACCAGAGAGAATCGACCTTATCAATCTATTACAATTAATCAGAAAGCACCGATTACCGATTATCTTTCGTAGTGGTTTTTTTGATTATATTTAGTCAATTCCAAGGTTTTGGTAAGTTTAACTGTTTTTATTGATTGCTATTATTTTCATTTAATCGTAATCGTTACACTCACTAGTCAATCCCTTCACCTTCAACTCCCTTTATGGATAATTTTTTAATCATTTTTAAGCAGAAAGGGTTGACTTTTTCATTGATTGGAATATTTTTGTTGTTCATCTTTTATTGAATCAGTTCATGATTAGCAATTGTGAATAGTAATTAATTTGTCAAATGTGTGTGTAATGGTTATTTGTTTTACAGAGATAGAGAGTGAGTGGTAAAGTTATTGTACAATAATTTTAAGAGGCGAGAGATAAAGAAATAACAATTAGAAAATGAGAGACAACAATTAATAATATATGATGTAATTAAAACATGGAGATTGCAAATTCGGTAGTTTTATAATAACAATAACTGAAGAAAATTTATCTTAAATAATAGATTTATTTGTAATTCTTGTTTCTTTTGCAGGAATCTGATTGTACTCTTCATGGTATATCCGAGATTATCACTATTATACGGATTAACAACTCATCTCGGATTAAAATGTTGGCCAATTTGAAGAAAAAAAAAGAAAAAGAGATTTTCCTTTTTAATGTTTCCTGAGAATATACCAGAGGGACCAGATAGAAACAGAGATTTTTAATTATTTCCAATTTAAAATGGATTAAAGTGAAAAATTGAATTGCATGTTGATCAATTCTGATTCCTTGATGGGCAATTGAGATTTAATTGATAAGTAGATTTGATGAATTTTCAAAACTCTATCAATGAGGCCGATAAGTTTGGTTGAACATGGTAAGTATGGTGACAAAGTATCATGACAATTAAATGTTTGACTTTTGCTTTTTGTAGGTCGTTTGTTGATTTGGTCAAGATGATTTCGATCACATTGGATGGTCAGGGGACGAAATTGGACAACCCGAATTAATATGTTGAATGACTTCTCGTTTAAGGCAGCAAACATGATCACGAAGTTTATTCACTTTGGTACTTAATTGTTCATTTTCATCTTTTAATTCATTCACTCTTTTCTCGAGTAAATGAATTTTCTCCAATTTTCTTTTACGACATTTAGATGCTGCTATACGATTTCGTTGCCTTTTACGTTCCAGTTTTACCTTTTCCTGTTCTTCCATATCAATCGGTGAAACCGGCGGACTAATTGTTAAACTTGGCGGTGGCGGTGGTGGTACACTTTTCAAACCATTAGCACTATTTTTACCATTGGGAGCGGTTGAACTATTTCGATGAGGATTATTATTATTATTATTATTATGATTTATCATACTGGGTTCACTTTTGATTGATTGTAAGCCCATTGTGATCGAGGTTGGTGTTGTTAATTGTGAGCTTGATGATGAGGATAAAGTGGTTAAGGTAACTGGTGATGGTGACATTGACATTGGTGTATTAATGTTATTGTTGGCAATTGGTTGAGATAATGTTGAATGATTGTTTAAAGATTCTGGTACCTGATAACCACTGATAACTTCAGTGTTACCATTATTATTGGTATTTTGATTGTTATGACTATGGTTACCATTGGTATTATTGTTGTTATAATCAGGTGATGTTCTTGATGACCGGTGATGATGAATATTCCCAGGTAGTGATTCTGTTAACATTGAATCACTATGGAACACAGGATTGGATACATGTTGATGATGAAGGTGTTGATGTTGTTGTTGTTGTTGTTGTTGGTGATGATGGTGGTGGGGATGAGATACTGCTGAATTAAGTTGCTGTTGAATGTCGTTATCATTGGTGTTAGGCATTTGATGGGTTGAAGGATAACCTAAGGGGTTTATTGCTCCATATGAATTAACGTTTGAATTACCATTGGTGACAACATTAGAACCCGTGTTACCATTATAATTAAGTTGATCGAGATTAGTGTTTAAATTACCATTGGCCATCTCAAAGCCAACATAATTATTCATCAGGGTTGTTGATGCATTGGACATTTCGATGAATAACCTTTCGAGTGCCGGTGTGTTGATCTTATTAACTTCCGATGGATCTAAAGTATCGTTTTGGATCATCGCTCTGGAATCGGAATAGAAAAACGAAAATCAATTCAATGGATTATCAATATATTCAAATGGATTCTTAATAACATCAAGTACAAAGAAAAAGCAGAACGATAATTGGAGTTGTGTAGGAATAAAGAACGAAAATTGGTCAACAATTAAGGAGAACAAAGAAAATTGATTATAATCACGACAACAATTAAGGGTCACTATTTGTGAACTTTATTTTCTGCAACTAAAGTGTTAGAAACACTTGATAATTATTTCATCATGAATTAATCAGTGACACCAATGGTATTAATCATCAACTATTTCAAGATTCAATGGTAAAAAGGATGATTAACTAATTGATTATAATCAATTGATTTCTAGTAAAATAAATAAAAAGGTTTAAAAACCTAAAGGTTGTTAATCCACTGGCACAATGTTAATATGGTTCAAGTGGCAAAGTCCAAGGATAATTTGATTAAGTAGTCTCAATGGAAAGAGAAAGTAAGTTGATTAATTATTAATTATTTTTCCAATTAATTGTGAGATAATTGATTAGTGATGAGATTTTATCCTTGAAAAATTTACTTTTTCAGGTTTTGTTTTTCTTAACGATGAGATTTTTACACAGACACGTTGTTGATTTGGAAAACAAAAATTAACTGATTGATGGTAAATTATCTGATTAACCATGACTCGATTCAACTATCGGAATATGTCTGATTACTTGTAAGTAACTAATAATAATCAATTGATGAGGATAAACAATTAACAGAAAAGATTTCATATTCAGATGATAATTATGATGAAACAATTTTAAATGCAGCACAATTTGATTCACACTAATTAACAAACCAGATATGATTGAGATTTGTTTTCAGGAATCCACACTCACAATGAATTAATGAAAACTAACACTCTCACTTTGCTTAATCAACTCAAATCAACTACAATCTAACGAAACAATTTAGTTGATCAACGCCTAAAATGATTTTGCGCCAAACTCACTAAAAATAGGATAGGAAACCCTTTTTTACGCCCCATTGTACCTCCTCTGCTCATTTTATCCTCTCCCTCTCTCTCTCTCTCTCTCTCACTCACTGATGTGAAAATCTAACACTTATCATCACAATTAACTAACAATTTAACTCGTAATTAATTCCTCTTAAACTATGGATGTAAAAGTTATTCGAAAAATTCATATTAACGATAACACTTTCTGACCATTTTCCAAATGAGAAAATTATTCCAATCAATTTTTTCTTTAATCCATCACTTTAATCCTAATCTTAATCTTGAACTTTTTTCTTTTGCTTCTATTTTTCAGATTTCTTTTACTCACCAATCATCATTATCATCATCATCATATGTAATACTTATGGATCTTTCTTCATGTAAACATGATATTTTTTTTGCTGTAAAAACAAAATTTACATTTAATCAAGGTTACTGAGTAGTTATCATGGTTAAAACGGATCCAGAAATTTGAATCAATCAGTTGAACCACAACAACAATTAAGGTAGAGGGAGAGTGATCAGAATCATGGTTAACTCGTCAAATATATTACAACAAAAAATAATGTTTAATTTGATTATCATCTCTTTTTTTTGTGGTTCATGATTATTCAATCACAATCAACAGGGAACAATTTATTTAATCATTTTCATCATTATCTCTTATACTTTGTGTTGTTGTTGTTAGTGGTTAGTTAATTGTTTACAATCTTGTTGTTACTTTCTCTCATTAACTTTCCATTTATCTCACCCTCGAATTAATTAATTGTCAATTGTGTCAACAATCAAAAAATTTTCGTGATCCCGTTCATGATTATTGATGATTAATCTTTACCATTGATTGTAATAATTAACTTTAATTTTGATTGTGTGAGTATCTTTTTAATTCAGTTACCTTTGACTTGTGTCACCTTAAATTAATCAATCAGTTTGTTTTTGATTATTATCCATTATATTGATTGTGTAAGATTTAATTTTCGTAATCAGAAAATTAATTCATTTCCAATCAAATTAATCTCTGTGAAAAAAACAACTATTAAAACGTACAATTAATTTTCACTGATTAGACGATTTGTTAATTGTTCATCATTGATGATCAATTTATGCAAATAAGGTTTTTAATCACGAAAAATTGATTGATAACAATTAAATTTCAATATCAACCTTTTCTCTTATAAATTGTGGTAACAATTAAATAACTTTTTCTCTGGTTAATTGTTGAATCGTAAGTTAAATCAACGGTAATAAGGTAACTAGATTTACAATTAATCAAGCCAAACATTTAAACATAATTGTTTCACACTCACAATTAATTGATTGTACTTATATACTATTTGATGATTAACCAAAAAAATTCATTAACCTTTTCACCTTGATTAACAATTTAGTCAAATTAATTAACGATAACAATTAACAAAAATGCAATTTCAGTTGATTAACTTTCAGTGGAAAATGAATATTAATCATTAATGTAATTAACTAATCGTCCACAATTGTAGCACTTTGATTTTTTGGTTAATTGTGATGATTAAAATTAAATGACTTGTCAATATTTTGGCTAAATTATGATCTAATATTGAAAATTAATGTTAATCAACTTTCAACTTTTTCTGTACTTTTGATTACAACAATTAACTTTCATAATCTAAAAATATTGATTTCGTCATGTTTAGTTAATTAGTTGAAAACTAATTGTAAATTTTAAGTGTCAATAATGTCAACAATTAATGATAATAATACAATTCTGAGTCAATCCTTAGGTAAAATTATCATTATCATGATTGGCTAATTGTTAACAATTAGTCTCAATCTTTGTTTATCTCAACAATTAATTGTAACAAAGAATGACGTTAATTCATAACAATCAAAATTAATCATAGCCCACTAATTAGGAGCCAAAATGACAGGAATAACTAAAAATAATAACAACAATTAACTTAATCACTCTGGTCATCAATATATATTTTATGTTACAATTAATTGTGATTAACTCATCACAATAAATACAATATTTATTTCCGGATTAATTGATTGATAATCAATTTGATCTTAACCAATTTCTCAATCAAAAAAAAGAATCAAATTAAATGATTATAACAATTAAATGAACTCACATATTAAATGATGTAAATAATTATAATTAGATTGACGGAACAATTAACTAATCAACGTTGAAAAGAAGATCACAATTTGTTGATTGTAAACTACAATTAACGTCAAGACAATTTAAATCACATATAAATATTAATTGTGTAGGTATATTAACAATTAACAGTTAACACCTACATTAATTGTGATTTAAATTTCTGCTCATCTCTTTGGGTGATTACAATTTAAATTATTTGAGCGTCGGAGTATCAACATAATCATCATTAAATTGTTTTCAATTAAATATTTAATCAATTGTTGTCTTATTGTTAATTAAAATTGTAACCAAAAAGTAAAAGTTTAGGTCAGTATAAAAGGTAAAGGCGTTAACCAACAATTAACAACAACAACAACAACAACAATCAAGGGAACGAGTTACAATTAAACTAATCAACATCCCCTTAATTGTAAACATTAACAATAAAAATCTTATCAAACTGAATTAACTTTTGTAAGGTTAAATTTTCTTGTATTTTTTGATACAATGTTTTTGTTAATTGTACTTTTTAATAGTAACAATTTATTACTTTTTTTTTACAAACCAACCAGAACAACTCTCACAACAATTAACAACAGCAATCAAAGTTAATTAAAGAGACTGAGTTGATTATTAGATTGATGATTAATAATGTATATAAATAGTTGGTGATATTTTAAATTTTCATCTATATTTATATTGTATTTGGATTTTTGTATTAGTCAAGTTTAAGGATAATCATCAATTGGATTAACTTTAATCAGTTTAACACCAAAAGCCAAAATGATGAGGATGCCAAGAAGATGAAGATGAAATTGATATTGCAATTGATGATGATGATGATGTACAAGACAAGGTAAGAGGATGATTAGGATGAAGATGAGGATGAAATTGATGATATATTAGTTAAATTGACAAAAAAAAATCAAACGATTCTGATTCTGATTCTGATTCTGAGTTTCATATTGAAGGTAATCAAAGGTTTCTTCAAGGGATAACTCTTGTGATACTAACTGAATTAGTAAATTGTAATCATTTAACTTGTCATCAAAATGTATATACACTGTTAATTGAAAGATGATAACTTTTTGGCTCATCTTCATCATCATCTTCATCATCATCTTCATCAACGATTGATTGAAACTAATTTAACTATTTGACAGTTTTTGGCATCACAATCCAAGGATTTCACAAAATTATCCGCAATTAACATTAACATTCAATGTTCCCATATAATCATTATCATTTAATTAACAGTTAATTGTTGGAATTTATCATTGTTTCATACAATTAAACTCATGCTATTGATTAAACAATAAGTAATTTCTAGTGATGAAAATAAATTTTAAACCAATCCTAAAATTATCAGAGACAATTAAACTTAACCAATTGAATGAAATTGATTGTTACCTTGATTCTTGTAACTCTCCTTTTAAATTGAATAATTTATTTAATCATCATCACTAATTAATTTAACATACTCTTGATTATTAGTAGTAGTATAGCAACAGCTATTAAATTAATTGTAATAATCATAATTAACAATCAAATAAAAAATAATCATTTACATAAACGGAAAGTTAAATTAATCCAAAAATTTAAATTTTTTTTTTCCTTCCCAATCAAATTTATTATTATTATCAATTAATTAATTACCTTGAACTTGATTATTATTATTATATTGTGTTAAAAACAAAGTTAAAGTAAGTGAAAAAAAAAGTTTAAATTTAATTGAAGATTAATATTCACAATTAATGATTATTATTAACAATCAGTGTGATTGATTGTATGATTACAATTAAACAATTTGTTTTTATTTTGTCCAATTGATTTTCAATGAGAAATTTGAACAAACTGTTCAATTAAGTTAATCATGATTAATATTAACTTTACGTCAATCATTGATTGTGGTGGTTGATGATTATGATTAACTGAAGATGAGGTTTGATTGTTTGTTGATTTAAATGGGTCAGAAAATCAATGATTTAACCGTGATTTGAATAATCACCCAACAATCAACATGAGAAGAAAAAATTTTTTTTTCTTCTGAAAAGTAAAAGTGATTGGAAAAATTTTTTTTTTCTTCTTCTTTTCTTGAAACTTGACTTTCGTTAATTGTTGGGAATGGAATCGGGAAAATCAGATCAATAGTTAATTGTTGAAACAGGGAACATGATGAAGATGAACCTCCATGATGATGACAAACAATTAACCAATTGTGTATGGTAATTAAAATTGTTACTGTTTCATTTGTTACCAATGGACGTTGATTGTTAATTGTGTAGGTTCAACTCTTCAACCTACAGCAATTAATTTAGTTAATTATTTGTTCCTTATCATTTCCATCAATATTATCATCTTCCTTATAATCATCTTCATCATCATCTTCTTGATCATTATCAACACCCATTGATTATTGTAACGATATAACAACAATTAACAATTCAAAATGTTAATCACAATTATCACCATTAAATCATTTTTACAATTTGTAAAACTTTATTATCAAATGGTCAACAATTAACCTTAAAAGGGATTAACTGAATTAACATTCAAATCTATTATTAATGTTAATCTAATTGTTTGAAGAGAAAGAGAAACCAAATTAACTAATTGTTAGGGAACACATCTTCATCTCCTTATTGGGATTAAGATTTAAGAAATGCTAATTAACTAATCATTAGATTTACATGTAAGTGATGATCGGATTAACTAATTTTGATAACTAATTGTTTCCCCTTCATGAATGAATTTAAATCCACAAGTTCAATACAAGTTCATTGATTGTGATTAGTTAAACATTGGATTTGTAATTAATGGTGACGAGGTTTTTGATTTACAAACAAACCAAAAAGTCAATACAATTAACAATCAACAATTTAAATCAATCTACTCTTTTTCCAGGTTATCATAATTTTTAAATTGTTGTAATCAATCAATCAATCAATTATGATATCCCTCTTCCCCTTAAACCAGATACACTTGATTAATTGTTAAAAGCCATAAGTTGATCATCAATGATGAAGTTAATTGTAACCATTTAAATTGTTGGATTGACGATCAAGGTTAAGATATTTGATTGTTATTATTATTACATATCGGAAATGTTAATCTTCCGATTATGATATTGATTGTAATTAATTAATAATAATCTTTCTTTGGGTCACTTTGATTGTTGATGAAAAAAAAAGTTTCCTAATCATAACAATCAACAATTTAAAGAGCAACAATTAATATTATCATTGGATTTTTACAAGAAACTAGTTTTCAATTTGTTCCTGGTTGTTAACCATGAAACTTGATTATGTCATCAACAATTTGAAGGTAAATCAAGTAAATTATAATAATATAATTAAACTAACACATAATTTATTTTAACACACACCTTTAATTATGATGGTGAACGTTAATCAAGTGAAAGAAACAATTTACTAATTCAATTCAAGGATTGATTAGATTAAGACGAAGGAAGAAAAAAATTTTTTTTTCTTTTTCTCTGTTGATATTATTTTAAGTTTTCTATAACTCTTAGATTTTAGTGATTCTAATCAATTAACAATCAATAGTTGATCAGCACTTACACTGTCTCAACAATCAGCTAATTGTTTGCTAATTTGTTGGATTTAAATTCAATCCCGTTCACAGATAATAAAAGTAATCAATGGATAACCAATCAATTATTGGTGATGGAAAAGGTGCTTGATCGGAATAATTTGTTGATTGTTACCTTGATTAAGAACTTTTTTTTGTGGTTAATTGTAACAATTAAGAAAAATTTGTAAAATTCTAATCATCTATTGATCAGTTTAAAGGGTTAATTTTATTTTTTTACTCTCTTCGTTTCAATCGATTGACATTTGATTAACTTTAATCATCTTTACTTTACACAATTTAAGCTAATCACCATTGTGATTTATAAAATAATTAATTGTTCATTAACCGTTAGTTAATTCTTGATGATTAAATGATTAAGGTGAGATTGTTGTATTCTCATTTACCAGTCAATTGGTGATCATGTTAAATTTTAATCACTATTAGTCTAGCAATTAATTGATTCTCAAATTTCAATTCATCAACAGTTAAAATTTGGAAGATGATCAAAATAAAACAAACTTAATATGAGAAGACAATTTAAATTATGGAATAAAAAAAAAGTTGATTAGTAAATCTAATTGTTACTCAATGGTTTTTTAATTGTCCACAATCAACAAATTATAAGATAAAAATAATTTTATTTGCTCTTAGCAATTTAATCATGATTAAGTTAACAATTTCCGTTGTAATTAATTTGTAACGTTACCGAGCAAACTTAGTTGAAAACAGCAAATGATTTAATTTAAGGTTATCAATTTATTAATGATCAATTGAATAAGTTGATTGTTATAATTTAATTTTGGTTAACTCTGTTTCCATTAAATTAATCAGATATTTTTACTAAATCATTGGCAATTAAAAGTGAATCTTGAGATGAAACGAAAATTGAAAACTGATTTACCTTTGGTAAGTTAATTATGAGGAAAGTCTAATTATGGTGTTGATCATATTAATAGTTGATTTAATTGAAAGAATAACAAAGAAATAGATGATAATTAATAACAGGAAGTAATCTAAACAAGGATTAGATTAATTAATCAATAGGATGTTGATACAAGCAACTTGATTGAATAATGAAGAGACTAAATTTATCATAACATATTTATAAATTCTTGACCTAATCATTACAATTAGAGGTTAATTGTTGTACAGTTACTAGCGACTAGATTGGGATACAAGTAGTTTAATTGGTCAGAATTAAAAATCAACTCTATTGGTATTGATTAACAAATTATCGGGTTAATTGTGCAAACGAGCTTAATATGAGAAACAACAAGTTAATTATTGAACTTTAAGATTTAAATGAACAATTTACCTGATGATGATTAGATAAAGAATCCAAATTAGATTGTTGTATTTAAATATTAATTTATAAATCCTTGAGGAAAGATAATTTAATTATGTTGATTAAATGAACGGATTAAATTAAACATAAACAGTGAAAAAAAAAATGAAACAAATTTACAAATTATAAAGACGTTGATTTAATTAATAATTGTGGTCACACTGGAATTGGAAAAATAATCAATTAGATTTCACAATAACAATAAATAGATGAATTTATATTTTCTTGCTAATTTAATTAATTGCTGGTGATTAAATGAATACCTGATCATAGTTAATAGCGATCAAGTTGATTATAATGAAGCTTTTTACATTCTTACCAACAAATTGTAGTTTAAATGGTTTCTTCCCAAACATTAATGATGCAAATCAAATTAGCTAAAAATCAACTAATCAACCAGTGACACCTGTATAATTTAAATTAAACAATTAAGACTCAATCAAGATGAATACTGAAAGTTGTGGTTTTAATTTCAATTGGTCGTTAACGTTGATCGTAATTCAACCTTTTCGCCACACTCTGCACGAATAACTCGCAGGTCGATAATTAGAAAGTGGAGTTGGTCTGACACGAAGTAAATACCCGAGGGCTGTGTCGGTTGTTACCAAGTCTCTCGCAATTTGAATTGATCTGTCTGACCGCAACTCTTGATTTGTAAAGTAAACATAATTCATAATTTGAGTGGGTGAAAAACCACCGCGGTAAACTCAGTATTGTATAGTAACCGGATGAAAGTATCTTGACTAAAGTTTAACAATTGCCAACCATTTGAAACAACCATCGTCAGATTAGTGGCCTGAAAATAATACGAGCCAATGGGATTGAAAATGTTATCACCGTAGGTGAAAATATTCTGTGAGTTGGAAAATATATTAGCAACTTCATTGTATTGAACTTGATAAATTTCTATTCTACTTATCAAACGATTGAGTTGAAACAAAGCAATAGGAATAGTTTGATTAACAGAGTCAATACGTTGACGAGTTCGAGAATGATTAAGAGATAATTGTGTATATTCTGTGGATTGGTTGGCCAACTGGTTCGTTAGTGAATCAATTACATGATTGAATGAAGCTATTTTAGTTTGATTTGGTAAAGTGTATCCTTGTTCAACAGTCACTGATTCCAAACTTCTTAATGACGATAAGGTGGTTGTATTCAATCTTGACAGGTCGGCGAATCCTCTTCCAATTCCTCGTCTCAGTATTTCATCTTCAAATGTTGATAACATTTCGTTTAAAAGTATTCCAATCAAGGAAATTGCCATCATCAGGGTGACAACATAACCACTGAAAAATATTATCGGAATTTTATACTGAATTGGAAGAGTCGATGAAGCCGAACCAATATGAGAAAGTAACCAATTGGTTCGACTTTTATTCACAATTAGATTTGGTTTTTTCTTTACTCCCTTTGTTGACTTTACTTCACGGCGTTTTTTTATCTCTTTCCGCTTAGCTTCCATTAAACTTGTTTCAAGAACAATATGAGGAGAGAAAAATAAAACCAATTTGTTTAAATTAATTAGTTAATTATTATTCCTTGAAAATTTTTTGAGTTAATTTTGGATTCGATTAGAGATTCGATTAAAGTGATTAAATTACTCGCTAGATAGCACCACCTTTATTCGATTATCAGCGCCATCTAGTGGAATAGAATAGAAAATCCACCTGGAGAATTTTTGATTTTCTTATTTTCTATTCATAACAAGTTGTTCATAGCACACGTTTTTTTTCAACTGGTTAATTTTTTTATTTTAAATTGGTGTTGAATTAACTTTTTGTTGGGTGTAAATACTTTAATTTTTCTGAGTATCAGAAGTAAATTGTCTTGTGGAATCTCTGTATCAACCTTGTTAATAATAATTGCGAAGATTTAAGCCATGTCAGATGAAAAGAAAGGAGGTGACGTTGACGGTTTGTCTTCTGGTTTAGCAACCCAATTGAACATAAATGCTCCCGTTTTTGTGCCTTCAAATTTTAATTTTACAATTCCAAGTAATTTACCTAATCCATCAAGTGGAAAAGATGACAATAATGAACAATCTTCAAGTGGTATTGGTGGTGGTGAATCTAGTGAACCTGTAGACGATTGGGAAGAAGTGGCAGCTGGTGATGAGGTTGAAATCGAAGAAGGTGACGATGATATGGATGAAGAAATTGACATGGATGATGAAGATGAAAGCGGTCTAGTTGAAGATAAAGATGGCGAAGGAAAGGAAGATCAAATGGATGAAATGGCTGCTGCCGAATTAGCGAAAAAAAAGAGAAAAGGTGGAAAGAAAAAAATTTCCGTCTCTAGTGATAAATCATCTAAAAAGCAACATATTAATGTTGTTTTTATTGGTCATGTTGATGCCGGTAAAAGTACCATTGGTGGACAATTGTTACATTTAACTGGAATGGTTGATAAACGAACACTGGAAAAATATGAGAGAGAAGCAAAAGAGAAAAATCGAGAATCATGGTATCTTTCTTGGGCTTTAGATACCAACCAAGAGGAACGAGATAAGGGTAAAACTGTTGAAGTGGGAAGAGCCTTCTTTTCAACTGAACACAAACACTTTACCCTTCTTGATGCTCCAGGGCACAGAGGGTTTGTGCCTAACATGATTTGTGGTACCTCTCAAGCTGATTTAGCTGTTCTTGTTATATCAGCTCGTAAAGGTGAATTTGAGACTGGATTTGAGCGAGGTGGACAAACCCGAGAACATGCAATGCTTGCCAAAACCGCTGGTGTTAAATTTATGATTGTTTTGATTAATAAGATGGACGATCCAACCGTTTGTTGGAGTGAGGAAAGATTCAATGAATGCCGAGATAAACTTCTTCCATATCTAAAACGTTGTGGTTTTAATCCTAAAACTGAATTACACTTTATGCCCTGTTCTGGTTTAACTGGTATATTTCTTCGTGAGGTACCACCGGAAAGTATTTGTTCCTGGTATCGTGGTCCCGCTTTCTTAGATTTTATTGACAGTTTACCCGATATGGATAGACGAGTTGATGGACCTTTCCGTTTACCTGTTGTCGATAAATATAGAGACATGGGAACCGTTGTTTTCGGTAAAGTTGAACAAGGTTCTGCTAGGAAAGGAAGTCATTTACTATTTATGCCAAATCGTAAAACAGTTGAAATACTTCAATTATGGTGCGACGAAGAAGAAGTTAATCAAGTTTATTCAGGTGAAAATGTAAAAATTAAACTTAAAGGTGTAGAGGAAGAAGAAGTTTCTCCTGGTTTTGTAATCTGTGACCCTGTTTCTCCCTGTAATGTTGGTAAAATGTTTGACGCTCAGGTTGTCATTCTAGAGCACAAATCAATCATCTGTCCAGGATATTCAGCGGTTCTTCATATTCACACCGCTGTTGAAGAGATTTCCGTCAAAGCAATTATATGTTTAGTAGATAAGAAGACTGGAGAAAAGAGTAAAGTAAGTAATAAGTAGAGAAAAACAATATAATTATCCGATTGTTTTCATTTTCCTGTTTTATTTTCCTGTCAATTATTTTAATCTAAATGTTTATTATTATTATTTTTTTCTCTCTTCCTTCCAGATAAGACCAAGATTTGTAAAACAAGATCAAATCGCTATCATGAGACTTGAATGTACCGGAGGAATGATTTGTATGGAACCTTTTATTCAATTTCAACATATGGGTCGATTTACTTTACGTGATGAAGGAAAAACAATCGCCATTGGTAAAATTTTACGAGTTGTGGAATAATTAAGAAAAGACCAAGTTCGTCTCTAAAATTGGAAATTAACAATAATCGAAATGATTGATTGACCTTGTCTTTCGAAAGTAAACAAAATCAACAAAGAACCAATCTAACTACTGAATTCACCTTTAAAGCCAATACCAATTTTCTGTTAACCTTTTTTTTTCTTCTCTTTCTTTGATTCTATTCTATCTTCTCTTCTTTCTTTCTCTCGATATTTTTCTTTTCTAAATCATCTAAATTTGTTCGGAAAAGATTCACATCTTCTTCATCATCATCATTACCTGGAGATCATTTTTTTTTATTCCATTTAAAAATCTTACATGGACGATGGAGGAAACAAAAACAAAACGGAAAAAGTTTGATCAAAAACAGGGAAATGAACCAGAAAAACCACCACAAGGCAACAAGAGAACTGAATAACTGACTTTCTAAAAGAGATGATTTCAAAAGCCAATCAACAATTTATTAATTGTTCCACACGATTGTCCTTGGAATCGTATATAAAAATTACTTATGGAAAATCATATAATATATTTAATGATAATGATGATGATGGATGATGATGATAATGAACTTATATATGACACATATATGTATGTAAACTCTCAATGCTCCTCTCTCTTCTTTCTCTCTCACTATCTCTCTCTAAAATTTTATATTAATCTTTGAAAAATTAACTAACGGTAAACAAACTCTTTTACTCCTCTTATCCCAATCAACAATTTGCTAACACAATTTGCTATTAATATAACAAAACCCCCTCTTCCCATAAGAATCAAATCAACCAATTTTGGATTACAAAACAATCAACCACAAAGGTCATGATACAAAACAATTACTAAATCAGTTTACTTATAATTGTTCTGATTATTAATCAATGACCTTTGTAATATTTATGTTCTCTCTCTCTCTTTTTTGCTCTTTAATCTTCTTTCCCTATGTTTCTAATTAACTAATTGTATCATATTAGTGTGATGATAATGATAATGATAATTACTATTGTTATTGTTGTTGTGTTTAAACACAATTAAAACAAGACCAAAATCAAGAATCACAATGATTTGATTGAAAAATTATCACGAAAAAACAAATGGACTCAAAATTGTGTTTTTATTATTTCACAATTACGTTTGATATTATTGATTAATCAACGATAAATATATTATCAGTTCTGTTAATCTATCATATTTTTAACAACAAAAATAATAGTAAATGAACAAAACCAGGATAAACTAAGAGATTAATTGTTACTATGAGACAATTAATGAATGAAAATGATTAATATAAGATAAACATTTACTCGGATTGTTGAATGTGTAAGAGATTGAAGATAATCTTATCAGCTGATCTTTTCTTAATCTTACTTTTTTTTTGTTCTTTTTTCTTGCTTGATATATTTTCGCCTCTCCAAATGTTAATTAGTGACTTTTCTCGGCCACGACGGTTAGAAATTGGTACTGAACTCGAATCGCGGGTAAAGTGTCTTGTCGAGAGATGAAACAACGATCCATGTGAGCGTAATAATCGGCGAGAAAATCTGAATGTAATTCTTTTGGTAGGTAATATAAATAGTGACACAAAGATTGTAGTTCTCCTGGTTAATTGTGTTCCAATTTGATTCGATAGGAAATGTTGGACAAAAGAAAATTAATCATTTGTTGAGATGTTTCGTTCTTCTTATTATGTGATTACCTTTAAATCCTTCGATATCCTGATATGTGAATGTTGTATCATGAACTTTTATCTCGATCGATTTTAGATCAGCATCTTCACAGAATTTATTCCACTTTTCAATTCTTACCTTTTCAGGGGGAATTTCATAGACTGGAAATGGAGCTGATGATTTTCGCCGAACAATTTTAGGTTCGACTTTTTCTTCGGTTATTTTGGTTATCGAGATTTTTCGAGTTAAAACCTTTTCATTGGTCTTTAATTCGTGGACAGGTAATGATGGAGTTGCTGGTGATTCGGAATAAAGTTGAGAGGTTGATTGTTCATCGGGAGATTCAATCGATTCAGATAATGGTGAGAAATCAGATTCTCCTGGCCTATTGGATGAACGAATCGACGGTGAAGATATTTTCCTCGGTTCACTTTTTCGATCAGATTTTGTTTCCTCTTTTCCGTTTTTAATCAGATCAAGTTTACGAAAGTAACTGTCCCATGGTTTCTGGTAGATTATCTGTTCCTGGAAAGGTAACAACCAACTCCAAGAGAATACAGCAAAATAACATCTCCCACCTTAGCGAGAGAGAGAGAGAGAGGAGTGAGATGACTAAGATCACAATTCGAAAAATTTAAGAAATTTATTCTTACCTGGTTTCAGCATTTCGTTAATGTTTTTCATCACCTTTTCCATATCCGCATCCGATATCCAATGAAGACAATACGAAGACAGAACCGCATCGACGGAACCTTTTTCTACTTCCATATTCTCGGATAGAATTTTCCAATCGGAACAAATATCGGCCACATAAAAGTCCAAATTGTAGGTGGAATAACGATCGATAGCATAATCGATCATCTTTCTACTACAATCAACTCCAACAGTTCGAGTTTCAGGAAAACTGCACCATACTCGTTCTGTTATATTTCCAGTTCCACAACCGAGATCAACAATTAACTCTGGAATTCTGTTCACAAATCAGATTAATTCAATTATTTCAATGATATTCCAATTAACTTACTTGTTCTCATGATCTTTTTGTAATCTTCGAATGATAAACTCAGAATCTTTTTTCTGCAACTTATTTGATTTATCATAAAGTTCTGGTGTTGTATTCATCTTATTGTTCACAATAAACCAGAAGAAAAAACTAAAACAATCAACTAATCAACTAATCAACAATAAGATCAATAATCATCTCAATAGAAGACACCAAGCCTTAAATACTGAATTCCGAGCCTAATTACCATGATAATTTACTAATTGTCGATGGGTAAAAAGCAATTAATCAACTAGAAAATTATTAGAAAAACGAAATTGTTTAAATTGTTACTTAAATCACTTTCCTTTCTTTCCAATTGTTACAATTAACTTTCATATATGTAATTATGGACAAATTTGTTTCTCCATTCAAATTAAATGACAACCTAATTAGTAAATTAACTTTCTCTTAATTAGTCTATATTTATAAACCACAATTAATTAAGTTTTACCTTAACCTTACCAGGAAAATTGTAACCATATTTAAGGTTAATCAACTATCGTTAAATTGTTAACAATTAACTTTCTTTCATGTTCTTTATGGTAAATATATTAAGTTGATTAAAACTTTACAATAAAATGTTAATCACGATCGTGATCAAATTAATTGTTAACTATGAAAAGAGAGATAATCTTAATTTCAAATCATCCTCAATAATTAACATGTAACAACAAGTTAATTTAATTAATTAATCAACAATCAAGAAAAAGATAATGAGTGAAACATAGTTAACCAGAAAATTAGAAGAAAATTTTTTTTTTAGTTTATTAATATAAAAAGTCACAATTAAATCACCAAAATTAAAATAAAATTCACTCACAATTAATCAATTGTTGTAAACTCGTTCTATACCTAAATATAAATTGCGTTAATTATAATTAGAATGATGAGAAAACAAACTAAATTAAATAGCAACAATTTAAGTAATGATGGTAATTATTGGATTGATTGGAAAAGAAAATTTTTTCAGAAGAAAACAAAATTGAAAAGATTATCATAATTAACAATTAACTAATTCACTTTGATTCCTCAATTTTTGTAACAATTTAAATGTTGTAATTTCAGCTAATTATCAATCGGATTAAATAATAATTAAGATTGACTTTCACTTGTTTAATACACTAATTAGTTGATCACCAATAAGCCATTAATTAAATGGTGAAAAGTTAATTTTATTAATAGTTACATTGATTTAAATTGATACATATTATTATTGATTATTAATCATGATTAACTGATTAACGTTTCTTAATCAATATTAGATTATTAAAAATATGATATTATTTTTATATTCAATTGGAATCAAAAGTTTTTGTTAGTTTTCATTCATTGATGATTCCGTTTTCACGTTAATTACAATTAACTGATTATGTATTAATAGTTGTTGTTGATTATTGAAATGTTGTAATCATCATGATTAAAATAATCAAATGTATCGACATCATTATCATTATCAACATCATCTTAATTACTTGAGGCTTTAAATCAACAACAACAACAACAATTTAAATGACAGTTATTTGTATTATTAGAAAGATGAAAGTTTCACAATTAAATTTAAATTGTGATTAAAAGAAACAATTTAACAGTTTTTGTCTTGGTTAATTATGTTAATTGATTAGAGAAAAGTTAATTTCTTTTAATTATTTGGTTTGATTTGTTTTTCCTTTTTAATTAGTTAATTGTCTTCTCGTTATTTCAATCAGTCAATCAAAGTCACACTTAAACACCAATGAGTTAATTGTTACAAAATAATAAATTACAATCATTTGATTGATTGTAATCAACATTTTTTCACTCTCTCATTAATTATCATTTATCAACAACAATCTGTTAATCCTTTCAATCAAATTTAATTGTTAATAACAATCAATCTTAGAGAGTTGTATTAACATTGAAAAGTTTAACCAAACAAATTGTTAATCAAATATTAACAATTAAAGGGACAAGAGTAGCAATTAGAGTGATAATTATAATTTTTTAAAGAATCAATTTTATTAAATTTTCCAAAACAATTAACAATTGAATTTAAAATACTCAATTAACAATCAAAATCAGAAATGGTTCATAATTAAATCACAAAAATGGAAACCGATTCATAAGCAGTTAATTAGAGTTAATTGTTTAAATTGATATTCACTAATCAATAATTGGATTAGTTATAAACAGAAATAAACCAAAATTAACCCTTTTAATTGTTATAACAATTAGTAAACTTTTAACTCTTCCTGATAATCAAATCATCTTCCTATTTACCTCCTATTGATTACAATTAATTATTAATCGTAACCAAAATCCTAATCCTTAATTATCATACGGAAATTTAAATTGTATATATGAATATATAAATTGTTACAACTTGTCCATTGAAATGATTAAACTTAACAACTAAATTAATTCCCGCTGAGTTTATAACGATTCATATATTTAATGATTTAATCAAATTAGTTAGGCCTTAAATCATTGACCAACAACAGTAACAACAATTAACAAGAATTAGGAAAAAAAAAAAATCATTCCAATTTAATTGTGATTGTTTTGTTTTGTTTTAATTTCTACAATTAAAATATCAGATCAACAAAATCATCTAAATTTAATTTCCTAACCTTAAGGAAAACGATCAATTTATTTTTATAATCAATCAATTAAACCCTCAAGCTAATCAGCCGAAAGTGAGAGAGCGACAAAGTTACAATTAGTCTACGAAAAAAAGTAACAATTAACTTGAACATTTAATTGTCAATTAGAACAACAAAAAAAAAAAAATCAAGTCTCTTAATCGCAACACCAGGGGGAGAAATTGAAGTTCGGATCATTTTTGATGGTCAACATTAGATTTTGTTAATTGTGTTGATGACAATTTAATGTGAATCAATGACCACTAATTTAATTAGTTAATAACATTGAATTGGCCAAGGTTCAATTATCTGTTATTTAATCAAATTGACTCTTAATCTATTTTAATTCGTTTATCTTTTAAATTGATCAGTTGATTAGTTTTTGTTTTTCTTGTGTCCAAACAAATGTGATCATAAATGGATTACACTTTTATAGGTTTGTTGTTTTATATTCAGAGAGGTGATTAAGTTAATCAGACAATCAGATTAATTATATAATTAATCTTGAAGCTTCTTCTTTTTTTCTGTTCTTTTTGTTTTCTCTTTACTCTATTCTAAGTTGTTCCTCCTCCATAAAAAAATGATATCATCTTTAGTCATCTTCCTTTTTCCGTTTGCCTTAAAGATGGAAACCAATTAACCCGAACCATTACCTTCCATTTTGTTTTTATTTTCTCTTTCTCTTTCTCTTTTCCTTTCTTTTACTTGATCTTCCAATATAAATATTTATCTCCATTATCATCTTCATATCTCCATCTTGATGCTAATATATTTGAAATGTGCACCAGTTATGCAACAACAAAAAGAGAAGAGAAAAAAAGTTCCAAACGATTCTTTTTCTGATAAGAAAGAGAGATGAGAAAGAGAAAAAGAGAAATATCCATTTTATCCAATAAAAAAAGGTAAGAATTTAATTTGTATATAAAATAAGAAAATGATTAACTAAAAGGTTCATCTTCTTGTTAACGTTTTTTTTTTCGTTTTTCTCCTTCCAGATTAACCGTCGGGCAGCAACAACAATTTCATCATCATCACCAACACAACATCATCTTTAATTGTGGACAGGTCAGTTTATTAGACTCTCTCTCTCTCTCTCTCTCTCTCTCTCTCTCTCTCTCTCTCTCTCTCAGTGTGTATCATCAACAGGTAAGGTAAAATGTATATAAAAAACGATTGCTAAAATTAACATTACCGCATCATTTTGTGGTTCTTCATCTTTATCCTCATCACTTTCTCCTTCATTTTGTTTTTTATCTCTCCCTCTCCCTTACCCTCCTCCTCCTCCTTTTCACTTTCTTTACTCTATTATAATTTCATTTATCTTCATCTCTCTCTCTTTCTCTCCCTCTGTTTCGCTCTCTCCAGCATCTTTTTAATCTCATATATAAACTCAACGTTCTTCTAAATTTTCAATTCATTCAAAGATTAGAAGAAAACATTCAGTGTGTTTTTTGAAAAGAGAAAAAGAATATTTCATTTTCATAAAAGAAGAGCGAAAGTTGATCGTTATAAATTCTATTCTTTTAAACTTGTGACTTTTTGATTCTTTTCAACAGTTACCCTCCATTTTTTTCTCTTCTTTTTCCATACAAAAGGATTTTATTTTTTATTCTATCATCAACATGAGACGTGCTACTTTGTGTTCCTTTGGACTTTTGGTCATTCTTGTTCTCGCCATGTCACCCGGAAGTGATGCTGGTCGTCGAAGAATTTTAATGGCCAAAAAACTCGCCGCTCTACTTTTACTTAACAAGAAACGTTACATCTTTGTAGCTCCATTCCCGTTGCCCGTCCCGTTACCGTGAGTATTTTTATCTTTTCCCGCGTGTGTGTGCTTCCTCTCTCTCTCTCTCTCATTCTTATTCCTTTCCATTTGGATAATTGATATTCCATCAATCATGATTGATAAATCATCTTCCATTCAATATTCTACCTGAATCAAATTCTCTCACCTCCCAAACTTCATCGTTCTTCATAATCTTCCCTTTATTTTCTATTCCAACATAAACTTGTTATTCTCTCTCTCTCTCTTTTGATTGATCTTGTTTTCCTTTCTCTCTCTCTCTCTCTCTCTCTCTCTCTCTAATTGTGCTAATTAATCTTTTCTTTTCTTTTTACAACTTCCATTTACCGTTAAGTAGCCAATTAGTGAAGGTTAATTTGTACTACTACTCATTTGGAAACATGATATTGCTGATCAATTCATTTCAATTTATCCAATAACGAGTTTCTATCTGATTTTAAATTCATTTTAATCGTTAATCTTTCATTTTTCATTCTTCTCTCTTTTTCTTGATTTACTTCCAAATTATGATTATGATAACAAAATGATTTATTTAGAAATATGATCCAATGAATTTCTTACATCATCATCATTTCTTCCTGTAGTTACCCTTTGATTAGCCTGTCCAAACAATTAATCAAATACTGTTAATCCAGTTTCATGTTTTCTGTGTCAGTTCAGTTATATAAACTTATTATTATTTAAATCATTAGAATTTACTTTACGACAATCAATGTATTATAATCAAATCACCATCATGAAAATGACATATCTACATTAATCTTGAGCCCTAAAAAAATACAAACCAGTAATCATCTTAATCTGTCATCAGATTAAGATTAAAATCTTTATTTACTTACCTGATGAGGTCAATGAATTTGAAAATCAACAAGCAAGAAAACAAAATAAGTTAATTAAATGATTACCTGTTTATGTAAAATTTACAGTTAGTTAAAAGAAAAAGGTGTAACATCCTTAATAGCCACAGGCAATTGAAAGTGAGACTTGTTTATGATCAACAATCACAATCATAATCATTACCGTAACATTTAGTTGGCTATTTTTGATTATTATCATTACAATAATCAAGGATTCAGCTGATTGAGGATCAGAATCTATTTTTTAATGAAAAAAAAAAATACTATTCAAAACAACAACAAGTGAAAGTTAAGTCCTTTAGGGCTAAATCAGGAAAAAGATCATTACCTGATTTAATCATCATCATCTAAATACTGAATCAAATTACCTGATAATTTTAATTTCATGAATTTCAATTATAGTTACTGTCCAATTGCCCTAAAGTTGAGGGAACCTCAACAAATCCCTTTCTCTTAATCTTAAAGATCCTCTTAATCACCACGATAATTATACTTGATTAAGACATTTATTGTGGTAAAACTTTCGCTTCAATTGAAACAATCAAATTAACTCAAGTAATAGATTTAAATTGATAATATCAGTTGATGGTTTCCAATTAAGTTTCTGAACAGAAATTGCTCTTTATGTCAAACAAAAAGAGGAAAAAAGTTAATCAAAGAAATGATGATGTATTCCTCTCTAATTAACCATGCTAAAAAACTAATTGTTTTCATGTCCATTTCAATGAATTATTCATAATATTGTTCACAATTAACCTAATTCATGTATTTTTATTTCTTAATTGTTCTTATCCATTTACAGAGTCATAACCAAGGTGAAACATATCGTTCACAAGTAAGTTTACCTTTGATGTTTTTTTTTTCATGGTTCGATTTTCTTGCTTAATTGTTGCATCTTAAATTAAGATATTACAACAAACACTAACCTTAAAAGTTTATTTTTAAATGGCTAATAGTTAATTGTGTTGATACTTCATTAACGTTTGCAAATAGCAATTTAGATTTTATCATCCTTGTTTTGTCTTCTATTTTTTTTCTTAATATTCCTACTGATCTAAATTGTTGTTTTGTTTTGTTGTTTTTGACCATTAACAGGGAGAAGATACCAGTTCCTGTTCCAGTTCCTCATCATGTGACCAAATACGTTGCTGTTCCAGTTCCAGTTCCAGCACCAAAATCATGGTCAGATGACTCATGGAAAACCCCTGATCATCATGCAATCGCATCTTCCGAGGTTTCATACAAAATCTCAGAGAAACCTCATCATCCTAAACATTTGGAAAAAATTTACGCTGAATCAAGTCACAATCTTAAATTCTTAGAGAAGCCAACCTATTCAGAGGAACCAATTAAAATGTCTGAAAAATCTTACCATGAAAATGATTACAAATTACCCATGGAGAAACCATATCATCACCTTGAAGATGGTGATAAACTTCCTGAACGATTATACTCAGAGGAACCAGTTAAATTTGATCATCTTGAACACTACAAAGGTGCTGCTTCAAGTCTCGCTGAAGAAACCATTGAATTACCTAAGAAATTTAGATCACATAAAACTGAGGAATCATTTAAATTTCCTGACAATTTCTCACCCGATGAACTTTTAGCCAAATTACAAAGTGAATTAGGTGCAGCTAATTCTGGTGTAGGTTCACCTGAATATCTAAACAATGAACCCTCTGAACTTTCAGCTGAAAATTATCCAATGTTACCTGAAGGTGGTATGATGATCAAGAAGAAGTAACCAATTCACTAATCACTTCTACATTGGAATCAAGTATTAATCTTCCAGCCATTATAATAATAATCATCATCTCTCTCTCTCTTCTCTCACTTTGATGATCACCAATTTTTTGCTTATTTTTTTTTCTCCACCTCTCCCTCCTCACCACCGTCGTCACCATCAACCACAATTCCCCACTACTGATACATTTTAGATCAACACTCTTACCTTCGAGATAGAAAAAGTTCAATATCATCATTGGTCCCAATCTAATATCAATGACGACGATGTTGAAAACTTTAATTGATTATAAAGTTTTCTATCATAATCGATTATTATCATTACCATGAAATCAACAAAATCATCCAAAGAAGTTCATTAATGATAATCAACTTTAATTCTCGACCAATTGCCAACAACAATCAACAATTTTTTTTCGCAAATAATTTTTTTCGTCTCATGTGTGTTACCGTTGACATCTCATCATAATAATGTTTTTTTTCATGAAACTTTTTTTTACAACATTTGTAAATCAAATTAACCAACACAATCAACTAATTACAACAATTAGTTGATTACCAACGATAACTACTTAACGACTTTTTTTCGCCACAATCTAAATACACTTTTTTTTTTGTTTTACCACAATTACTTTAAATTAGTATTCAAAACTAATCAAAACTAATTGTAACTAAATTGCTGACCCTTTTGTCCACCTCAAGTCCACCTTTACTATTTTTTGTCCATCACTTTTTTTTTCATGATATTGTATGTAAATAGATCTCAAAATTTTCACTAATTGTTACAAATTAAATGTTAATCTCATTTTCTTGTTATACAAAAATCTCTCATTTTCATTACCAACAATTAAAATTAAATTGCGAGAGAAAAGTGAATTAACCTTAAAATAGATTTACATGTAATTACATTGAGATTTAACGATGATTATAAACTCGAGACAATTTAAGTGATTAACTAAATTGGGTCAACAGTTAAAAATATTTAATCTACTTAACTGTTAATCCAATTAGCGCATTTGCTAATTTAAACACGCTAGTTAATTATTGGTTAACTTAATCATCGTTAATTTTTTCATTCTTTATGATAATTACCTTTGACCCTACGCAAACATTTAAATTGTTAGATATTATTGATTGTATGTTTTTAATTTGGTTTATTATTTTCGGATTTGTAAGTTAATTGGTAATAGTAATCAATGGAAACTAAAAATAGTTATAATTGTGAAATCAGTTACGATTTGACTGATTTACTAATACAAATTAGCGGTTTTTTTGTTGCTCCTTGCGTTTTTTTTTTTGATTGTGATATTATTTACAATTTGATAATTTACTCAGTAAACACACAATTAGAGTTGATTGAGTGTTTAGTTTTGTACGAAGTGTTAAATGTGAATATATATAAGATGTATTGTCCATGAGGTGTTTACAAAAAGAAAGATTAATTATCGATGATTGTTAGAAAATGGAAAAATTTAAGAAATTAACATTTCTTTTTTTTCGGATTTTGTTTTCATTGCGTTTGCTGCGCTAATTTAACGGTTCTTTTTGTGTCAAATAATCGACATGATTATTTGAGAAACCAAATCATCAACTGATAATGGAAATTATATCAGTTGAACTCCTTGAAATTTGTCGACAAAGTGACCCAATCAATTGGTTTTTTTTCCTCTCTCTCTTTCTCTTTCTCTTATGTAAATATACAAAATAATCTTCGAGTGTGAGGAAAAAAAATATACTAAAAGGCACTTGAATCGAGTAGTAAAAAGATGGAATCATTTTCTCCAATACTGTAATAGAAAATAAAGAAAACAATTAGAAAATGAGGAAAAGTTAATTGTTCTGAAAGTGTTAATATTGTTACGAGAGGACTTACTTGAGCAAATCTGTGAATTTGTTCAACAAGAATCGCCATTACTGCGGTTACACTGACATCGATTAAACCTTGGATATAATGAACAGCTTCTTCATCGTTAAGATCTAAACGAAATTTATCTTGGACTTTTTTTACTGTTTTATCAGGTTCGAGAGCGATATCAGGTATGGTTGCGTCAATCATTAGGTTAAAAAGGTTGAGTATAAGATTAGCGTGCCGACGAAGATGAAGAAAAGCTGTATAACATAATTTCCTAAAGGTTTGATAATGATCTGAATTAACACCGCCCATGGCTTCAACCATTTCACGGGATAATTTCATTGGAGGTGGGAATGGTTTAGGATCACGGCCAAGAATATAACCAAAGTCGACATGGAAAAGGTGACCTTTCTTGGTTAAAAGTAAATTGTCCAAGTGACGATCACCAACACCTAAAAGGTAAGTAATAATACAATATCCAGCTAACAAGAAAAAGTAAATGAAAAATGTCCAAGATCGTAAATATTACAATTTAAATCGATACAAAGTAAAATTATGCAGAGACAATCAAGTTAATTACCACAAGATTTAACATAAGTATCCATGACATCGGGTTGGATACCATAGGGAGCATTTTCACAAGGAGCAGCGTCACGGAAAAATTTTTGTATATCAGCGTTTTTGATAACTTCGGCCACTGAGAAAGATTCAATATACTGGACGAAACCGTGTTTACTACTAGTGGCCAGTACTTTATACGGTGATAGTTTAAGGTCAAGATTTTCACGTCTTAATAGTTTATCCATTAGTGTGATTGTATGAAGGATAAGTTGATCTTGCCTCAGGTCATCGCCAATTTTTAAAATGGCAATGTAAGGACCAGATCGATCGGTTATAAAGGTCAATTGACTAGGCATTAGAGCACTTTTGAAAAGTGTCGCTGTTTCGGGAATTATTCCGGTTACTTTAACTTTCGGATCTAAAGGAAGTGGTAATACATCAAACGATTTAAAATTAATTTTAAATGATTCACTTTCTTGGAGAAGTGACCGGAGAACTTCAATTTTCTTGGTTCGATCTCCTTTTTCTCGGGCAACGTGTTTCATCAGGCAAACCAATTTATCGACAAAAGTTTGAATTCTAACCAAAGTATTGTATCGCTGTCTCATTTTAAGATCTCCTTTGAGAAGTCGTTCACCGAATCGTTTCAATACAATTAGATACATTCGGGTTGTTCGAGAATCTTTACAAAGACTATTCGTTGATGAGCTAACTGATTCACTTGATTGATTGTTGATATCTTCACATTCAACCACAAGGTACCAATAGAAAAAATTGGCCAAAGCATCATCGGAAACGGCTTTTTCAATTAGGAACGTTGCAAGATCCATCTGAAAGAAAGTTAATTGTTTTATATTAGACAAGCTGGAGTAAACAAATTAAACAATCGGGTAAGAAATTAAATAATGTAAGCTACCGATGGCATTTCATCAGAGGGATTAGAAGCCTCTCCATCGTAAGCAGGATTATCACATCCAAGAGTAGCAATTGAGACTTCTGAAGTTACACTCATCTTACGATTAACACTGTAATTGGAGAAAAAGGGAAGGATAAACTGGATTAATTTAATTGTTCGATTACGTAAAGATAATGTGATACTTACTATTCCTTTTCTGTTTCAAAGAATCCCGGAGTCAATGGACCTTTTTGGTCGATTAGTCTTGACTCGATATCATCGAAATCTTCATACTTTAAAGCTTGGACAAGTTGAAGGAGATAAAGGATTAAGTCCTAAAAAGGGAAGATGAAGGATTAATAATGGATTAGAAAAGAGATTTGAAAATTGTATCTTTTTTTAGAATTTTGGCTTCTTTCTTCTTCTATGGTCAAACTCTCACCTCATCGGGAGCTTGTTGTAATCTTGAGACAGCGTATTGACGAACGGTTTTATCCTGGAATGTGGGAGATAAAAGTTCTAAAGCATCTTCGATGTCCATTGGTTCCCATTTAGCAAGCATGGCGATCGCTTGTTTGGCCTCAGTTTCCGAGTCCCAGTTGACACATTTAAGAAATTTGGTTAAAGCTTTTTTCTGATTTTGCAGATAAAATCGATATTTCCAAAGTAAATCTTGCTCATCAGAGGTAAGAAGTTTGGTCGGTGGATAGGCGACAATCATAGTTAACTGATTACGAACTTGAGCATTTGGTTTGTTGTCTCGGTCAGTTAAACCCGTTCGATCGCTACGATACAATTTATGATGTTTATCTTCAACCAAATTATCTAATACCAATTCAGGATCGGGTACAATGATTAAATCAGTTTCAAAATTTAATTGGCAACTATCTTCAGCTGATGTTTCAAAGTAAACAATATTTTGAACTGTATTCTCAATCTGAACGGATGGAAATTCAATTGATAAGTACATATTAGCACCATCTTTATCCCGTTGAGTTGTGGCCTCAATATTCATAAACGATATCTGATCAAGCCAAGATACTTTGGTCATATGACCTCTATTGTAACGCTTTTTAAGCTAAAAAAAAATTGTAAACAGAAAAATAGATTAGCAATTAGCAATTTGAAAATTGGAAAATTTAATCCATGTAGACAAATGAAGAAATCATTTTCCTCAGAATTACCAACCTTATTTAACATTGCACTTGCACTGTTCCTTTCAAATTTACCTGGTGTACCATTTGATTTGGTAGCTTCGATTCCAGGCCATACTTTGAGATCATAGATACCTTGTCGAAAGGTTGAATGTTTACCAAAGATTGAGAAAGCAGTTCCTCCGACGACTTTAGATCTACCAGGTCCATAAGAGTCCCAAATAGTAATACCGAGAATTGCATCGTTTGGAAGGTCACTTATTTTCAATGGAAAATTTAACCATTCATTCCAACTGTAGATTCAAAAAGAGAAGGCAAAAGAAAAGAGAGAAACGAGTTAGAAAAAAAGATTTAGCCAGAGGGAAGAGAAAAAGAAACTGAGCAAAAAGAATCATATGGAAACCACCACCATGGAAGAAGAAGAAAAAAATCAATGAAATAAATTTAAATTTCTCCACAAATGGAGAGATAAATCAATAGAAGAATAATAATAATAATTCCAGTTGATTATCTCTCTATATCCATACAACTCAAATGTAAACATTTTCCATTTTCTTGCAATCCAATTCACTTTACACAAAGGGAATCCATTTTGTTTCTTGCCAACCAAATTTAAAACTCACTTGTAATGGTCAACAAAATTTTTGTAAGAGCTTTGTTTAGGTGGACATAATTGTTTTCCATGGCTGTAGATATGACAAGAAATTAAGAGATCAGCTTTTTTTGTGCAAGAGTAAAGACCAGAGTAACGTAGCTTTGGATCAATCATTAAAGCCTTATAATCTTGTTTACCAACATCGCCTTCCAAAGTACCACTAAAAAAGAAACAGAAAAAAGAGAAACAAAGGAAATTGATTAACTTGTAATAGAATAGAATTTAAATTTCAACCCTAATGTAATTAAGTAAATTAGCTTCTTTACTGGGTAAAGGTAAATAAGAGAAAAGAATAAGCAAAAATAGAAAAACATAAACAGAGGAAAAAAAAGATGAAGAGATGAAAAGATTTCAACAGAAATTGTTACAATTATACTTACATTTTGATCTTGAAATTTACATCATTTAGATCACAAGAATAAACGTAATTAAATTTACCATGATTAGAATTTTTTTGATTCATATTTTTGATACAATTAAAAGAATTAAATATTAACTGGATGAGAAAGAGGGAGAATGTTATTGTTTTGGTAAGAGAGAGACATTAAAGTGAACAAGAGAAAGAAAATAGAAAGAGAAAAAGAGAGAGAAGAAAATCAACTGACACAAGTCACTTTCTTTTCTCTTTCTTTTTTCTCTCTCTCTTTTTGTCTTCTTCTTCTTCTTCTGTTGTTGTGATTATCAATCAGCTGAGAATATTTTTAGAAAACTAATTTAATCAATTTACCTTTTTTTCACCTTCTTGTTTTGAACATTTTGCTCTCTAGGGTTTGGGTCACTTTTCGTTCTTTGCTTTGGTCAATCGAAACTTTTTTTTTCGATTTCAAGTTTGATTTTTTTTTTCTTTTCTATTTAATGTCCACTGGTTGTGTCTTCTTGTCACTTGACCAATTACGAGCTTTAGAACAGGTCAAAAGTTTTAGAAAATCAAATTTTCGCTCTTGTCAGTTAATCTTTTACTTCCTTTCAATGGATTTACTTCATTCATGTTTCTCCTCTTTTTTTTCATTCCAATTGCTGATTTTTTTTCTATTCATTGGTTATCCTTTTGATTAGAAATATATGATTAATTGATTGTCGATAATTATTGATTGATTTGAGGTGTTAATGTTTTCTCTTTACTTTTTTTCTTCTCAGTAAAATGTATTAATAGTTGTTAGATTTACAGATATTTTCTTTATACAAGTTCATCTAATTGTAAACATTTAGATGTAAACAAATAATTAATCGAAACTATTAACAGTTTACCAAATTAGATTTTCGATTTTATTATTTATAAAGTTCTAATTTTGAGATTCCAATGATAATGACGATTGAAAACTTCGATATTATTTCCAAGCTCATGGAAGTTACCAAAAGCTTGTTGATTTCGTAAATTGTGGATCAAAATTTCGAACAATTTGTAATATTTTTCTCCGAAAATACAATTAAAATGAAAAGACTAATTTCTCACTTTAAATTGTTTCTTTTAATTGTCACAATTCAAATGAGTCAAGTTCCATTCGATTTGTGAGTCGATTGTTTTTCTGTAAAAAAAAACAATCTTCTCAAGTTCTTGATTAACTCTATGCACAATATGATTGTTATTTGATTATTCTACTCGAAACTTGACAATAGAAAACTTGAAATGTTAATTAATGGAAAAGAAAAAGAAAAATTAATTCCAACAATTAATTCTCGATAAAGAGCTGCCATCTAGAGGTCGAAAAAGAAAATGATAATCATGGTAACCATGGAAACCGAAAAAAAGAAAGAGAAAAATTCTCAAAAGAGAAAATTTTTCTTCTTTCTTTTTTTTCTCTTCACTGCAAACCTTTTTTCCTGTTTGATTTTTTTCTGTTTCTTTTTTTTCTGTTTTTTAACCTTAATTGTTTATATATTTATCCTATTTTCTTTCAACTATGGATCATCTATCGTTAATTACTTTCGATTAATAAAAAGGGGAAAAGTGTGTGTACCAAATTAAATTAAATGTCTTTGTTTGGTAACGTCTCAGTAAACCTTCAATCATCATCTACTTTACTATTACCAACATTTACACCAACAACACTATCATCATCTTTATTTTTTCCATCTTATTCTTATATTCATCATCATCTTTATAATCATTTGAAAATAACAACAACAACATCAACAGCAAAACCAATAGTAACATCATGGATCCCTATCAATGTAATTTAGGTTCACAATCAAATAGGAGAAAGACTATTGAAACTGAAATATATTATTTAATAAGTAAATTTTTGTCCCTTGGACCTTGTACTCGTGCTGCCCAAGCAATCAGAGAGGAGATTGAAGAGAATCAATTATTACCTTTAGCCTATTCTTGGACTGGTGAACAGAAAAGGTTAACTTTAAGCCAATTTGAAAAAAATTTCCCACATATTCGTAATGATCATCTAATACAAATATGCTCTCGTATTGGACCCATTCTTGATTCAAATATTCCACCCTCAGTACCTGGTATCAATAGCTTGTTAGGCGCTGGTACAACATCTTTACTTCGTACATCATCAGGTAGATAGAACAACAAAAAAAAACTAATAACAATATTGTCTTTCATCATATTTTTCATTATTTGCATTTTCATTTTCATTTCAAATTTCTACTGTTGCTTAACAGGTCAAGTGTTTCTTCATTATCAATGTGTATACATTGTTTACATTTTCTTTGATACTTTAGGAAATATTTATGCTTGGCATTTGTTTTTATATTAATATTGGTGTTTAAATTAATTTATTTTACTTTTCTTTTTCTATTTTTTCAGTCATCAAATCTTCTAATTCAAGTCATGCATTGTACAGAAGACAACATGAAGCACCTCTTTTACCATCTTCAAATAAGGCTACAAGCAATCCAGGCAATATTGGTAAATCTTATTCTCTTCTTTTCTTTTTATAACAATCAAATGTTCCTTTTCTTACCTCTCTTTTTCTAATCTCTGTTTATTTGCTTTTTTTGTATTTCTTTTTGACACAGTTAACATTTTATTCTCTCGAGAAAGCTCTGGGCCTTTATCTATTAACCAAACTTTATCAACATCTATGTATAATAAACAACAAATGCACAAACGGTATCTTGGCCATTTATCATCGGTTTACTGTGTTTCATTTGATAGAAGTGGAAAATATATTTTTACGGTGAGTTTGTTTGTTTTTTTTAAACATGCATTTGATTTTTTACATTCATTAACCCGATCCAATCTTTTTACAACCAATTACATACTCTCATCTATATACCATCTAAACTATATTGGTTCTTACCGCTCAAAAGTGTTTCATTTCTTTATAATCATTTACTATAGTACACATTGTACTTATGAACTCTTTTTACCTTTCATGAAAACATTTCAACTTACCTTTACTTTCTCATTTAATTACAGGGAGCTGATGACCATTTAGTAAAGATCTGGAGTGCATTGAGTGGACGATTACTTGCAACTCTTCGAGGTCATTCTTCAGAAATTACTGACCTAGCAGTTAATTATGAAAACACTTTACTTGCCTCTGGAAGCTGTGATAAGATAATACGAGTTTGGTCTCTACGAACAACTGAACCTATCACAATTTTAATTGGACACACAGCAACCATTACCTCTCTTAAATTCTGTCCTTACTCAGATACTGATAACCGTTTTCTAATTTCTACCTCTAACGATGGAAGTGTAAATATTTGGCGCTGGAATGCTTCAACAATTTTATTTGATGCCAAGCCTATCAAATTCATCGAGAAGAGACACAAAGCGAATGCTCAGATTTTATGTTCATCATTTAGTCCAGGAGGATCATTTTTAGCTGTTGGAAGTACCGATCATTTTGTCCGTGTTTATCATCTTTCTCCGCCGACTGGTCCGGTGAAAATATTAGAAATAGATGTTAATGCTGATCAAGTGGATAGTATTCAATTTAGTAATTTTGGTTTAAGGTTTATCAGTGGAAGTAAAGATGGAACCGCTCATATTTGGTGGTTTGAAAGGCAAACCTGGCATCGTCATTTACTCAACATGAGTGAAGTTATACCACCAGCCCAGCCAAGCCCAGAAAGTGATGGTAAAGCAAATAAAATTAAAGTGAACATGGTTTGTTGGACTTGTGATGATGTTTATGTGATAACTGCAGTTAATGATCGTTCGATCAAAGTATGGGAAGCCAATACAGGAAAATTAAAACATGTCCTCTGTAAACATGAGGATGAAGTTTTTGTGCTTGAAGCCAATCCTGTTGATGGAAGAGTTTTTCTTAGTGGTGGTCACGATGGTAAAATAATCATCTGGGACGTAAACTTGGGTATATCAATTGCTGTTTTTTGTAATCAAATTGAAGGTCAAGGTGCGGGTGCAATTTTCGATTGCAAATTTTCACCTGATGGCCAACTCATCGCCTCAACAGATTCTCATGGACATCTTGCAATTCATGGTTACGGTACCAAAGATCGATATGAAAGAGTGCCAGACGACGTTTTCTTTCATACAGATTATCGTCCATTAATACGTGATGCTAATCACTACGTGATAGATGAACAGACTCAATGTGCCCCTCATTTAATGCCACCTCCATTCCTTGTGGATATTGATGGCAATCCATATCCACCCAATCTTCAGCGTTTAGTACCAGGTCGTGAAAACTGTAAAGATGATCAACTAGTTCCTTACATTGCTATACACAATGAGAGAGGTGTTGCTGAAGTATTACAACCTGTTGTGGGTGGTCAAGAAATACCACCACAAGCTCTTAACCGCCAACTTCATTATCTATATAATCCTCAAGATCAACAACAACAACAACAACCACCACACTATGAACGAATTATTCGACCTCAACCTACACCGCCACCACCTCCACTACCTCAACAACCTCCTCCTAGACCTCCGTTAATACCTTCTGCGTCCTCGCACCAGGCTCGACCTCCACCAGTACCTTCACCGCCATCTCATCAATCCCGACCTACAATTGATGATATGATTGAAAGGTTAGCTCAAGAGCAAGCAAGGGAAAGAGTTAATGTTGAACATGGTTACGCTGCTCCATCGTCAGTAAGCGGAGATGAACAAGGAGCACAAAGAGCTCGTAGTCTTTCCCAATCTCTACACCAAGGGCCTTCAGTTTCACGTAATGGACCTCGATTGAATCAAGAAGGACAAGGCGTTCGTCAACCTGGAGCAAGTTGGCAGTCTAGAGATAAAATGTCAACAACACCTTTGGGAGGTAGAGTTGTTGTCGAAGAAATAAGACAAGGTCTTCTTGCACGAATGATGCAAAATTTTAAAATTGCAAGCGCATCTGAGAATGAAATTTATCAAAGAGAAAGTACTAAAAGCAAAAAACAAGACTTACCAAAACCAGAACCTCCTAAACCTAAAGAAGTGGTTAAACCAAAACAAAAGAAAAGAGTCGTTCGACGTAATCAAGATACTAACGCCAGATCTAATGCGGGTAACGCTGCATCTAGTGCCTTGAACCGAGGTGGCTCTTCAGTTTCCAATGATCTCGAAAATGTTGAGGATGTTGATTTAGTTTCACTGGACTCGAATGATGACTCGAATTATACTGATAGTGATATTGCCTCTTGGAATGGTAGCTCTACGGGAGAAAGTGAGGACGATGATGACGATGATGATGATGATGATGACGATGACGATGAAGAGGACGATGACGATGGTTCCGATGACGAGGAGCAAAGTCCTGAAATACTTACTCGTTCAGCAAGAGCTCGTTCTCGGCGAAGGAAACGTAATCCAGAATCATGGAAACAAGCCTGTTTAAATCTAATGGAAGATATGTGGGACAAGGATGACTCTGAACCATTCCGAACTCCTATTGATGAAATTCAGTACCCAGACTATCGTCAATTTGTAGATAGACCAATTGATTTGACCACCATAAGAGAAGAACTTAATAGCGGAAATTACCGGACTCTTCAAGATTTCACAAAAGACATGGAGCAAATTTTTATAAACTCAAGAAATTACAACACAGATAGAAAATCTCAGATCTATTGTATGACATTCCGACTGCGGCAATGGTTCCGTGAGAGAATGAAACAGATTGGTGGTAGAAAGAGCCGTCATCTTCATAGGAGAACGAAGAAAAAGAAGAATGATTCAGGGTATACACTTAGAAAAAAGAGTCAACGAAAAGAGAATCTCAGGTACGAAGATTTTGTTGTCACCACCACACGGAAAAAGAAAACAAAGTTAAAAAGAAAGAATGGTGAACGTAAAAAGAAGCAAACATCTAGAGAAACAACTGCCTCATCCTGTTCATCAAGGTCATCACCTTCAACATCCTTCGACCCTTCCCAACCATCCACATCAGGTCTTTCCTCAAGAGTTACTAGTCAAAGTGAGGGGAAAAAAACCAAACGACCAAGAAGGAGGGTAATTCGTAGTCTTTCCGATGACGAAGAAGAAAATGAAAGAGATGCTCCGAGCAGCTCCGCATCTGGTGTAAATGGAATATCTAATGGAGTCAAAAACTCTGAAAAATTTTTAAAATCTCTTGTACAGTCGGACGACGAGGAGACAGATATCGAAGATACCACGGTCCGAGCAAATGGATTTAATCATCATTCTGGTAGTGATACCGAGATTGAGGGTGACAAGAATGATACTGATGCAACTGAAATCGCTGGTGATGATGAGACACAAGATGGTATTTGTGAGGGTGATCTCCAAGGTTCAAATAAACCTTCACTGCCACGAAAAAGACGCAAAGTGAGAAAAGTTAACTCTGGTTCTAGAAAACGTCTGAAAACCACTGTTAAGGGTAACGGGGCAATAGTTAATGGAGGAAATAAGGTTTTATTGAAAAATAATCATATTTCACCGGACTTGAATGTTTCTCTTGCCCTAGTTAAAACGGAAACACCAATAGAAAATGAATCAAGTGAACAACAGATTAAGAAAGAACCAGAGCCGAATGCTAAAGAGGAAGAAAATGATATCTGTTTTGATTGTAATCAAGGTGCCCCACCAGGCTCATTCGAAGCTAATTTCCTTTGGATTGGTTGTGATGGCTGCGAAAATTGGTTTCATCAAGATTGTGTGATTATTCCGGAAGGTTTTAATTTTGATGCCGATCTTTTTTACTGTCCTACATGTGAAAAAGATGGACTATCAACTAAACCTAAAGGACAGAGATCAGAAAGAAATAAACGTAAACCAACAAACCGGTAACAATTGTACTATCCGAAAAAGATATTTTTTGTGTATTTGGAGCCAAACAAATTTAATTTGAAGAAACAAAATCATCATTTAACTAATACAAATCAAATACAAACAAAATTGCCGAATCCACCAATCGCCATCATCTTCTTTAACAACGACCACCGCATCATCAACATCAACTTTTTTTTTCTTTCATGTTATCTCAAATTCTCACAATCAATTTAACAAACCAACAAAAATTCACCATAAATCATCACAACACCATCATCATCACCACCACCATCTTTTCCCCTTTCCTCTAAATTTTTTTCTCCTCAATTTCATTGTAAAATTCAATTCTCATCATCAAATCGTTTTCATTTGCGCTTGAAGAAAAACAAAAACAAACGAAAGCAAAAAGGAAACCAACTAGAGTTGCACCCATTGTTTCAAAGCTTAAATTTCCAATGGTTTCTTATTTATTAAATAATCGTTGAAAAGAGAGACTATTAGATAACAAAGTGACAAAAATATAACGAGAAATGGATTCAATTTGCTTGGAAAAGAACGAAAAAAACGAGACAATTTTTTTTGACTTCTTCATCTCTTCTTTTTGTTTCTCTCTCTCTCTCTCAATTTTTTTCTTCCTTTCCCTTTCTCTTGTAATTTGTCTAAACAATCACATTCTCTCCTCTTTAACTATCAACTTCCAAACAAAAATTAATGTAAAATAAGTTTGAGAATCATTTTTTATTAACTTCTCTAGTACATACATTACACCACCAACAAAAAACTACAAATACATAGTTTCACTCATTTACTTTTCCTTTTCTGCTCGTACAATATTTTTTTCTTTTTCGACTAAAACCAAAAAACTGGCCAATAAAGTTGCTTAAGATTTTGCTATGAAAAAAAAGCTCGAAAATAAAATCAATCGAAAAGTGAAAATTTCTTTTCATTTGACAGCCATGATTTGTTTTTATTCCGAACAAAAAGAAAAGAAAACAAGAGAGAAAAAACATTGCAACTGTTTTTCCCTCTCATATTTTTAACATTCAGCTTCATGTTTCATGTAATTCCAACATGGAGATAATATAATAAAAAGATCAACACAATATACTGAGAAAGAGAGAGAGAGAGACACACAGAAGAGAATAGAATATTTTTGATTTTGTAGAAAAGAAGATTTAAAAAGCCAAACTAATTTCACTTATATAATTTAGATGTTTTAGTTTTTCCTTGATTTCTTTTTCTTTCCAGTGGTTGTTGATTGGTCGATATTCTGTTGTTGGTTAGTATTTCCCTTATTTACTCGAGATTTTAATTTAGGAATCATTTCACATAAATAAGTCAACACATCATCTCGATTCTTGAAACGTGGATCTCCTCCTCCTCCTGATGCACCAGGTAAAGTATATCTTACTCTTCCTCTAAATTGAGCTAATTCTTTATCCATTTCTCGAGGGTAAACCTTATTAGGCTCTTCTTTAACCTGAATACCCTTAATTGTCTCCAAAACATCCTTAATTTCTTGCCAACGAGGATCAGAAACACCTTTATCTTTAGGAACCACTCTACCTCTTTGTCGTGTCTTATTACAATTTATGTATGCAGGGTAAATGGTTAACCAATTTTTCTCCACCAATTGTTCAGACTAAAACACAGAAAACAGAATCAATTAGACCGACTGATTAGACAAGAAAATCGATAATTCATCAAATTAACCTGAGAAAATGAGACTTACCATAATTAAATTAAAAGAGAAAAACAATCAACAAGAAGGAAATTTATTTATTTTTTTCTCCCAATCGGTCAATTTTTGTTGTACCAAAATAAAAAGAATTCGAAAGTAGTGACATCTATTGTTAGGAAAAGAAACTAATATAATAGAATTTTTTTTTGTTCGATTTGTCAACTTTTTCTCATTTTAATTGTTGACTTAATTTCTAATTGATTGATTAGATTTTCTATTGATTAAGTTTTTGATTTATACTAAATTTAATTATTTCTGCTTTTGGTGAAAAGAGTTTAATCTGCTGAAATTAATCCGATGAAATTAGTGTTTGAAAATTTCGCTTTTGTTTCAACTTTTATTGAAAGTTAATAAGTGTGATGATTGTTGTTGTTAACTAACAATTTATAATCGGTTGTCTGATTAACCTTGGAAATTGAGTTTTGATTAATGTGTTTAACTGGATACTTTTCTTGTGTGGTTTGACCTTTGCCCTTCATTTGATAGCCTTTTAATTGTTCAAGATGACATATAATTTTATCTTCTATTCCTTAACATATTGATGGTACCGAGTCTTTGAAGAGTGAACATTAAAATTACCTCTATTACATGTGCTCTTTTTCATCATGTTAATTTAACTATGTGAACAATTAAAATTAATATTGTTATTAATTCATCAATTTAATTATTCTTAAATTTGTGACTGTGAACTGATTCAGTTAAGATGAAATTAAATTTATTGAAATGGTCATTGGGTTTTCTGAATCTCTTCAAGGATGGTCAAGGGTAAGACTTTAAAATACCACGTTTTTTAAAAATAAACAGGTACTTGACAATCAATATTAATACTATTATTATTAATAACTAATCTAATTAACTCTTAATTAAGTTTTTAATAAACAAACTAGCTCTAACGAGTGACCTTAAAAAAAGACTGAGGGAGCTAAAAGTTCCCGTAGACAAAAGACTGATTCCCTCACAGGGAAAAGAATAAAAAAATTGAAACAAAGAAAAAATTGAAATTTATCAACAATACTGATCAATTAGTACTCAGTTAATCTATTACTTCCGTTTTTGTTTAAATATTTTCTCTCTTTTACCTTTTACTATTAATAACTATGATCTTGTAATAATGATGAGTGAATCAAATTGGAACCCACCATTATATTGAATTGAAAGCTAAAAAAGGAATCGATTTGAATTTTACCATGGATAAGGAATCAAAAACAAATTGGACTAATCACTTGGACTAAGGACTAATTATTAATAATATTTAATATATTGTATATATAAAAATGAATAATAATTATAAATGTAACCTCAACTTATAACTGTAAAATGGTAGGGAGGTAATCATTGAAGGTTACCTAGAGGTTTTATAACCTCTCGATCTGTATCCTCATTTTTCAGTTCAAATAAATACCAGCTACTAATTTTGATTTGGTTGATTATCAACTTGATCCATTTTGATGGCAATTTACGGTTTGATTGGTTGTTAAGTTATGGTCAATTGATGTGTAAACATCTTGAAGATTGCAGTTAAATCACATTTAAAGGTTCGTCTGTTATCCTTTTCTGTGTTTTAGTTTAATTGTTATTGTTGAAATTCATTGGGTTTTTTTTAATTTATTGCTTAGTAGTTTTATTTTCATGTTTATGGTAAAATCAATTACAATCTCATCCATATTCACAATGGTGTTAATATCTTATACATCAATAATGTTTTCCCTGGTCAAAGAAAAAGGTGAGATGTGATGTTGCTTAACATTTAAACAAAATATTACATTTACAATTTATGTTTGGCTTTTTCGAAAAATTTTACAATTTGATTGTTTTCTTTTCTTCTTGGCACAATAGGTTGATTAGTATTTCACCACAAGCGGCATTGACATCACCGTCAATATGGTATCGTGTCCATGGTTGACCCGACTGATTAATCTCTTGAATTTCAACTGCCTGAGATATACAAGCAACACAGAGAGAAAGAAAGTAATCATCAATTAGTCATTGGATTGACAACAAATTCTAATACATTTATGATGGACTTTCTTAATCTTACCTGATGAAAATGACATAAACATTTACCAGGATAGAAATCTTTATAACGTGAGATGGTCATATTAAAGGTATCAACAACATCAATATTGTGACTTTCAGCCAATTGGATTAGCCGTTGATTGTGAATTGCAAGTTTCTGTTGATCTTCCTGTAAAAATAAACAGAGAAAAAGAAAGACCAATTGGAAAGAAGAAGAGACAAGAAAAGAGGAACCAAATTAATCGGGTTAATTAATTCAAATACATGATTTTATCAAAAAGATAACATCCAAGTACAGGATAGAAGTTGATGAAAATTTCTGTTTTATTTCAATTAACTATCATCAACCATGTTTTCATCCAGTCAAGAGCAATAACCAATGAATCAATGCTAACGAACAAAATAACGGAATCAGGAAAAGAATCAAGCTTCTAGTAACAATGAATATCATCAAGAATCTTCATGGGGATATATTTATTTTTTTATCTCTTTTTCACATTAACATTTTCTCTTCCCATTCCCTGCCTTTTACTCATATCATTAGTATTGAAACTCTTTATATTATACATTCATTATTGAATAATCATGTTCATCTGAAGTTGACAGAATTCACTATTACCTACTCACCTCTCCATGTTTTATTGGATTTGACAATCACTTACTAATAACCTATTACTCTAAATACTCTACTGTCCATCTAAATGTTAATTAATAGCATACCAATGATAATTAGAGTTTAATCATTACCTTTTCCTAGAGCTCAAACTAATCAACAAGTAATTTAACTAACCCTTTTATCAAATGCTTCCAGGTAAATGTGAAGAAAAAAATAATAATAATGAGACAATAATTATTCAAATGAGAAACGAAAACAATGATTTCCACCCTGGAAATCATTCTTGTTTTTTTTGCCATTGAATTATTCTTATTACCTATTCTTTATTCAGTCAATTCATGTAATAATAATAACTGAGTTTCAAGTCTTATATTAATAAGATATTCATGAAGATGGTAATGATTTCTCTTGATGATATTGATGCAAAAAAGAGTCAAATTTATCAATGATCAAAATTGATATAAGTTAATTCATTCATCGTTATTACAACCAATTCAAGGTGTAATCTTTATCATCATCATGAATTAGAATGATAACAATATGTACTTATCATCATCCATCAACTGTTAACTTTATTTCTCTCATCATTATTATTATTTTTGTTGAATTTACTGTTGAACCCAATTGAAAGTATCGATGATTTTTATTCATTTTCCTCTCTTTTATTCAATAGGTGCCTCTTTTTGACCAATACTCTTGTAATGGTCACTACTTATACACAGGAAACACTGAGATCAAATTAATAATTGGGTAAACATCCAAGTTAATGGTCAATCTTGGTATAAAAACAAAAGTAAACAATCGGTAAGCTATCGTATTGAAAACAATGCTAATCAAAATTGATTATTTTCCTCATAATAATACATAAAAATATATTTAAACATGAAAAACATTATCAATTGAAATGATTAATTCTAATTAAATTTTGCTTCTTAAATTTTCCCTTTTGTTTTAGCTAAGCTTTTGTTTTGCCTCAAATGATTAAAGTAATTAACCTTTAAAAGCGATTAGAACACACACATTTGGATGGATTCTCATCATCAATGGCTATCCAATCTAATTTCATGTGATGATTACATTTAATATTCATTATCACTGGTCACTCTGGTAAAAAGTTTTAATCTAACAAATTGTGATCCAAATGACCTTTAAACGGTAAGTTATCCAAATATATCAGTTATATATACCTGTAGTCAAGTTAATACTACAAAAAGTAATGGTTAAGACTACAATTTACTGTTAGTTGATCAAAAGCAAAAGTTTTACCTTGATAAATGGTTAAAAGCACGCAAAGGTTCATTAAATTAAAGGTAACCTCGATAGCTTTTGTTGTATTAGTTTCCTACCTGTCTACCTTTAGATTATTAGATTACTTATGCATAAATAATGTATTATTAAGCGAATTACTAGTTACTCGGAGAGAGAGAGAGGGAGAGAAAATTACAAACAATATGATGAGCCTGATATTAACTATTTAGATAATATCCAAATCATATTATTTTCCAATATGTTCTTACTCTTGTGTGCATGGAAAATTTTTCCTAAAGTTCAATTCAACTCCATGAGAGATAAAAAATTTTTTTCTACACTTTAGTCTAACAATCAAGTACCTTACGATTAATATTGTATGATGACAATAATATTTAATTGTGTAAATTCAGATTATTCATTGTAATTTTATCTTGGTATCAGTTTACAGTTTCGATTCCAATGATTCACAAGAACCTAATCTTTAAATGCTCTCTGTTGATTGTCTGATTTCCATGATTAATGAGGATTTTCAAGTTGCTCTCTTTTCACATCCAATAGATTTTGACTTTATAAATGAAACCTTGTTCTTGCATTTTCCAAATCAACATTTTCATTTCCATAGATACGAAATGTGAAAGCATCATGATTCAATTGAATTTTGGTAGTGTTAGTGGTGAGAGAAATGTTGATCTTACTAATGCAATGATTTTGAGTTAACTTTTCATTTTAAATGTAAATTGAATGAAAAGAATTGAAATTGATCTAATTCATCAATCCTCTATTTTCAATTTAACTCTCATATGCTATTGTAATGTATTTTTGTTTTCCACCCAAAGTTTAACACAATAACTGTAAAATCATCTATTTATTTTTTAATTCTTGCCTGGATTTAAAAATTACCTTTATAAACTGATTAATCTAATCATCTAGGTTTACAAATCAATTATCCAAAACCATAGTATCCCTATTACCTTTAGGATAAGTGATAATTGATGAAGGATAATGTTACTTTCTTATGATAAGTTATCATCATCCTTTTTTATTGATACATCTTATAACCTCCTTTGATTGTTAACAATGAGATTATCATGTTACCTTTGATTTATTTTTGCTCAATTTCATCTGAATCTATTTGGATAAATTATTCATAATTATCTTTGCCCATTGAGCACTAATAATTTCATTACAATGAGACTAAATTGTCATTATTTCTCATTGTTAACAATTATAATGAAACTTTGTATTCCCTATTAGTCAAACAGCTAACATGTTGATTAACAGCTATAAAATTGATGATTAAATTTTTGATTACTTGAAGTTAATGATTTTTAGATGATCTCGTAATTAGATTTTCTAATCAGCCAAATTGTTGATACAATTTCACTTTTCCTATCTAAAACTGTGATCTAAATTGTTCAACACATTTAACTGATCAACTTGTCAAGCTGATCAATCAAATGATTTGAAGAAGAAAAAAAAAACTGTTTCAATTGTGATAAATTTTTTTCTCATCATCAATTTACCCTCAGGGTAAACACATTATACACACTGATAAATACACGATAAAATCTGATATATATTTTACATGAGATTATCGTTTAGAATTTGATTTTATCATTTTATATTTACAGTTAATAGTCATGGAAATATATTATTATTAATAATTTTGACAGTGAGATATTCAATTGAACAGGAAATGTTAATGTACATTTTAAATTAACATTTAAATGATTGTAATCAGTGATGAAGATATTTGAAAATTGATTCTGATCATGTTAACGATAATATTGACAAAAAAAACTAATAACATGATGATGTTAATATTATCATTTACATAGAGATACCTGAAGTGATCGTGAATATCAATACATGCAGGAAAAACATTGAGGGTTATCCCTTTCCGTTTAATATTTCCCCCCGGAAGTTAATTCGGAAGTTAATATACAGTATCAAGAATCATCATGAATCAATATGATGTGAAAAAGTTTTCTAATCAAAAACAAGCTGATTCGTTTGGAATTTTATGTTTTCAGAAAAGCTTTTCCTTTCTTTTCTCTACCTGTTCCCAAAAATCTTGAATACATGATGTTTTCTTCACTTACCAATGATAGTGAATGAATTCCCTCAACCTTTTGATGAAAACCAGCACCAAGAGTTTTCATGATAACCTTTATGCCATTTAGATTGAAACTGTGGAAATGAAAACAATAAAATAAAGCAATGATTTCAATGTTAGAGAGACAGAGATGAAAAGAAAGAGAGAGAGAGAGAGAAAGTGAGAGCAAGTTAATGAGATAAACAAACAAACGTGTTTGCAAACAAGTAGACAGATGAAAATGTGAGATGGAACAAGAGATAAAACTCTGAATGAATTTCAAGTTGAAACTTTGTTGTTATTTTTTCTTCCTCTTCTCCTTCTGTTTCCATGAAAAATTCTGTTCACTTTTACTTTCCTTCATCTATCATCATTCTCTTGCTCCTTGTGGTAAACCAAATGCAATGTAAATAGTGAACAAGATAATGATGATCAGTAAAATAGAAGATGAAAACAAATACAAGTTAAATATTTCAGTTCTTTTTTTCCTCTACTGTCTGATTGTTCATTTTCAGTTCTATCATGTAAACCTTTCTTCCCTACTCATGAGACTTTCAACTTCTGTACTTACACCATTACCATTTGATTATTATTAATATTGATTATATTGTTGATAACTTTTCTCTTTTTTCTCTCTCTCTTATTGTCACATTTAGAGTGAGAAAATGTTACTTTTATGTCAATGAGTGAGACTTTGTGTGTAAATTAAATGCAAAGTTGATGTAAGAAGAAGCAAAGTTTCCCTAAATTTAAGAGATTGGAACTTGAATCAAATGTACTGAACTTTTTCCATACTCAATATATTACAATTTACTCTTGATTCCTAACGTCGTTTTCAATTGATTGTTGGATAACACCAACATCTTGAATGATTAATACAAGTCTCTCTTTTACTGTGTATAATGATGGCAAAAGAAGATGAGAGAAAGAGGTAAAAGAGATTTTCATTCAGTTCTATCAGATTAGTTAGAACTTTCTTCTTTCATTTTCCCTTTTTTCATCATCATCATCCTCATCATGTAATAAAAGTAATAACAGATAGAAAGGAGATACAGAAAAATACTGAACACTATTTATCTTTGTAACACCTAACCATTCATAGGAACGGAAATGGGCTTGAGAGATGAGGAAGATGATCAAGGATAAAGTAGTGAAAGATGATGATCAGAAAGAGAAGATGATTTGGAAGAAGAAGAGTAAAAGTTTCAAGATAAGCTTAAAACTCTGATCGTAGAGGTTAATTTTCACCAAGTAAAAGTACATTAACAGTGAAGATAATGATAATAGATTATATTAATTTGATTGGTATTTGATTAATGGTATTTATAATCATAATGATCCAAAGTACCGTTACCTTTGTGATTATTTCATTTGATTCTCTTACCTTGAAAGGCTTTGAAGTAGCAAATTAATATGTTGTGATGCTAACCATTGAACTCCTCCAAATATTAATACAGTTTCACTTGAATTTGATAATGGACCAGCTCTATTAACGATCAATGATAATTGAAACAATTAGTTTGAAATTAATATCAACTGAATGATTAACACCAATCATTGAACCCATCGAGCATTAATTATATTTGTCAATATTTTCACTTTTTGACTGTTGCTAACTTTTGATATTTATTGGATTGATTTTACTTATATTATTAATAACTTTTCTGTTTGTTAATTAATATAAAATAATTCTTACCTTTTAATAAGCTCATTAATTGTTTTATCAAAGGTTAACCTCTGAAATGATGGAAGCCAAAATTTTGGATAATAATTGAAGCCAATTAAAGTGGAACCCGAATTCAGCTGATTGTAGATGCGAAGCTCATGAGTTTTATCACCATCAACCAAAGATCCATTGAGCTTTTCCATGACATAGTGCATAAGACCACGATTAGTTGAATCGCCAATGAACAAAATCTTGAGAGTAAAAAGCGAATGAATTTCAAATTTTTCTATTTTTTTGTTCGCCGTCTTATTATCATGTTTTTTTTCTTTACATCATGTTACCTTTATATCTAAAACATGAACTTTTATTCAATTTGAAATGTTTGCTATTTTCTTGTATCATGTTGACATTTGAAAGGATTAACTCAGTATAAAGAATCATAAAGATGATTTCGATTAACATGAAAATGATCTTTGTGCGATTACTATTTTGAATGTTACCACTCCTTCTTAAGATAAATACACATGATTCTCATCTTCGTGTGTCTATCTAACATGAAATGTTCATAAATCAGTATTTGTTGATGTGAGAATGAAATGAAAAGGAAAAAAAGAAATCGAGAGAAAGAAGGAAAAAAAAGTTCTGAATAACAGTAACACGGTTTGAATATTAATGTTCAGTTTTGGAATTAGTCTGAATACTTTGAATGTTGAGATGATATTTACATGAAAGTGTGTATGCTTATAATAGATGATATTGTAAATAGGATTTGAAAGTTTCTACTTGTATTGAGTTAAACATGATGATAATCATGGGTTAGGACTATTTCTTTGAATCAGAATGATGATTTTAACCTTTGATAACTTACCTTTCGACCTGCTAGACACTTCGATAACTGAATTGAACTGATTTGACGATATTGACATGTGTCGGGCTCCCAGATTGATGAACTCCAGATACATGAATTTTTAGATTTACATGATAAACAAGGAACTGACCATTTACCAGGTTCACTTCCGGATGAACAGAATGGCAATAATTTTCTACTCTCTAAATGATTTGACCAACTTTTTGATGATTTACTGATAGTTGAATCTTTCATCAGGTTACAGTTTTCCCGAGGATAAACAAGTAAATCACAATCCTAATCAATATGAAAAATAATCAACATAATGGTAAAGTAAACGATTTAAATTGAAACCCAATCACATTATTATTATTATACAAGTTAATCATTTTATTAATCAATATAATAGATTCTTACCTGTTTAAGATAACAAACTGTATATGATTTATTAGTTTGTTCAAACTGGACATCGGGTTGATTTAATGGTAATCGATTAATATAAACATTATATGTATTGATAACCATTGGCTCAACTTGTGAAACATCAACAACGGTCAATACAATTTTATTGACTCCCAAACCAAGTGTGAAATTGGTCGGTCTAAATGGATAAAATTAATAACAATTAACTTATCAAATCAATAAATGATTCTGATATTTACCTTGATGGACCAAATAAACCTTCAAGTCTAACCTCACTTGAGCAATGAGCAGCTGACCCATGGACAGTTATTACCAAAGTATCATAAGTAACATTAGCATAATATTGTGATACTTTATGGGAAAAAGTTGGGATTAAGTTAATCTCCGGATTAATTTCTAATGATGATATGTAAGGTAATGAAGATTCATCTGTGAAAAACAGAGAAAGAGAGAGAGAGAGATAATTTAATCATAAATTCATGATAAAAATTCATGTGAAGTTATCATGAAAAAGTTGAATGAAAAATATCGTGACTCTGATTATATTCATGATAAGTTTCAATCATTTGAATTGATCAATATGATGATGAAGATGTTGAGTGATAAAATTGTCAACTTTTATCATTACATAACATTCAATTCTATGGGTGTGGTTTTGATATTCATTTTTTTTTCTCTTTAAAAACTATTGTTTTCTACCTGATAACTTAATCATTTATTCAGTGTAATCTAAATGATGATTGAATAATTCAACTGGAAATAACCTCTAGTTCTGTGTATTCTTGACACTTTCAAGTCAATAATATCACACCCAAAAGGTACATTTGAAATACATTAAGATATAAATAATTGTTAATATGAATTGTGAATTTTGTGTTTTCATTTTTCCAAAAGTTAATTATCTATTTGATTAACTTGACAAGGATTTTAATAATATCAATAATGATGACAATTTAAATGAACTTATTACAATCAACCCAATGAATGAAAGTTACAAGTTCATAAATATTTCATTTCTTTGGCACAAATACACAAGCAAAGTAAATGTTTACCTTAGTGTTATTGTTTTTTTTTGCATACCCACTTTTGTTTACTTTATCATCACCTTGAGGATTATTATCATCTCTGTCTAACCATTATTATTATACCATGGAAACAATAACTGATACCATAGATATAATGATATCCATGGAATTTTAATTCAATCCTTTCTATCTCTGTGAAAAAGTTCATCACCATGAAAATGAGATTGTAAAAAATAGATTCAGCTAATGAAATGGTGAGCGAGGGAGAGAGAGAGAGAGAGAGAGAGATATTAACATTGAATGATGATGACAATATTATCCTTTTGTATTATCATATGAAAATATCTGTGGATGAATGAAACTATTCCCATAGGTTGAGAATACAATTGTTGGTAAATTAGTTTACGTTTTAATTGTGAGTGTTGAGAAGAAGATTCTCTTTTTTTATATATCTATCATCTAATTCATCAAACTAAATTACATATTAACACCTTAATTGTTTGTTTATTTAATTTGATTACATAATCAGCTTCAAGTTAATATTTTATCCAATATTAATATGAGGAAAATTTTATTTTCATCTCATTCATCACAATTTTGATCGATGACATTGATTGTTTGGTAACTGATTGTTGATTAATGATTGACATGATGTTTGCATGATATTGAGTAGCTGATTTTTTTCCTATTATTATTATTATTTCAAATGTTTACTGTTGGTTAAAAATAACAATCAAAAGTTAAAGTTGAACAATCAACAAACATTGGCAATCACACCAATCCTTTTGATCCTTATTCAAAGTGACTTAATCTAATTTAGATTGTTGTTTAACATTAGAAAAGTCATATTACAATGATGAAGATAATGATGATAAAAGCTTTTCCAAGATGATTTCTGAACAATCAGCAATCCAACAGAGATGGATAATGATTAAGAAAATCAAAGAGAGAGAGAGAGAGAGAGAGAGAGAGAAGATGAAGATGCAAATAGATGAAGAAAAGAGGGTGGATGATAAATGAGGAGAAGCTTTTAATTCGATCAATCATCTTCATCATCATCATCTTCTTCTTCCTGAAACCATCAGAATCCTTATTAAGGTGGAAAACATTATTCCTCTTTATCAGAGGAATCATCTTTTTTTAACCTTTAATGTCTTATTTAAATTTCCTATTAACATGATTATTAACTCCTTGATTATTATCATGATGATAATACCATGTTAAATTAGTGAAAACAAAGAATTACTTCAAAACTAATCCGGTACATTGTTAAAAATACATTTACCTTATATCAGCTTCAGCTTGATTGTTTATTCATTAGTTAATTTAATTCCCTATGGTTAATTGTAGTAACTTTTTAACTTAATTATTTCCTTACCATTTACAGTTATATATTTATGTAATATAATCATAATTGTATCTCATTGTTTTTACCAAGAAATCGTTTTGATTAACAGTTAATTTAATTAGATATTTTTAAAGTGTTGATTAGGGACAATTTTTGTTTATTAATTTCTTAGAAATGGTTTGACTTTTGCTTCAAGTTTAATTATTAATAGATTACGAATTGAACTTATATCAATTAATGATTTTGATGATAATTAGTATTATGTGTAGTCATTAAGAGGTAAACGTAACAATTAACTTTTTAATTATATCACCAATTGTGACTGAATCAAAAATAATTTGGAGGTTTCTAATTATATGCTATTGTGAATGACAAAAGTAAATCAACCTTAATTATTTTATTGATTGTGAATTAAGTCATCAGTGTATATTTGTTGATTTCTATCTCAATAGAATACAAATAACAAATGATTATGAGAGTGTCTCTTTAATGATTTAATTATCTTTTGATTGATTGTAACTTTATTATTATCAATCGATTGTAAAAACGATTAATGAACTTGATTAAATTTTGATTGTCTTCATCTTTTTTTTGAACAAAACAAAAAAAAACTAAATTGAGATGAGATGGGAAAAAAGTTCACTATTATTATTGATTATTGATGTTAAATATTATTGTTATTACCTTGATTGCAAGTTTCTTTGGTTATCATTGGATTGAATGTTGTTGGTATTGATAATGATTCGGATTGTTGATTAGTTTGATTGTCTATTGTTGTTGGTTGATGGTGAATAAAATTTTGCTGGTCACTGATTCTTGTTGATATAATGTCCATTTGCATGAGAAATGAATGTAAATCCCATGTCCTATGGACCATTAAACTATGTCCACCCTTTTCCAGTTTACTTTTAACTATTTTACTGCTTGTCTCCTCTATTAGTTTACCCAAGGATGAACTTTCTGAGGTTGGATAGAGACATTGGAAACCATGGATACCCTGATTACTGGTTACCTCATCTTTCCAGTTTAATAAGTAAGTTAAATCAGTTGAACTTAGGCAAACATCATGAGTTATATGACAATTAAGTCCCATTATACCAACATTACCTTGACCAAGTACTTTGACCAATGTTGTTGTTACCTCTTTAACAAGAGTCAAATTGTTATTCTTATTGTTATTATTTGATGATTCAGGTTGGACGGAATTACTGGTTGTTGTGATTAAGGAAAGATAATCATCATAAATTGTTCGGATTAATTTGGTAAATGTGAAACCATCATCACGATAAGCTCGTTGAAACGATGTTCCCATTGAAACATCAAGTATCCATGAATCAAGGCTTGAATTAAGAGTAATATCAACAGCAAGAAGAGAGACCGTTGAATCAAATATTTTATTATCATTTAAAAATGAGGAAGATGAAATTGTAGGAAAATTGGAAGAAGATAATGATGAAGGCGGAAGACGTTGATGAGGAAGATAAACCGGAAAAGGATGACGATTGACCAAGAAGTAGAGCTTCAGTTACCAATAAGAATTGAGTTAGATGACTTTTTATTGAGGTTTGGGCATAGGTAACATTTTGAGATCCATAGTTAATCGTCATGTAATCCCAGAAATTATCCAATGACCACAGACGTCCATTAACCTTAATCACAATTAGAAGTTAATACTTTGTAATTGAAACTTAATTTCACTTATTAATGAATTTTCATTACCTTTTGAAATGTTTTCTCGCCAGATTTTTTGCCGTGTCCAGTACTATGGTCATCTTGGTTAGTCGAAGTTGTAAAATAAACTAAGCCACCTTGGTGAATATAAGCTCGCAGTGGATTAATTGACGTAATTGCAACAAACTGTCTAATCGTAATGGTAGAACCAAATAATTTTAATGGATTGGCCAATGTTCGTTGGATGATTCCCGATTTTGTGTTATAATCACGAAGCTGATCTCTTCCCTGATCGGTCAGAACGTTGATTAACTGTAATCCTTGGGGTGTTTTAAGTGACCAACTTACTGAATAACCAAGAGCATCAGAAACATCAAGAAACGTTTGATATTGTTGTGGAAAAATGAAACATAATGGTGATAATGGATTTCTCATTGCTGGAAAATTACATAGTAGAGATGGTGAAGTAAAAAGTGTTAAGTGAAATAAATGTCAATTATAATCATAATCATCTTTACTCAGTTATAATAATGAGATAAAATGGATTCTAAATGGTTACAATTATATTTATGATAACATGTGAATTTCTTACTTGAAACTTTGTGTATCTCACGAACTGTTGAACAAAATGCTTCCCTGGTTCCGAGTAAATTTCTTAGTCCAGGAATACCATCCATCTTTTGATAGACTTGTTTACGTTGCCGGTTAAAATGGTGGAAACTTTTACCTCCTACTCTACGATTATCACCTTGATTATCAACGACAACATTGTTATTATCATTATTATTATCATCAGTGTCAGAATAATCTTCATCATCATCATCATGTTCACTCCAACATGAACCTCCCTCTTCTGTTTGTACTTCATTGTTATCAAGACAAATTAGGAGAATCCAATCTTCCGAATCTACAGAACTCAGACAGAAGAAAAAGAAATAAGGAAAAAGACCAAGAAGAAGAAGAAGAAGAAGAAGATTAGGAAGATAAGGATGATAAAAAGACGAAAGAAAAAGCAAATTGATTTGTAAAGTTAAAAGACTTTCGATTTCAAGTCAATTCTATTTTATTGAGACAATGAATCACTACATTCTCATGGTAACATTTTACCTCTTCTCCAGTAACCGAAATTGTATAAACTTTTCCTGTCATTTCCGGAATCCAGAATTTCCAATTTTCAATCCATAACAATAAGCATCATGATCACTTAGATTGAAATGATAATCAAATGATCAACTTTTCCCTAGCTCGTAAGTTTCAATTCATTTAATTTCCTGAAACATTTTCCTCTTCCCGATAGGACATTAATACTCATCGATATTGACTTGAATTTACCTGAGTAGAAAAAAAGTCAAGTCCACTTACATTTATGTCTTAATCTTGACCTTCTATTGATTCGATTTTTTTTCAGATTATCCGTTTCAATGAGAAATCCATGTTTTCTCAGTGCCCATTTGTAGATCGACATTTCTTTCAAAATATTTGGATTACGACTGCGAACCAGAGCGATTTTCGTCATGTTTGGTGTTTTTCGGAATTTCATCTCTTCATTGAGCTATAAGAAAGTTCAAGAATAACCATTACACTGATTAGATATAAAGTTCTGGATTATCAGAAGGAAGAAAAAGATCTCATTTCCTTTTCCTCTTTTATCGTCTTAAAGGCAATCATGATATTCATTGATAAGTTTGCATCTCTATTTGAATAACTATTAATAACTGAATTTAAGAATTGATCAAATGATCTTAATTTAAGATATTCTGAAAACTTTAATCATTAATTAATTTTGATTCTTATTATTATGGAAGAATTAATTTTCTTTCTTTTTTTCTTCTTAACTAAATCCTTGTAATCCTCTTAAATTGTTGATCAAATTTCCACCAACAGTTGATTCATTTAGATTACGATCAACTTATTACAATGGATTTAAAGTTAATTAATTTAAATTATCTTTTCTCAAGATTCTATAAAACAATAAGAATCAACTAATTGCTGTTGATGGTTATTTTCAATTGATTAAAAGACACAATCAAGTTGATCCAAGGGAATGAAAAAAAAAACTTTACTTATGTATTTATCGCAAAGAAATATATTTGTAAAGCCTTAAAGGTTAGACTGATAAATGATAGTAAATATTATTATTATATTAACTACAATCAGTTAATTGTTAACAATAACATTGGCCTGAGAACAACAATCAAGAAAGCCCAGAAAATTGCCTTGAGCAACATTGATTATAACAATTTTTTAGGTAAATATCATCACTCATCTTTAATCATCTTACATCATATGTTTGACAAGCTCAATTGGTTAATTGAATCAAGGACAATCAAATGGATGGCTGAATAATCAATTAATCACCATGCACAATAAAGTCAATTTGGAATCCAAACAATATGAAATGACCATAACAACAACACCAACATTTGACAAACAATTAGCTTGATTACATTGTTGTCACTCTCTCTCTCTCTTTATTTTCCTTGTTAATTGTTACAATTGGATTGAAATCAAATTGATTGTAGTCTAAGTAATGCAAACTTAACCATGGGCATTGAGCTTTCAAAAAAGGATTACAACAATGACTAAATTGTTGAATCAAATTATCAGTTGGTAAAAGTGTATTGAATCAGATAATGTATTTCTTGATGTCACTTTTTGTTGGTTCAACCCTTGATGAGCCAAGCAAAAAAAAGTATGGAAACTTTTCCCCACCATGATAATAAATCATAATATGAAAGGGAAACTGAGCATGATGATGATGATGAGAAGGATGAGACTGGTAAGTCAAGAGAGGTGATGTCTTACTCCTGAGCGTGAAAAGAATAATGATTATCTTCATCTTCATCTTCATCCTTATACATCTTCTTTTCATTGTCTCTCTCCTTTTTTTTTCACCCTCAACCTTAATCTGTCTATGAACTTTTCTCATACCTTGGAAATACATGAGGATGTGCTGGGATTGAGTTTGGAAACAACAACATGGGTGGAAAAAGATGAGAAAAAGAAAATTGTGAACAAAAAAGAAACGAAGATGATGAGTAGGTAGGTGATGGAGATATAATATCATGGAAAGTTTCATGTCTTTCCAATGAAATATAACTCGGATTTGCACAGTTAGAGACTCAATTCCAATTCTGTTAAGTTTGAGTCGAGAAAGAATAAAAAAAAGCAGATAACAAATAGGAACCAGTGGTTATTTATGATAACGGTAAAAGAGAATCAACTTATTACATGTTATCATGTTATGAAAGTTGATGATGATGAGAAGTAGAAGAAGAAAAAAAACTAATGCAACTAATACAAAGAAATAAAAGTAAAGTATAAAATGATGAGAAAAAAGTTAACTGGACAAAGTGGAAAGGTTATCATGCTGATGATGGAGATAAATTTCATGATGAATTGAGTAAAGATCATGATACTCATGATAACCGAAAATGAGATGAAATTATCAAGAAAAACAATTGCAACGGAAATATAAGAATGATTCAAATTCGTAGTAACAAATATTATAATTGAATTTTCTCTCTCTCTCTCTCTTTTCATTTAATAGATTTACCGTTATTTTTATAAATATAAAACGAATTAATCTTTGGGTGTGTTCAGAGGTTGGATTAAAAGTCAAAGATGTGAGTTAATCCTTGGAACATTTTATCAAACAAAAAGATTATCAACAAATCTGGTTTATCTCTTTTTCTTTTATTTCTATTAACCTTCTTATCATCTTCTTCCTCCCACATCTAGCTGACACCTTCTCTCAATTTTATCTCCAACTTCATCTTCTTACACTCACTTTGACCTTCTAAAGTCCATCTCCATTAATCCAATATCTTTCTACCTGTTTTCCACCTTCTCTTTCAGATATTACACTCACCTGAGTTTCTACACACTTTCCACCTTCAATTTTCCACCCATGAACATCCTCATCTCTCTTTCTCCTTGAAACCCTACCAAGAATCCATCAAATTCAATCGTGTTCATCTTTTCCAAGAATAACAGACTTAATAATAGACTCAAGAATAAAGACTTCGACTTGATGAGACACATCGAAACATAAGAATGACGGGAAAAAATATTTCGAGCTTCGAATTTGCAAAAAGAAAAATATAATCTATTGAAGATGCGATTTCGAAAAGTTTATCAAGTTTTTTTTTATTCTCTTATAATCAAAACGTGAGTTGACTTAATCACGATCAGGATTCTGATTGTTATTCTTATAATTCTTGTTGGTTGTTAATCATCAATGATGATTAACATGAATCCAACTTTTCACCATGAATAATTTATCTTTATATCAGTTTGGAAACCAATGAGTTACTAATTAATCATCTGTAAATAATCATCATGAACATTGGATGAACTTAATATTTTCCTCCTCCAATAACATAATATTTACCCTTGAATATTAATCAAACTGTAAGTTATCAAGTTTAATCAATTGTTACCATGTTGACCACTATCATGATGATTTTGCTGGTTCAATGATCTGTTCAAATGTATTTATATATTTACTCGGTTACAGAATCAACTTAATATATAGAATTCAAGCTTAAAGTCAACCTTTCATGTTAAATATCATGTCACTTCCCTGATGAACTGAATCATAGTTATAACTTTCAATTTTGATTCTATAGAGGAAAAAGTTCTGATACATTTTGTATCAACTTTTACCTCGATAATCAGTTGGCTTAGATTATTATCTATCATGATGATAACCATGAAAACACTGAATCTCAAAGGTCCTATCAAGTTATTTTCTTCCAACACCATGAATTCAGAACTTTTTCTCCCTTCCGAGTAAATCAAATTCTAGCATTGAATTTTTTACTCTGATAAAAGGGGAAATTATCTCGGAAACTGAATCAATCCCATGAAATATCATGACGATCATAATCATCATCATCGTGATACCTTATATTTATTGTAATCTTATCCTTTTTTGAAGATGAAGATGATTACAGAATTTTTTTTCTTTCTTTTTGCTCAGAATGATTAGTTATCATGAAGAGAAGAAAAAAAATTGTTCTTTTCCAAAAGTTCTGATATAATCTGAGCATCTTTACCATGAAAACCTGAGATATTTACTGCTAATGGTTAACAACAAATTGAACTGATAAACTTTTCCATCATCTTATTTATCCCTAGACAATTAAGATTACAATTAAGATTAACAGGTAACCATTAATATTGTGGTGAAAAAATTATTGACACCAAACAAACAGTTAAAATCAATGGAAAATGATTTAGATTATCAGATGAATTAACAAAAAGTTGTAACAATCAACACGAACAATTTAGATTATATCTCATTAACTGGCTTGATAATTAATCTTAATCATTGTTGTAATTAGATGATCGATAAAATTTTAGTTAAAAAAAATTGCTCACAAAACTTTTCCGATTAATTCAACTGTTTATGTAGTGATTACGTTGAAATTATCATGACAACAATCAGTTAATTGTTGTTATTATTGTTATAACAATTACCTTGAGAAAAGGACCAAATGTTTTTTTTTGTTCATCAAAAATTCAGTTAATCATCATCATTATCATGACACTGAATTGAATAATTAAAATGGAATAAAATTTTTCTCTTATGAACCATCATGTAAACTTTTATTTGCAGCAAAAAATAATTTCTAATTGTCATTAGATAAACAATCAATATAATTGATTAAGGTTGATTTCATGATTTACCTGATTAGTTATCATGATCACTTTGACAGATTAAGATGAATTGTTATTGATTATTGATAAAGTTTCATTCATTTTTTTTTTGCTGTTTTTCTGGTTTTTTTTTCACCTAGAAAAATTTGTTCATTTCCATAGGAAAATAAAAGTATTCGTATCTCATGAATATCTCATGTTTATGAACTTTTTATATCCAGAATGATAATGAATGTTGAAACATTAATCAAAACATGATAAGGAAGAAAAAAGTTCTTGTTATCATTATTCATCATGGAGAGAGAGAGAGAGAGAGAGAGAAATTATCATAAAAAAGAGTTTTTGTTCATCCAATATTTTGTTCATTCATCATGTCAATTCATTGAAAGCTGATTTTCAGGATTGATTCTGACTCTGATTGAAAAGTTGTTATCAACTGTCATTAGTTAATTGTTGATTCTTAAAAAAAGAGAAACTTTTTTTGCTTCTCTCAAGTGTAAAGTCAACAGCTAAAGTTTATGCCGAAAGGTGAGATGAGGGTGGTGATAGTTACCATGAGATGTTCATGGTGAAAGAAAACTTTTTTTTCGTTAGTTTTCATCCTCAATGAATTGCCTTTGTTTTGTTTCCTTCTTCAACTTTGATTGAAAAGGTGGATGAGAGAAAAGGAGAGAGAGAGAAGCTGGTTGAGAAACTCTTCGTAAAATATACTCTCAAAACTGAATAAGTTATCATCAGAATATATTCAGAGGGTGGGAGAAGAGGAGAAGAAAAAAGTTCTTGATTCAGTCGGAATAAAATCACTGGAAGGTGATAGTGAGTAAAAAAAGACAGCCAACAGTTTTTATCTTCACCATGTTACCTTTTCTATTGGTGTAAATGTAAATC